AGATTAGTTGATTGTGTACCCTGTCACTGGTTAGACTAGTTGATTGTGTACCCTGTCGGTGGTTAGACTAGTTGATTGTGTACCCTGTCAGTGGTTAGACTAGTTGATTGTGTACCCTGTTGGTGGTTAGACTAGTTGATTGTGTGCCCTGTCGGTGGTTAGATTAGTTGATTGTGTGCCCTGATGGTGGTTAGATTAGTTGATTGTGTACCCTGTTGGTGGTTAGACTAGTTGATTGTGTACCCTGTTGGTGGTTAGACTAGTTGATTGTGCGCCCTGTTGGTGGTTAGATTAGTTGATTGTGTACCCTGTTGGTGGTTAGACTAGTTGATTGTGTGCCCTGTCGGTGGTTAGACTAGTTGATTGTGTACCCTGTTGGTGGTTAGACTAGTTGATTGTGTACCCTGTTGGTGGTTAGACTAGTTGATTGTGTGCCCTGTCGGTGGTAAGACTAGTTGATTGTGTACCCTGTTGGTGGTTAGACTAGTTGATTGTGTACCCTGTTGGTGGTTAGACTAGTTGATTGTGCGCCCTGTTGGTGGTTAGACTAGTTGATTGTGTGCCCTGTTGGTGGTTAGATTAGTTGATTGTGTACCCTGTTGGTGGTTAGATTAGTTGATTGTGTGCCCTGTTGGTGGTTAGACTAGTTGATTGTGCGCCCTGTTGGTGGTTAGATTAGTTGATTGTGTACCCTGTTGGTGGTTAGATTAGTTGATTGTGTACCCTGTCAGTGGTTAGACTAGTTGATTGTGCGCCCTGTTGGTGGTTAGACTAGTTGATTGTGTACCCTGTTGGTGGTTAGATTAGTTGATTGTGTGCCCTGATGGTGGTTAGACTAGTTGATTGTGTGCCCTGTTGGTGGTTAGATTAGTTGATTGTGTACCCTGTTGGTGGTTAGATTAGTTGATTGTGTACCCTGTCGGTGGTTAGACTAGTTGATTGTGTACCCTGTTGGTGGTTAGACTAGTTGATTGTGTACCCTGTCGGTGGTCAGACTAGTTGATTGTGTGCCCTGTCGGTGGTTAGACTAGTCCATTTTGTGCCCTGTTGGTGGTTAGATTAGTTGATTGTGTACCCTGTTGGTGGTTAGGCTAGTTGATTGTGTACCCTGTTGGTGGTTAGACTAGTTGACTGTGTACCCTGTCGGTGGTTAGACTAGTTGATTGTGTACCCTGTTGGTGGTTAGACTAGTTGACTGTGTACCCTGCCGTTGGGGAGACTAGTCCATTTTGTGCCCTGTTGGTGGTTAGATTAGTTGATTGTGTGCCCTGTTGGTGGTTAGATTAGTTGATTGTGCGCCCTGTCGGTGGTTAGACTAGTTGATTGTGTACCCTGTTGGTGGTTAGATTAGTTGATTGTGCGCCCTGTCGGTGGTTAGACTAGTTGATTGTGTACCCTGTTGGTGGTTAGACTAGTTGATTGTGTACCCTGTTGGTGGTTAGATTAGTTGATTGTGCGCCCTGTTGGTGGTTAGACTAGTTGATTGTGTGCCCTGTCGGTGGTTAGACTAGTTGATTGTGTGCCCTGATGGTGGTTAGATTAGTTGATTGTGTACCCTGTTGGTGGTTAGATTAGTTGATTGTGTACCCTGTCGGTGGTTAGACTAGTTGATTGTGTACCCTGTTGGTGGTTAGATTAGTTGATTGTGTACGCTGTCGGTGGTTAGACTAGTCCATTTTGTGCCCTGTTGGTGGTTAGATTAGTTGATTGTGTGCCCTGTTGGTGGTTAGGCTAGTTGATTGTGTACCCTGTCGGTGGTTAGACTAGTTGACTGTGTACCCTGTCGGTGGTTAGACTAGTTGATTGTGTACCCTGTTGGTGGTTAGACTAGTTGACTGTGTACCCTGCCGTTGGTTAGACTAGTCCATTTTGTGCCCTGTTGGTGGTTAGATTAGTTGATTGTGTGCCCTGTTGGTGGTTAGGCTAGTTGATTGTGTACCCTGTCGGTGGTTAGACTAGTTGACTGTGTACCCTGCCGTTGGTTAGACTAGTCCATTTTGTGCCCTGTTGGTGGTTAGATTAGTTGATTGTGTGCCCTGTTGGTGGTTAGACTAGTTGATTGTGTACCCTGTCGGTGGTTAGACTAGTTGATTGTGTGCCCTGTCGGTGGTTAGACTAGTTGACTGTGTACCCTGTCGGTGGTTAGATTAGTTGATTGTGTGCCCTGTTGGTGGTTCGGCTAGTTGACTGTGTACCCTGTCGGTGGTTAGAATAGTTGATTGTGCGGCCTGTCGGTGGTTAGACTAGTTGATTGTGTGCCCTGTTGGTGGTTAGAATAGTTGATTGTGCGGCCTGTCGGTGGTTAGACTAGTTGACTGTGTACCCTGTCGGTGGTTAGACTAGTTGATTGTGCGGCCTGTCGGTGGTTAGATTAGTTGATTGTGTGCCCTGTTCGTGGCTAGACTAGTTGACTGTGTACCCTGTCGGTGGTTAGAATAGTTGATTGTGCGGCCTGTCGGTGATTAGAATAGTTGATTGTGCGCCCTGTCGGTGGTTAGACTAGTTGACTGTGTACCCTGTCGGTGGTTAGACTAGTTGATTGTGTACCCTGTCGGTGGTTAGACTAGTTGATTGTGCGCCCTGTCGGTGGTTAGACTAGTTGATTGTGCGCCCTGTTGGTGGTTAGACTAGTTGATTGTGCACCCTGTTGGTGGTTAGACTAGTTGATTGTGTTTCCTGTCGGTGGTCAGACTAGCTAAATTACGTCCTAGGCGATGATTGGAAAATATCAATCTCTGCTTTTGTCAAAATCGGAATATTTACAGGCAACACTTAGAGCCTCGTCACTCTCGTACACGTGGAACTGGCGTCGATAGGTAGGAGCCTCCTCACCATAGGCACCTCTTCGCATTGTGCCCGAAGGTGTCCCTGGATGACACGAGTCATCACGACGGGCCTGGGAGTTGTATGCGGGGAAATGCCGCGTAGAACATATAGCCCCTCTCTCTGTCTCTCTCTCTCTTCTCTCTCCACCACCACCACCACCCCCACCCCCATGTAATGCATGTTTTCAACACTCTCTGACAAGTCTCGCCTTTCACTCTGCCCTGAATTCTAGAGCCGGATATATAGCCACATGTGTTCTCACATGTCATCGCCCATTTAGATGTATATAATGCTCCGGGTTTAATGGATGTCATATATCCTGTTTCATATTGTACATGGGGGATTTATACCCCGCGGCAACCACGGACGCTGTATACATACGGATTGTTTCCTGTGCATATACATATTCCCAAATGGGGACTTCCCTGTATTAACCTATGTAAGAAATATGAGTTAGTTTGGAGGCATAGAATATTTTACGCACATCTGACTTTCAGATATTTCATGTCCTGATTCAATACCTGTTCACACCAGTGTTGACACCTATCTATACTTTTATTATCCTCCATTGCGGAGAGCTCCCACAATTAGAATTACAAGATTACATCAGAAAAACAATGAGAATTATAAGATTAAATCAGAAACAGAGAGTGACTCAATTTTCTTTCCATCATTGTTCCAAACAAGTGATTGACTGCATGAACAAACTATCTACCTTGCCAGTGCACGTATTGTATCGAATGTCGAATTCGAGTTGAGTTTAATCCTTAGTTTGACGGCACCATACCATGCTTCTATGGGGTTTCGCCCAAGTCGTAATTATCAACAACCTTGATCGAGTTTGTCATTTCACGCCATATATGACCAAAATGCCGATCCGCCATTGCACACAAGTCGACGCCATTACCACTTAGTTGTGTGTACCTCATACATGGCACCGTACTTCATGTTGAAATGACTTAAACGTAAAGGTCAGGGGCCAAGTCAAAACATTGATTACAAAATAGTTTCGTTTCCTGTTGACTTGGTTCCGTCCTATTGCGCATCTTAGTACAATAGCCAGTCCAGAATTTTGAGACCAATTCATTTAACTGGATACATAAATATTAATCATTATTATTTGATAGAACTAAGCACTTGTATATTGCAACACTACGCACTAATCATTGCAAACATGTCGCGCAGCGTGCTCTGTCGTACAGCGAGCACTGACAAACAGAATCCTGGAATTCATGGAAATCTCAAAACGAGGCTCTGCCGCGAGAAAAGTTTGGCGGTCTGGTACGGACTTGATATTGTATCATCAATCACATTGTGCGTTACAGAACTACACTGAATAAGCACAAAAAAACACATAACCAGGTGTAACCAGTAAGCCAGATGAATTGTGAATCATTTTACGACCTCATCAAACTGGGGCAGTCTGTGACGTCTCAGTTAAGGTCATGCTGCCTACACCTCGCCATAAAATATAGAAATACGATGTTATTAAAGTTTAAAATTAAAATACGTTTGTAAATACCGTTTTCTCATGAAACAAGGAATTGGAGTTCAGTGTAACCATAGTTGTTTGTGATGTCTATTTTCACTTTCACACGAGAAAATTCGGATCGGCTGAAAAGTAGGTCATTGTCTGAATAGGTTAATGAGAGTCATGTTTCGGTTTGGTCAAACTGAGATCGCAATAATCACGGGAATGGAGTTAGAAGTTGGTGTAGGTTTTCCGAAATGGACATCAAGGACTGGTCGGTTCGGAGTCAGTAAAATGTGTCTGAGTGGGGTATTCATGCTTCACTGCGGCATGGTATCTCAGTGGGCTAGCACTATAAAACCAGCTTCAGTCTGGGCCAGTACAAGCAGCCGCACATACACATACACACGCATGCACGTCGTCATATGAGCGAAATATTCCCAAGCACGACGTTAAACCCAATTTCACCTCACCTCGCCAAATTAATGTGTAAATAGTCTGTCTGGACGCGGTAAGCCAGTAATTGGCACTATGAGCAACGACTCGCGACAACACCCAGTCGCAGAGCTGACCCCCAAACCTCAGGTTGATTAGAAAACAACGTGGTAGCTTGGCAACGACGAAAAACATCATAAATACCATTTTAGTATTATGGTGAAACTCAATTAAATTGTCGTTTTCTAAACTGAAGCTTATGTTCCAGGAAACTTTCGTCCGGAAAAACTTAACCTTTTGTTCCAAGATCTGCATCGGAAATATGGGAAGATCGTCAAATTCCGGAAGGGTTCGTCATGGGCCGTGTTTTTGTTTGACCCCACCCTCATCGAGGCCGCCATGCGTTATGAAGGACGCTATCCCAAACGTCCCAGTATGCCCCTACTTGACATCTACTCCGAGAGGTCAGGAAAGGCGCGCACAATCAGCCAGCTGTAAGTATTATTATATTTCACAGTTAAAAAATAATGCAGTAGAGGGAGGGGTTGGTGGTCCTGGCACAGTCAGGCTGATTAGGCACATCATGGGTACAGGAACCTCTACAAGCAGCACAGGGGGCCAATGGGACTTCTCCCAAGAAACGCGGCCTTGTCGAACCCACCAAGAACGTTCCTGAAAATATGGAGACTCCTCAACAGTGCAGCCTTCTGCATTACCCAGAGTGTTAGAAGGGCTGGGCTCCGATGGAGAACCCGGTCACTCTCCTGATCTGAGCCAAGACGTCAGGTGGTACCAAACCAAGGGCACCAAGAGCAATATGGAGCTGACGACAGTATGCTTGGGATGTAAGCGAGACATTTCAGTGGCGATCTCCGCATGTTTGCCATGTTTTTCCCGAATCTTGTCAATTACATTATTATCCGAAAGGAACAGAAACTTCAATAACCCAAATGTATAAACGGGTCTTATGGAAAAAGACAAAATCAGCTTGTAGGCAGGAATTTATCTCAGGCTATATAGGGGCCCATTCCAACATTCCAAAAGAATTGTAAAAGTATCATTTTCCCTGGACATGTTCAGGCTCCTATATGGACCATGGGTGGACCATGGGTCAAAACAACGGACCATGCTATCGTGTCATTTTAGATATACAGTTTGTGCCAAGGCATGACATCCACTGACAGTTCAACAAATTCATTATACAGTCGACACTTCATAATAACATTCTTTCTAAGAATCATAGTTCCGAGATTGCAAGTGGGAAGTGACTGGTCCAAGGCAGCAAACGGAGCTTTACACAACATATCAGCACGTTGTTGGAAGCCCTTGTAAAATCTTTCAACTCTACAAGACGATCGATTACATTTACAAAATGTTCTACTCCATCAAAGTGTCCTATGGAAAAAGTAAATCTGCGTAACATAAAATTGCATAAAATAAAAGTTATTTGAAAAGTTATAAAAATAGCCCTAATTAAACAGGAAGCAAAGAACTTGGCATTTGATGCCACTTTGTACACAATGAACTTACTCACGTTTTGCCTTTTGACACCTGAAGTCCACACACCTGATATTGAAACTTGAAGAGCTGTTGATTATTCTCTATCCTCTGAATGTTGACAAAAACACGTTAATTTCAACCTAAAGTATGCGTACGTCATACCACGACTTACAGAAAATCAGCGTCTCCGCGCCGTGGGTATGCTGGAGCCTGAAATGGCCCAAAATGAAGTGGACAGACATTCTGGTGTCCATCCAAACACGATGTCATCTCAAATACACGATTTCAACATAATGGGAATACGAGAGGGTGCCCATCATCCGGTCCCGACGGCCTGCAAAGTCACCGACAGGCACGTCTTGCCTGGTGCAGGCAGCATCTACGGTACAGGAGACAATATTGGGATTGTGTTTTGTTCACTGACGAGTTCAGATTTCATCTGGACAGTTCAGATGGCAGGGCAAGGGTGTACAGACGGCGAGGTGAACGGTATGCTGACGCGTGCGTTGTTCAACTTCGGCAGTTTGGTGACGTAAGCGTTACGGTATGGGGAGACTTCACATCTCATGGTCGGACCCAACTTGTCATTGTTAGAGGCAACCTGACAGGTCTGCGATATATCATTGGGCCTCATGTGCAACCGTTCATTCAAGAACAGGGACGTAATTTCACGTCTCAGCAAGATAATACCCGTCCACATACATTTTCGCTCGTGTTGTGACAGACTTCCAGAGACAACAGAACATTCCCGTACTCCCCTGGCCAGCTGCTTCTCCGGATTTGTCACCAATCCAGCACAATGGATGAAATGGAGCGACCTTTACGTCAAGTTCACAATAAGTCATTGACGTTAGCTGAATTGGGACAAGCGTTGGTTCAGACATGGAACATTCCCCAAGCTTTCTTCAATCGCTTAGATCGTCTATGCATCATCGTTGTCAAGCCTGCATCAACGCAAATGGTGGGAACGCACGAATTTGTGAACTCACTTTTGACACCACATCTCTTCAAGGGCGTATTATTATCTTTTTGCATTAAAAAAATGGCACAACATCAAATAATGCACAGTTACTTTATTCCAGTCGTGCTTTAACCACAGCACTGTTGTACCCAAACCGAGTGGTGGTGCGGTAGCCTAGTGTCCATTTTGCTTAAATGTTGCTTAAATTGGCTTAAAAACCTCTCATTCCCTCACCCAAAGTGTATGAACGTGTAAGTTGAACAACCTGTTCTAGTTACAGTGATTACTTTCAGTTCGGGAAAGGACTGGTACGACCTACGTAAACCCGTCCAGGACCGGGCGATGAAGCCCCACATTGTTGCACAGTATCTTCCTTCCCAGAGGGACGCTGCAGACGACATGGTCTCCACCATCATATCACAGAAACTTCACGTCGACGACATGAGCAAGCTTCTTTTCAGATACACGGCAGAATGTGAGTTTCTTTGTTGTCACAGTTTTATCAGACACCAGTGATTGTATGAGCACCATTGCAAGTTATTAGGGTACTCTGTCAACCTATCGTCTACCTCACCACCCGATCCATTAAACCGCAACATACGACAAGCATGCATTCACCATTTCTAACGGGGTAGCCTAGTGGTTAAAGCGTTCGCTCGTCACGCCGAAGACCCGGGTAGAAAGTGTGAAGCCCATTCCCGGTGTCCCCCGCTGTGATATTGCTGGACTATTTTCTCCTAGGACAAATGTAGAGGTTAGCATCAAGTAATATGATGCACCCGATTTTATCACCCATACAGCATTAATACTCATGCAGTTGGTCTACGAACATGTGGACACTGTTTCAACAGTGGGGTAAACCTTGGTTATTTTAGTAACGTAATACAGTCTGTGGCTAGTTCCATATCAACAAGAATTGTGAAAAGAGAAACCATGTTCTGAATTTGATAATAACAGTAGTGAAATATAATATATACAAAATGAAACAAAGAGATGAAACACCAAATTTGAACTACATTATAGAAGACGTAAAGACAACATATTATGCTGAACGTTTTAACGCCTATTCAAATTGCAAATATGACAGCTTCACAAAATTTTGGTCACTATGTCACAATCTGTTCTGTTAACCTAGCGCTATATATAATGTACTGCTATATATTTTCAAGTCCCTATTCATTTCCACTTGAATGCACATTTGCCTGTAAATCGACTTTGTATATATTTGCGAATCGTGTTTATACCAACCCGTTATGCAATGAACTGTATGACCTGGATGTATGGAGAATCAAAAATAAAAAATTATATTAAAAAAAAAGAATTTTTAGAATGTGAGAGGTGTCATACTAACTACTGGATTACACTTTTAAAAGATAGAACTTTTTTTAAGCATTTGGCCTTGGACTATATTGCCAAAGGCGGAGTAAAACCGCACTCACTCACTCACTCACCATATCTAACCGAGATCGCTCCGTCCTTGTGTTTCTAGGTTTGTCTGTACCTGCTGTCGAGGATTTCGAGGTGACAACTGAAGATATGATGTATGCTCTCCTCCATTGATTTCAGCGACTGGCTTGTTCTGCTTCAACGTGAGACTGGGGTTCCTGGACAGTCAGGGTTTGCCTATGACTCAGAAACAGGAGGAAATGTTGTTGAGAATACGTCAGTTCCTGTCACTGGTGGCCCAGAGTTTCTATACCTTCCCCACCTTCAAATACTACCCCAGCAAGATGTACAGGACATTTGAAAAGGTGTATGGTGATATACAGAAGTAAGTTTTTTACATATGACGGTCACAGAGACATAACCCTCTACTCTACATCGTACACATCTCGGTCCGATAATTACAAAGATCCCATTCCTCACCAACACTGTTATATCGTCAACTTTGTCGCTCGTTCACTGGCTTGAAATCAACAACCGATGAAATGGAATCCCCTGGACAAGACAAATTGATGGCCAATCCCCTTGTTATTGACTTTGTAACCATGGGAACAAATAAAATTTAAAATTTAAAAAAAATAAAACAATTGATGGCTAATCAGCTAGAGTCCGTTTTCCTCAGTTTGGAACAGATGGAGTGAAGTTCTAATTGTATTTGAGACTTCTCGTTTTCGGTTGCATCTGGGACGACATAGTTGCATGAGTGCTGGTGATCTTCCTACTGCACATGCGACCAGGGCCCCGTTCCACAAAACGATCGTAGCGCTAAGATGATCATAACTCCCATACTTTAACATAGACTTACGGATGTCGTAGCGCTACGATAGCTTTGCGGAACAGGGCCCTGAGGTCATCCCGCAAAGCGATCTTGGCACAGCGACGATCGTAAGCCCATGTTATGGCAATGGAGATACGATCACCTCAGCGCTAAGATCTCTCTGTGGGACGAAGCCTAGCTGAGCGCTAAGGTGACCGTAACTCCCATACCTTAACTTGACCTTACGACAGTCGTAAAGCTGTTCAACGCCAACATGGTCAATCGTTTCAATCATGAAAGAGAACGGTTATTGACAAAGCGCAAATACAACCCATCTTGTTCACTTGTTATCTGGAAGAATCTATTTGGCATCTATATATTATATTTCACTTCAAACTACGCTATGGTAGTCTCAATGTATTTATAAGCGGGAAGTTGGCGGACAGCGTTTGTTCGGGCCACGTAAATGGAGTATTGTGGTGACAGAGATTTTCTGTAGATGTGTGCTTCTATAAAACATGTTTATTAAACATGTATTATATTTTCAATGCAGATTTTTAGAACGATGTCTTTAAGACATAAAGAAGCATTTGCGATGTGATACCATCAATCAATTGAACATGCAAACAAGTGAAACCTTTAACAGCCTGATAGATAGTCATCTCTCTGTCATAAAGTGGGCAACTCAATGTTTATGTACCCGGATGCGATGGAGTGTCTTGAACGCTACAAACAAAGCAAGCTTGTGTTAGACCACCCAAGTACGTCTACAGGATCACCTAAGGCGGGCTGAACCACCTGTTGGTAGATGAGACAAATGCATTACATCGGCCATTACACCCTCCCTTTATGTCGGGGATCTAAATAAGCAATGCATATATTTGTTTCTATGCCCTCAATTTGCCCGGGTGGAAAGGTAAGAGATATGTATAAATTCTGTCTTCGAAGAAAAGGACATGAAATCTATTAACCTTATCCAAAACCATTTCTGATTACTAACACTTTAAGCCTAGTCTAACTGTATCACCTTGATAGTATTTAACGACAAAGGTACAATGTGTGAAGCCCATTTCTGGTGTTCCCCGCCGTGATGTTGCTGGAATATTGCTAAAAGCGGCGTAAAACCAAACTCAGTCAGTCAGTAGTATTTAACGACGATGTGTAATACGTATTTAGGCTTTGCTTATGAAACTGTTCACTTCCATAAACTTAAAAACAGTATAGAAATGCCCCAACTCTTCTCGGGATAACTGGTCTGTAAATATTGTTACTGTTTTTATTCCAGGACTGGCCTGACGTATGTGGAGAGTATGTACAGAGAACTCTGTGAGAGGAAAGCCAGGGGGACGCTGGACCCCCACGAACCCAACCTGCTGCTTGCTCTCCTCAATGATGACCGTCTTCCCAAGGAAGCCTGTTTCCGCATCATGTCCAGCTTCTTCACAGTGGCCACGGAGAATGTAAGTACTATATTAAAGTCAGTTTACATTAAGACCTTGTTCATGTTAGACGCTGTAAACGGCCAATAAGGGTTTGATCAAACAATAGACAAAAGTGGCTTTACACACACACACGCACGCGCGCACGCAAGCGTACGCACTACGCACACACATGCGTTAGTAATTGTTGGGATGTCCCAGACAAGACATTTCCAGGGATTTGTTTTTCCAATAAGAGTGAGTGAGTGAGTGAGTTAATATTTAACGTCACATCGGCAATATCTCAGCCATATCGTGACGATTTTCCAATAAGAGAATTTGTGACCTAAAAGTATTTTGTCTGAACCTAGAAGCCACATGGTCTTCAAGAATTTGGTATATTCAAATGTTTATGTCTTGCATGCATTTAATGTGTGTGACTTCTTTGTTTCTTTTAGTAAAAAATCTCATTAAAATATGAAGATGTATCTTTCACACGATTTCTCTCTCGGCGTAAAACTGTGATGACTTCTAAATTCTCGTTGCAAGTGAATGAAACACTCAGACCAGCATATCCATCAATTTCTCGTTTGCCCTCTGGAATATACAATGACGCGTGTTACAGGTTGCTAAATCTCTGTCACTGTCCCTGTTCCTGCTGGCGAAGAATCGGGACAAGCAGGAACTTCTGTACCAAGAGATTATCTCCCAGTGTGGCACCGGGAAGGTCGATGCCACGTCTCTGTCACATATGCCGTATCTTAAGGCCTGCGTTAAGGAAGGACACAGGTTAGTGATTTAACCACTCAGACTAACATTACAGCCGCGGTGAGTATAGTTAAGTTATCCATCAGCTCGCTGATCGTAGAGGTTTAATCCACCAATTTGACCATATTCCTTCAGGGCTTGGCACGTGTCTGGTGCGGGCGAGCCAAGAATCGAGTCTGGGATTGGAACATTTGGTTCTGGCGCAACTGAGAAACACTGCATGGCAGCCTTAGGCGTCTGAGACGATTGGGCAACATTTTGATTGCGGTTTAGTGTTTCAGTTTACAGTGTGTAAATATCAGGTGAGGTGAAATCCCAGTGTAAGGGAAATGTTGGGAGTGATCCACCGTCTTGGGCAGCCCAATGGTTATAGCGTTCTCTCGCCACGCCGAAGACCGTGTTCGATTCCCCACGTGGGCACAATGTGTTAAGCCCATTTATGGTATCCCCTGCTGTGATATTGCTGTAATATTGCTAAAAGTGGCGTAAAACCATACTCACTCACCGGTATGTGGTTGATTCACTCTGTGTGTGGTATACCTGGTGTTTGGCAAGAATGAATGTCCTTATCTATTCTGTGCAGACTGGCTTTCCCCAGCCCTCTTGGATCTGTCAGGATCATGGAGAAGAGTCTTCAACTGGACGGCTATCACATTCCCAAAGGGGTGAGAATTTTATTTAACGATTGAGCTATATTAGTGTTGTATATAGGTAGTGGTAGTAGTAGTAGTAGTAGATGTTGTAGTAGTAGTCGTAGCAGTAGTAGTAGTAGTAGGAGGAGGAGGAGGAGGAGTAGTACTGATGTGGATGGTGGTAGTAAAACTGGTCTTGTACAAACAAAAATTTATAATCCACGCAAAACGTGCCGTGCAAGCCATAGATTGCCTCATATGATCATCTTGAAACAATACAAACCAGGAGATCCTTCACTCCATTGCGACGCGATCTGCGTGAATACATCCATTCCATTAGAGGCAACTAATGAGCCAACCAGCATGTAGGTGCGGTGGAGCGATTCCTTCATGCCACTTACCTGGTTTCTGAAAACCAAGTTCAAACGGCCGCAATAGAGTTACGGATATATTGAACAGCCGAAGTATGCTCACAAACACCCCAGATACATCACTACGTAGACACGTGAAGGATATCCCGTAACAACAAGCGAACATTTAACCACCTCGATTGTGATCCCGGAAAATGTCTGAAGTTCGATCTCCGGCTGTGTCATACCATAAAGCGTTACAAGATGGTACTTGTTATTTCCCTGCCTGGTCGGCTCGTAGTCCTTATTCTGTGTTGAGTAGGTTATCCATGTCAAACTGTAAATGACATCTCAGTCGGTTAGCTCTATGACAGTGGGCTAGTACAAAGAACCATACCCACGCGAAAAGGGTGTATGCATATCAATGCCAACTGCAATAATTTTGAACGCGACTTCAAACTGCATTCACTTCACCTGGCAAATAGTAACTATCACAAGCATAAACGGAGATAAGATTGACTTTAGTCCTAGAAGGGTCGTATTCAGAAAATATGCCAAATAATATGCAAGAAAACCCCACACATGTATACTTAATCACCCCCTGAGAAAGATATACCTGTCCAGACGCATCTGCACGTGAAACATGAAGCTTCCTATTGATAACGATGAACTGCCAGTGCAAGGCAACAACGGTCTTTGATTTACCAGTCTCCTCCTCCCTTTCAGACGGAGGTTCACTTTGGCCATAACATACTATGCCACAGCCCCGAGTACTTCGACTCGCCCAAGACCTACATCCCCGAGCGCTGGCTCAGGGACGATGGCAACACCAGAAAGAAGCATCTTCAGTCATTTATCGTCATGCCTTTTGGGTTTGGCGCCAGGAACTGCCCCGGGAGGAGATTTGCTGAACAGCAGCTGTTCTTGGCTTTGATCACGGTACGGGCGGTTTTAGATACTGAAGGAAAACGTGACCTTGTAACACTGAAGGCGTGGATGCAAAGGAGAGATGGACATGGTGGTGTTATATGGAAGGTGAAGTGATGGAAGGAAGGTGACTGTGTTACATTGAAAGGAAGATCTGTTGAAGATAAGGCCTGATTGTTTTAAATTGAGGGATTATGTGTTGGAAGGAATGTTTGGTGTGCTACATAAAAGAAAGACGTCATGGAAGGTATGCGTGATGTGTATAGAAGGCTAATGGTGCTGTGTCGGTGCTATGTGGATGAAAGGCTAAGGGTGCTGTGGCGGAGGAGTGATGTGGATAGAAGGCTAGTGGTGCTGTGTCGGAGGAGTGATGTGATGAAGGCTAGTGATGCTGTGTCGGAGGAGTGATGTGATGAAGGGAAGTGATGCTACGCTGAGTGAGTGGTGTGATGGAAAGGGGCCGTAAGGGTGAAGCTGAAATGTCCGTGAGAGATAGTTGTGTTTCAGGCCAATGATGTATCCTGGTGTTCCTTAGAGTAATTATGGTGAGATGACAGAGTGTGTTGGGAAACGTTGGTGCTGTTTGTCCAGGGAGAATGTTTAGTCGAGAGCGATCTGTACTTTTGTATGCGTCTGTTCGGAATACACGTCGATACACATTATAGTTTTCAAACATTATCAAGAACACATTGTTTCCCCCACGACACTAAATATTAATCACATTTCATTACAGATCATCCAGTCGTTTGAAATCTCACTGAAGAATCCAGATGAAGAGCTCAGCATCGTGTACAACATTCTTGCAACGAAAGAAACTCCCCTGGAGTTGAACTTCAAACAACGCAAAAAATAAAGCAGAGACTGGTTGCCGTATTTGAACTGGCAATCAAGAGTTCTGCGCAGGCGCAGATACACTCTAAGCTGGTTGGCTTGAGCAGGTGGCACGACTCTCGAGGACCAAAGATATTTAAGTTGCTTTGAATAGTTTCATGTCTTAATGTCAGAATCGGTGACATGGTCCTTGTCCATATTCCAGGGGTCCCTCAATCAGCCGTGAATACCTACGATCCATAGGCTAGGTAGTTATGAGTGAGTGAGTATGGTTTTACGCCGCTTTTAGCAATATTCCCTCAATATCACGGCGGGGGACACCAGAAATGAGCTTCACACATTGTACCAATATGTGGATACGAAATCGGATCTTCGGCGTGACGAGCGAACGCTTTAGCCACTAGGCTAAAACCGACCCCGAGGTAGTGGTGACGTGTGAATATTTTAACCACCTCATAAAGTGAGGCCCTGAATTATTCCCGGAAGTCAAATCAGCTCTACTACAAGGTGTAGGCAGTGTTTAAAGTTCCCGCCTGTCTAATTGTTATCGATGGTCTTATTTGTTGTAGGAAGCTCAGTTTGCAAAGTTTAATCACCGATAATTTTGTAATTTACTACAAACGTGAAACACATGATTCTGTCACGTCATTGATATCACTCCAGGGGTAAACATTAAATCTGCATTTGATTCAGACTATGGATCTGAAATTCTTGGTCGGCAGCATCATATCTGGTTTGCTAACTTTTCAAAATTGCCGGTTCGATTGTCTCACTGAAATTTAGGGGACATTTACGACATGTATTGCACGCGATGTAGAGCGAGCAGCATCGCCGACGTGGATGTAAACTGAACGCTTACTGGTACACATAGTTTTTCTGTGTTTGATTGTATGTAATGTGGGGCGATTGGGGGACGTACTGTTAACAACGCGTACAAGAACAACGTGAACACCGATGTGAACACGGGTGCAAAAGAAAACACGTCGCTAATTGATAAATAACGATACAGATACTGAACTGCGAATGTGTATTGTGAAAGAGTTGTTTTCTAATATATTTGTTTTACTAAGATATGTTAGACACTTGTTATCTACTTTGGTGCTGGTTCGCCATGTTTTGTTGAAGTCCAAACCCTGCTCTGAAACCTCTTGCCCCTTATACACAGAATATAGCCAAAGATGCAGTTAATGGAATGAAGACCATATAAAACTTCTACTGGCACCATGATGCTGTAGCGATGATATGCTATAATAACCAACAAGTTGTTATTGAATAAAAGTTTGAATTGCGAATTCAGATTATTATGAGGCATATGAAAAGGATATTCCATGGCACATGCTGTGAGTGGAGGGGGGAGAAGGGGGTGTCTCCTGTGTAGTGAGTGAATGGTCTTTTACAGCCGAGTGTATAATTGCTTGCCTCACAAACCACAACTCCACACCCTATGGTTGTCGTAAAGGACGACTAAATGGGTCGGTCGGACATGTTCGACGAGTTGGTAATCGTACCCCGTCGGCCTATGTGTCACAATCCACCAGGACCCGTGAAGGTCCGGGTTAGAATTGATCTTCAGCAACTCATGCTTGTCGTAAGAGGCTACTAACGAGATCGGGTGGTCAGGCTCGCTGACTTGGTTGACACATGTCATCGGTTCCCAATTGCGCAGATCGATGCTCATGCTGTTGATCACTGGATTGTCTGGTCCAGACTCAATTATTTACAGAACGCCACCATATATAGCTGGAATATTACTGAGTGCGGTGTAAAACTAAACTCACTCACTCACTCACTCACAATCCACCAACCACTCCACCATAACGAAATATACTTCATTCTGTTTGTCAACGTGTACACCGCGTACGACAACACGGACCTATCCAGTCAGTTAATGCGAGAAATGAAAGTGATGCATATAACAAAAGGGGGCATACAGTGACCTTGGTGCCATTTCTACAGAATGTGCTATGTCTTGACCAGCTGCATAGAATCATATTGTTTTGTTTTAAGAAACAGTGTTGACCGATAAATGGAGAGATTAATTAAACATATACATATATATAAAGCATGTGGTGAAGCCCGATATTCATACGTGTACAGAGTCCAGCTAGTTTCACGTTTTCAGAAACATTCAGTGGATACAGAAAATGATGGAAGCAGTCAACGAGGTGAGGTGAGGTGAAATTGGGTTTAACGTCGTGCTTGAGAATATTTCGCTCATATGACGACGTGCATGCGTGTGTATGTGTAGGTGCGGCTGCTTGTACTAGCCCAGACTGAAGCTGGTTTTATAGTGCTAGCCCACTGAGATACCATGCCGTAGTGAAGCATGAATACCCCACTCAGACACATTATACTGACTCCGAGCCGACCAGTCCTTGTTGTACCCATTAATGCCGAGCGCCAGGCAGGGACCAGCAAGTACCATATTTTAACGTCTTTTGGTGTGACGCGGTCGGGGATCGAACCCGCGACCTTCCGCTCTCCGGGCGGACGCTCTAACCACTACACCACGGATGCGGTCGCAGTCAACGAGTGTGTGGTGGTAGAAGTGAGGGACGCCTATGATACTCAACAGAGAATACTAACAGTTCATTTCCTTAAATCCGTTTAAAGTGGTTGCAATGATGTACAGTGTTTATTGAATATTATTATCGTTCATTACAGTGTATCTTTGGGATGGCAAGATGTCACCTTCACTGTTTTCGATCAAAATGAATGATCTAGCGGAAGAAACATGCTATATTTGGGATTCAACTTTCTTAGTAAAGTACAGATTCTAGTACTTTTGTTAGGGTTGAGTTCCATCCAGGATTCGAACCCACACCCTCAGAGTCAGGCACCTAATCGCCAGCACTCAAACAACGAAGACAGTCTGGGATCTGGAGCACCGTTTAACGGTGACTACTATTGGCACTAATGAATGACAATGATATACAAGTTGAGATGAACCCACAATCACCGGTGAAAGCTTTCATTCAACCATAGGCCCGAGTAGAACTGATTGTGGAACATAGATCGCCGGTGCCTCAGTGAAACTGCACAATCATTAGTTTGGTTGAACCAGGTATGAAAGGAACCGTTTTATCCTCGTTTACGGTCCTCCTCCACTTGTGGCACCATCCGTGAAGAATGGTCAACACTGTGGGTTCATCTCACCTTGTATATCATTGTCAATAATTAGTGCCAATAGTAGAGAATCCGGGCGATTCAGAAGAAAGCCTGCAGGTACTGTCTGGGAGTTGAGTGCATTCCTCGAACCACGCTGCACGAGGAGACGTAGGCTTGACTTCATGTTCGGTCTTCAGAAAAAAGAATTACTATTTTTTCGAACGTTTTTTCCAAGACCAATGAATCATTAAACTATGTAAATGGTCACTTACAAAAACCAATTCATGAGATCTTAAAACGTTCCAGTAGATATAATGCGTAGACATAATGAGTGGATGTTAGTGAGGACTGACGCAATAAGCTGTATAAATTCAGTTCCCAATACACTTTTTGAATGTGGAGATACGTTGAAGTGGCTTCGGATATCAAGAATGATTCTGGACCTCGGGGTAGAAGTAAACCCACAGGATCTCCAAACGACAATGCAGCCTTAGTTCTACTGTCACTGTTATCCCTGTCAAAGACCGTGTTGAAAGAAGTATATTGGTCAAATTCAGATGTGGGTTACCTCCCCTGGCTATACAGTCCGGCTGGTACGCCTAGATCTCACGCCGTCATAGAGCCTGTAAACACTGTGCTACCTATTTTGTGGGAGCTTTTGCAGTTGGAAAAGTTAAAGTTAAGTTGAGCGGATGCGCCGATTTATCAGCAATATTAGCTTCAGAGTTTACCTTGCCCTACAAGACTGAAGGTCCAGAGGACCCCCACATGTTCCTAATTTCAAGGGTTCATACTGGAAAATTGAGGGTCTTGTAAAGTAAAATACAGATCGAAATTGTCCTCTGGATTCATGTCAGTGTGGACACTCAGTAACTGAAGTACATGTAGTTCAAGTTCAGCCATGTCATTCACATATAGTCTGTTTGCAGTGAAAACGTACCGATGAATTTCACTTTAAACAAGAAAGTAAATCAAATAAAGTGAAATTAGTATTGCGAATCATCACAATTTTACCTTGCCAACTGAAGATTTAAATCTCAGAATTTTATTCATCTTAGGATAAAAGTTGTTTAACAAACGATCATTCATTGAAATCGCTATTATCGGTTTGTATTACAAAGGGGCAAGAGCAGTAGTTGGAACAGTGAAACAAATGCACGTGCGGTTCGTGATGAGCGTTAACTTAGACCAACTCTACTTGTTCTCGGTGTTTCATTTGATGTGCATACCCCCTTGTAATACAAACCAATAATAGCGATTTGAAACTATGATAGTTTGTTAAACAACTTTTATCCTAAGTTGAATAAAATTCTGAGATTTTAATGTTCATTTGGCAAGGTAAAATTATGAGGATTCGCAATTGTAATTCCACTTTATCCGATTTACTTTTTTGTTTAAATTGAAATTCATCGGTACGTTTTCACTGCAAAACAGACTATAGGAGATAGTAATTCTGAATGTGCGCGTGTATTACTAAATACTGAGAAGTTGTATCAGCTCAACTGGCATAGAAGTTCTTGAAAATAACTGAATGTCTGGTAGATGATGTTTACGTGGTCAAAAGTACGAGTAATTAATCGGCAATATTTGTTATATTTACTCGGCTCTCAGACGAATGGCATACCACGACAGCTATGCATAGACTTCATACGCATTCACCTCATAACTCGCTGTATCGTTGCGATGTGTACATGTGTCCAATATCATAACATACAAACTACCTTCTCTCCTAGAAATCGACTCTATCCAGCTCATCTCGACTGCAGTGAACACTTAATATGACGCTACCATTTCTTCGTTCAATGCCGACGTTTCTGACTTGATGATATTATTAACTCATCTTTGAAATCTGAGTTTTATCGTTTCATATAATCTCGGTGAAAGCTTCGCATTAGTGCCAGGTTACACCTTGAGAACAGTTCACGAGCGACTCGTCAGCTCTGCAAAAAAACATTCATCCACGGCCTATATTCCAGCAATGTATTTCTACTGTCAACCCTGAGTATAGACAAGTTGATAAGTTTAAGTGGGGTAATAAACAAATTCCTCCACACAACATTCGATGCCCCCGTGACCGACTTCTAGTTCTACCCCTACCCCGACCACCACAACCGCTCCAATCACACACACACGCCGTTTTACAAATAGCTTGCGTTTTAACTGCTTTAACGGTGCTTATCACCACCAATGAGCACGTGTTCTAAACGTGTATATCTCCATATCCATGTTCATAACCACCACGTTTTAGGGACCGTTCATTATTTATGGCTAGGGGATGATGATGATTTTAAGGGGAGTCATTTTGTTCTGGGGAGTTAGGGAGGTCATTAATTTTGTACACATGTACTGAGGGATGGGCTGGGTGGGAGGTCAGCAATTTTGTACATAAAAATATGTTTATTATTATGCTAAGAAACTATGGGAAGGGAGGGTTGGGGGGTGGGTGTCATTGATTTTGTACATGACATGCAGGTGGGTCACTTATTTTGTACATACATTTTAGGGGGGACATTCACACTGTACATGCTCCTCCATAAAAATCATCATCACCCCTCCTAGCCATAAATTATGAACGGTCCCTTAGGCAAACGGATACATTTCTCAAACAGATATATTTTAGTGATTTTACTTGCGCTTTGAATACTTTGACAGTCCCTGTCACTCACCAAAGGGACATAAACTCTGACAAACAAGGGCAGATAAGAAGCCATCCACGTCACGTGATTTGACAAGGTGCTCTCAAGATGGCGGACGAGTTGGAATTTCGGGTGGAGAGGTCAGATTGAATGTACTTTTGCTCGATTATGCCAACAATTTCTCATTTGTTTAGCATGGGTGTGTACGTGTGCATAACAGCCACGTAACCAACTATTAATTGCAGCAGTTGTTAGGAAAGTAAAAGCAATAGGTACATTTGTTGGCCATATTTTGGATGACCCAAATTGTGAACGTAGTTTGTTTACCTGTAGTAAAATTATTTTGGTCCGTGGCATGTTTGTGAAAATGATATGGTTGAGGAGTGGATTACGCTCTTCCAAAAATCTTTGTTTTCATAGAATACGTTTTCATGGAATCCTATTAACGATTTCATAAATGTTTATTCGCTGAGGATATTAAAAAAAAAAAAAAAATTATTTGTATCATAATTTCTATGGGCCTGAATGTCTGAATGTGTCTGGGGTCCACTTAGGCTCACTTTCTCACAGGAGCCTTGTCGTGAAACATTCCAGCAGTGTTGAGTTGTCAACATATATACTAACTATACAATACTGAAACTGTTGGTGTTGCGCAGGTAATATGGCAATGGAAATGTACAACCCCCGTTTCTGTATGCTATTTTTACTGTTCTGTAATCGGCATACAAAAATAAACCCATCATGGCAATATTTATGGGCCAGAAGAGTGGACAAGAAGAGCGCCAAACCTGCTCCTTATCAGATGTGCAAACTAGTCTGCTGTTATAGTATATACCAAAGAGACAATTTGAGCTCACTCATATGTTTCATACTGGTAATCTCACATGGATTTCTCACCCACAGCTGTCCCAGATAGCATTCAGACGTTGTTGGCAACGTTGGCAATGTTGGCAAAACCATTGCCAACGTTTGGGCCAACGTCTGAATGCTATCTGGGGTGTAACAAATGACTGTGACCCATTCAACTTGTTGAGACACAATATCCTGAGCATGCTGGGTGACAGGGAGTCACATCAATTTATGCGACACAGAAATGTATGTTCAGTACATTCAAATATATAGAATGGATGCAGAAAAATCCATTATTTTGAAGGATCCAGTACCATGTTTACTGCACCATAGTCCTGGCCATATCGATCATTTGATCATACAAAAAGCCATGAATATAGGATACTTGTTGTTACCCTGGCTGACATTCTGTATGAAAAGGATGCAAACACTGGCCAGCTCGGAGTCAGTATACTGTTTTATCAGAGTGATAACCAAGTAATCATGGTTAAAGTGCGACATGGTATGTCTGTGGGGTAATACTGTAGAACAAGCAATTGCAATTGCACACAAAACACATGCATACACGTCTTAATAGTGTAATAAACATGAACATGATGAATACAACATTAAACCCCATTTCATCCGCCTCATTCACTGTGGTCATTCAAATGATGTTTAACGTCATATAGAATATTTTGCTCATATGACGACGTGCATGCGTGTGTATGTGTGGCTGCTTGGACTAGTCCTGACTTAAGCTTGTTTTATGGTGCTAGCTCACTGAGATATCAGGCTGCAGTTAAACATGAATACCCCGCTCAGACACATTATACTGACTCTGAGTTGACATTAATGCCGAGTGCCTGGCAGGGACCAACAAGTGAGGTGAGATGAAATTGGGTTTAACGTCATGCTTGAGAATATTTCGCTCATATGTGCGTCTGCTTGTACTAGCCCAGACTGAAGCTGGTTTTATAGTGCTAGCCCACTGAAATACCATGCCGCAGTGAAGCATGAATACCCCACTCGGACACATTATACTGACTCCCGAGCCGACCAGTCCTTGATGTACCCATTAATCGCGAGCGCCAGGCAGGGACCAACAAGTACCATATTTTAACATCTTTTGGTATGATGCGGTCGGGGATCGAACCCACAACCGTCTGCTCACTCATCATGCATGAACACAGGAAATGTACTTAGCGACTTCGGGGTGTTAGTTTTTATTGTGTTGTATTCTAACATGGTTAATCAAGTCAGTCACGATTGTTTAAGCATGTTAAGGAATTGGTTAATTATAACCATGGTAGTATGATCAAACTTCAATTTGAAACAACATTTTCTTGTAGGTAATATCTGGTAGGCTGAAAGATGACATTTTCGTGAGCTTGGATGGCATGATGGCAGAGATCATATCTCCAACAGATCATGGTCAACAAGAACTTAAATAATTTACACTGAGTATTACTGGTGAGTTGTAAAATTTATTCATTGTCTCTTATTTTTTTTTAAAGTCATACTTACTACCATCATGGTAACCGTTTCTGTGTAAAGGGTAAGCATTTGGAGCCACCTTGATGGTTGTTTTATCATTTTGTCACATCTTTGTTACTTAGATAAGTATCCAGCAGACGCCACAAAAAACAAGATGGATGAAAGTGACCTTCACCTTCAGTATGAAGCCCAGCAGCAGCTGGTTGAGCAGCTGAAGGGAATGATCAGAGAGAGGGAGGACACCATCAAAGCCAAAGACAAAGAGCTCCAGGTGAACTAAGTATAGCCTACAATTTGTGGAGCCCATTGTGTCTACCATGATTTTGCTGGAATATTGCTAAAAGCGGTGTAAAACCATAGTTATTCATTCACTCACATCTGCTGAAGGACCAGTTAGTAAGTCCAAGTAAATAGCTCAACTCCCTAGATGTTGAGACATACACTCCTACCTACCCAATTACCAAACTTCCTTGTAATACTACACTGTCATAATCTCATGGAGAGACTATAATAACTACTGTTATATAGTGAGTGATGGCAGGTTGGATTCCATGTTTTAAGTCAACTTCATGTACTGGAGTTCTATATTTCCATTACAGGACACAAATTCCAAGTTATCCAAGCTGAAACTTCAGGCCAAAGCCAAGGTGGTGAAGATGACCTCACAGTTAGAAGAAGCAAAGAAGGCAGGGGAGGCAGGAGACAGGGTGAGTGTTGCTTAACCCACAGGGAAGGGGGTCTGGAGGGAGTTTTCCTTAACCCACAGGGAAGGGAGACAGGGGTCAGTGTTGCTTGACCCACAGGATGGGGAGACAGGGTGAGTGTTGCTTGACTCACATGGAGGGGAGACAGGGCTGGTGTTGCTTGACCCACAGGAAGGGGAGAAAGGGTGAGTGTTGCTTGACCCACAGGGAGGGTAGACAGGGTGAGTGTTGCTTGACCCACAGGAAGGGGAGACAGGGGTCAGTGTTGCTTGACCCACAGGAAGGGGAGAAAGGGTGAGTGTTGCTTGACCCACAGGAAGGGGAGAAAGGGTGAGTGTTGCTTGACACACAGGAAGGGGAGACAGGGTGAGTGTTGCTTGGGTCATATGAGGGGAGACAGGGGTCAGTGATGCTTGACCCACAGGATGGGGAGACAGGGTGAGTGTTGCTTGACTCACATGGAGGGGAGACAGGGCTGGTGTTGCTTGACCCACAGGAAGGGGAGACAGGGTGAGTGTTGCTTGACTCCACAGGGAGGGGAGACAGGGTGAGTGTTGCTTGACCCACAGGGAGGGGAGACAGGGTGAGTGTTGCAAGACCCACAGGAAGGGGAGACAGGGTGAGTGTTGCTTGAGCCACAGGAAGGGGAGATGGGGGAGTGCTGCTTGACCCACAGGAAGGGGAGACAGGGGAAGTGTTGCTTGACCCACAGGGAGGGAGAGACAGGGGAAGTGTTGATGATCCACAGGTAGGGGAGACAGGGTGAGCTTGCTTGACCCACAGGGGAGGGAGACAGGGTCAGTGTTGCTTGACCACAGGGTGTGTCAGTGAGGGGGGACAGGGTGAGTGTTGCTTGACCCACAGGGAGAGAGGGGAGGGTGGTCAGTGTTGCTTGACCCACAGGGGAGGGAGACAGGGTGAGTGTTGCTTGACCCACAGGGAGGGGAGACAGGGTCAGTGTTGCAAGACCCACAGGGGGGGGAGACAGGGTGAGTGTTACTTGACCCACAGGGAGGGGAGATAGGGTGCGTGTTACTTGACCCACAGGGAGGGGAGACAGGGGTCAGTGATGCTTGACCCACAGAGAGGGGAAACAAGGGGAGCATTGCTTGACCCACAGAAAGGGGAGACAGGGGAAGTGTTGCTTGACCCACAGGGAGGGGAGATAGGGTCAGTGTTACTTGACCCACAGAAAGGGGAGACAGGGGAAGTGTTGCTTGACCCACAGGGAGGGGAGACAGGGTGAGAGTTGCTTGACTCACATGGAGGGGAGACAGGGGTCAGTGATTCTTGACCCACAGGGAGGGGATACAAGGGGAGCATTGCTTGACCCACAGAAAGGGGAGACAGGGGAAGTGTTGCTTGACCCGCAGGGAGTTAGACAGGGTGAGTGTTGCTAGACCCACAGGAGGGGAGAGAGGAGGGGGAGTGATACAGGACCAGCATGATAGACAAGGTTATGGATGGTTATTTGTAAGCTCTGTACCCACACCATGACCTGTGTCAGTCTGGTCCTTCCTCCCACATCAAGCTGTCTCCATCACTCACTCCGGAATGTTTTGCAGGACTCCGACACCAGCAGCATCACCAGTGAAGAAGGGTCTTCCAACAAGGTGTTCCGGGCCAAGACCAAGATGCTGAAGCGGCAATTGGAGGACAAGGACAAGGTCATCCTTGAGAAGGACGACATCATCAAGGTCAGGGAGAAGCAGATAGAGGACAAGATGGCCATCCTTGGGGACCGTGAACTGATCGTGCACGACCTCACCGAGCAGCTGGAACAGAAGACAAAGCTTATCGAGACTCTGCAGGGCATACGTGAAGTGGGAGGAGACGGAGGCTCTGAGGTAGGTTGGGGGAGTGTGTATGCGCCTTGGTGTTTCTTGCAGTATGGGCACCGGACAGCATACTGACCAAATGCTCAATGAGATTGAACCTACAGATGTTTGATCATTCTTTCACCATTCAGAACAAATGTATGTTTTTGGTCTGTGAGTAGTGTTTTGATTCAGGGGTAGTCTCAAGACTACCGACAATGTTGCAGGACTGCTATTTTGCTCAGATCTTATTACATTATATATGCTTGTCTTATTTGAGCTTTAGATTAGTTGGATACATGTCACAGCTGTGAATAACATCTACTTATGAAGTATGAGACAGTCAGTCTTAATCCAATCCTGTATGATTATACATAGAAAATACTTTTTGATAGGTTGAAAGATGAGCTAGGAAAATGATAAGCCTGTTAAGCTGTTGGGCTTATGTTAATGAATGTCTGTCGGTTCTATTTGCGGAGGTCGATGATATTATCAGGTTTCAGTTGAAAACAGTTGTTTTATTTGCAGAGATATTACAACATGTTAGCTCAATGTTATTGTGTTATATAGCTAACTTACATTCTGAGGAGCTGATAATATCTTTTTCTCATCATTTTAAGCTTAAAAGTAAACTGTTAAGTTTCTAAACCTTGACTTCATAAGTATGTCAGAATACAAAAAGCAGTCCAAAGATGTGATCAAAATACAGTAAAATATGGTCATAACAAAGTCAAAGGGGACCACTAATTTAATCTGTTATAATCATAGCTTGTTGTACACATTTCATCTGAAATATACTACTCACACTTTGCTAAGGATCACAAAAATTCACAACTTTACTTAAAGTAGATTCATAAGCTGAAATTGTATCCATTTAAAACTGGATAAATAATAATATGGTAACCGCTATTTTGGCAAACAGTCACTTTAATCTAACCTTATGCACTTGATACATGAATAACCATCAAACTGGTTTTCATGGCACAAATCAACCATTTTGCAAATCATGGAATGAGTCAGTGACAAGTACACAACACCTGTCAATAGCAGGTATGGGATCCACAAGATGAAATGACATACTGAAACCTAGGATCCATGCTTACAATAAGCTTAGATATTTAAACTCAAATTTGAGCCCAAATCATAGTTTTCTGTTGATGATTTGATCCTTAGCAAAGTGTGAATAGTATATATAGCAAGGGACTAGAACAAACTAATAGTTTGTTGTATCTGTCAGTTTGTTATAAGTTTCTTTGTCAGAAACATTTGCTCTCTGAAAATCTGTTTTCTTACAAACACACACCACTATGCAGGAACTACTGTAATCAGTATGGAGACAGTTGTTTGTAAAAGGGCAAGCAATTAAGCCATGAGCACGAGTGTGGATTTGTACGCACAATAAATAGGCACTATTATTATTATTAATATTTGAGTCAGACTCGATATTCAGGTCAACAGGTTAGATAGATGGATGATAGCTTTAGGTCCCTTAAAGTCCCTTAGTAACCAGTTAGTGGAAACATCATGTAGACAAGCCTGCACATATAGTATAATCAGTAAACAGTGATTGATCTAATAAACACAGAGTCAATGGTGGAATTTAGCCATATTGCTGATAAAATAAAACATTGATGACTCACTGGTTAAACTTGAGTCATATGTCAGTCTTGAAAAAAACAAGTGCTAAGCAAATGTATATCAGGAAGTAAACAATATGTTTACAAAATATTCAGGGGTGGAAATAACTTTAATATTGCTTGTGTACTCCGGTACAGTGGCACATGTAAAATCACTTGCCCTGATAATTTTTCCACTATACTGGCCGATTTTCTTGTAAAGTTTTTAAATAAACAACATGATTAACATTGGAAAGTCAACTGGACACAGGTACAGTGTGATATACAAATTTGCTTGCCCGACAAAAAAACCCACTGGACTGGGGCGTCGGGCAATGGGTTATTTCCACCCCTGAAATATGTGAGTATGGGGGCCACACATCATTCCTTTGAGGTTTGATCCTGTAATGTTTTAATCTATGTATCCCTTATGTAAGTCCTTCAGTTTTAACATTGGGGTTGACAATGCCCTCTTTACTGGCATGCATAAACACTGAATATATCTTACTATAAATTTACTTCAACCAAAATACTTGAATGTGAATATTTTGAGTGCAAGCAGTGCTGTGTATGTCAAAAGTTATTTTTTTTATACATTGTTCTTTATGTTTTTATTATTTAAATTATATCAATCGTAAAAGTAATATGCCCTTTGACTTGGGTTCATACATGTGGTTTGAATATATAACAGCTGACGGTATCTTGCATATCCACTATGCTTCCCACTTTGTTCATTATTGCATCTCCTCATCATGCTCTATCCTCCTACTGAAATATTAACACTTCTCTGCACATTTGAATCCTAAGCATGTAAACCTGCATTGGTAAATTTTCCTAGTGTGCTTTAAACTGTTCTCGCTTTGCAAAAATCTACTGTAAAGTTGTCAAGACAAAACAAACACAGGACGGAGGATGGAGACGGAGCAAAGTTTCTGTCTGAAGCATGAGATTGTGAGCGGGTGTATTTATCAGTCCCAGATTCAGGAGATGTACGCTCAGATGGTGTACAAGGACAAAAAGATGATGGAGCTCAATAACAAGATTCTGGAACAGGACCGAAAAGTGATGGATCTGCAGGAGTTTGTTGGGGAAAAGAATGAGGTCATCAGAGGCAGAGACAAAGTTGTTGAGGTTAGTGAGGTCATGGAGGTAGGGGTGATTTTGTCATGGGCATGGGTTTGTTAGAGGCAGGCTCAGCGAAGGGTCAAGATTGTTTAACCGAGGGCATCAGCAAGTCATTAGAGGCAGGGTCAAGGTTGTTGAGTTAGGGCTGGGTGAGGCCATCAGGGGTCAAGGGTCAAAGCTGAGATGACTGAGGCTGTGGAGGAAGACTCAAGGCTGTGGAGGAAGACTCAAGGCTGTTTAACTAAGAAAGGGTTTTGGCAAGTAATTTCTTTGTTGGCAGTTCTCTTAGAGATTAGAGTGAAGGTTGTGGAAGATGGGGATTTACTGGTATCTTCGAATTGTTGCTTGAGCTCTCAGTAAGTGATAAAAAATGTCAGAGTACAGCTTTTTGATCTGGTCCTTCTGTTGGGGGTTTTAGATGTCAAATATACCTGAATTGATGAGTTTTATAGAACTTTTAATGTAACTTGTTTGCTGAGAGTAGGGAGGTTGTTAGTTGAGATTGGTGATGCATGCATGCATGCTACAATTATTCTTTTAGGATGAGTCAAGAATGTTTTTATTATTTTGGTTGGTTGGTTGTTTGGTAGGTTGGTTATTTAACGCTGCACTCAGCAATATTCCAGCTATATGACAGCGGCCTGTGAATAATCGAGTCTGTACCAGACAGTCCAGTGATCGACAGCATGAACATCGATACGATGACATGTTTCAATCAAGTCAGCGAGCCCAACCAACCAATTCCGTTAATCGCCTCTTACGACAAGCATGGCTTGCTGAAGACCAATTCTAGCCCAGATCTCCATGGGTCATTTATTATATTTTGAAAGTCTTATTCAGCCACCATTTCTTTTGGATTGGGTCTTTTCTTCACATTTTCTACGACACATGTTTATAGTGTGTCAGTGTGTCTATTATTACTCGCCCGTGGAAGATACTGCAGTGTAATATTTTTACGGCGATATTACACCAGTGTAATACCGCTAGACGTATGACGTCAAAATGGTTTGCAGTTATGACGTCACAATGCCAATACCTCTATCACAATGGTATTAGACCTTGCTTGACTCGTGGAAAGCTGAAAGTCAATACACCTCGTAGGCAGTTTTTATCAGTTTATGTTGGAGAGTAATAAACAGAATACTAAACTCGCTTCTGTGAAATACCATTTTTATTAAACTCGTGAAAGATTTAGCATCAAATCATTAACTCGTTTAATAAAAATGGTATTACACGGAAGGTCGTTGAGTATCCTCTATGTATTGTGACTTTTTGTCATTGGAAAAGCCTTTGTTTGCTTCAGATTTTGCAAACATCTTTAAAGGAGAAAGATCAAAGCGTCCAGGATCAAGCGACTTTGATCGTAAAACTTACCACTAAAGTTGAACACAATGAAGAAACAATAGCTCTAATGATTGAGGATCTTCGAAAGGAGGAACACAAATTGAAAGTGGAAAAAGATAAATTTGATCTCAAATTAACAGAAACTCAGAAGAATTTTGAGGAAACCCTGCAAGAAAGGGAGGTTGAAATAAGTAAACTCCGGGACTTGATCAGGGAAAACCAAAAAGACATTTCTACAAGGGAGGGCGATTTGAAAGAACTGATTTCTCGACATGAGAGGGACATTCAGCAGATTATGTCCAAGGGTGAAGTAAACATCCATGATCATGTGATGAAAATGTTGGAACAAAAGATGAAGGACACCAATGACGTCTTGGATGGAAAGATGAAAGTAATTCAGGTTCTTCAAACTGAGATGGCTGAGAAAGAAAATCAGTTGGCTGAAAACAAGGAAATAATGAAAACTCTGAAGGATAAACTGCAAGTAACCTCTGAACAGTTGATGCTGCTTCAGGCTAACTTTGTGGACATGGAGGCACAGTGGAAAACAGAAAGAGAAAGGCTTGAAAAGAAACAAAAAGATCTCATCGAAAAACAGGAAACAGAGAAAAGTGAGAAAGAATTGCAGATGCACACTTTGAAGACAACACTCACCCAGTATGAAACAGCCTATGCTCAAGCATCTGAGCAGTACAGTGCTTTGCAAGAAAGGTATCAGCAAGCTGTCATGGGTCAAGGTCAAGTTTCACCACTGCCACCTGTTGCAGCATCTTCTGACTCTGACGAAGTTCAGGCACTTAGAACTATGGTCGATCAACTGAAGGCTGAAATAGCTCAAAAGACTAATGTTCCTTCTTCCAAGTCTGAGGCTCAAGATTCTGATGAGGTCCTTGCATTGAGAACTTTGGTTGATCAGCTCAAAGCAGAGATAGCTCATGGGCCAACAGCTAAATCTGTGGCTGGGGACAGTGATGAAATAGAGGCACTGAGGGTAATGGTGGACCAGCTGAAGGCTGAAGTTATTGACAAGACAGAAAAGCTAGAAGCAGCCAAAAAGTCAGATGAGGTTGGGAAGGGAGAGACGAAGATGCTGAAGATGAAGGCTCAGATGACCTCCAAGATCAAGTCCTTGGAGAAGGAAGTCACACAACTTCGTAAGGTAGGGAAATGCTAACTGTATCTATTTTGATGGAATCAAGCTGATGTTTTAATGTGATAAATAAGTTCATTACACCTTTTGTTAAAATACATAGCCTATTATTTTTATGAAACCTCTCTTGAATAAGACCCCCACTGTCCTACATCTTCCCCTAATGTGTTTGCAGTCAGTCAGTTTGTAACAAACATGCAAGCACTAGCTGCTAGACTTTGACTTTAATGAGGACCATATTTCTTGCAATTCCTTGCAGGGTAGTGATCTTGCTGATGAGGTCATGACCTTGAAGAATCGCCTGGCAGAACTGGAAGATGAGAAGGGGCACTTGCAGCTGAAGCTGGTTGACTTTGAGGAGCTCCGACTGCAGCAAGGTAAGGCAGGGTCATGGATCGCGGCTATGTGGTAGCTAGTGGTGGTCCGACTAATTGAAATAATCGAAGATTGGTCGTAGTGACTAAACGACCAAGCAATCGATCATAATTTCTCTTTCTGGAACACTTGTTTTCATTAACAATATTTTTCACATGGTTGGTTTTGTCTGTTACATTTCGTAAGCACTACAAGCTCGTTTCAAGTCATGATCGAATTTATCTTAAAGATTCCAAGAAATTTATGTTCCTAACATACTAGTCATCCTTTAAAGATGTGAAATTTTGCCAAAAAACCCCAGAAGAACTACATTTTTTTCCCTTATCTTAATGTGCATTAACAAAATTCATAAATGACGCTAACCAATTATTTTCGATGATTGATCGGTAGTAATGAACCAATCATCAATTATGAGATTTTAACCAATTCCCAACACTAGTGGTAGCCATGGTGTTTAGTTATGTGTTTAATGAGAGGAACTTTCTGTGCCATTTCCTCGTTATGTGCTGGGAGTATTCACTTTGAATAATGCCTTAAGCTGCGTAAAAACTGAAAAACACGCAGTTTATTGACTGAATTAGTCATTAGGAATGTTTTTGAGCTTCTTAAGACGGCTGTGATTTCTCCTGGTGTATTCTTGTTAAAAGAGATATCCAACAGCCTATACTGAGCACATAATGGATGGGATGGTCGGGCTCAGTGACTAGTTTGATTGTTGCTCATAATATTGATCATTGGATAGTCTGGACTCGAATATGTACACACTGTGATCATGCAGCTGGAATATTGCCATGTGTGGTGTTAAACAATAAACAAGCAAGCAGGTATGGTTTATTATAGACCTATGAACAGTTTCATGGTGATGTTGTTGTGCTGCAGCTCAACTTGAGGCCCAGCTGAAGGACATGGAAGCTGAGAGGGAGGCTCTTACCAAGCAGAAGGCCGACCTCCATGCAGAGTTTCAGGCAGCCAATGAGGAGAGAGAGAAAGCTGAGTCAGATTGTCACAGACCTTCAAGCCACTGTCGACCAGGTAGGTAGTAGTGCTGTTTGTGAGTTGGCCACCATGAATTAGGTATGATGATGTGGTTGTATGATGATGGGTTTGGATTCTAGGTTTACCCCAAGTAGTATTATAATAATTTATTATTGGATTGTGAACTCTCAATCTGTGCTAACGGGTTTTACCAAAAGGGCTTATAGTGGAAACTTGTATCACCTGGCATTTCCACCACATTTAAATGATATGACTGACACGCTGTTAAAATTAGTGGTGAACCAACTCATGCACTCATTCTGTTCTTATCCCCTCCTGTGTTTCAGAACCAGGTGTCCCATGACAGCGACCAGCAGCAGAGACTCCTGGAGCTGCAGAAGGATCTGGACTCAGCTCGGGAGGAGCTGAAGGAGGTTCAGGAGCTGCATGATGCCGAAAAAAAGAATCGGGTCAGTCTGGAGATTCGAGCTGTCGAGCTGGAAGAGTTCAAGAAGAAGGCAGAGGCTGATATAGTGAGTAGCTTCTGCATCAACAATACCAGCGATAAGGGGACCTCATCCTGAACACAATAACAACCAGTATCAGTAAAGGTTGCATATTTCAGGGGGGAAGAGGATGAGTCTCAGGGTATTATGGTGGGTTAAGGGAGACACTTTGAATTCATTGTCTCTCTTCTCTAAGGGATTTTATTTTGTGTGTGTTTCAGGGGTAAGAGATTTGATGTTGGAAGTGGTGGACCATCATTTTCTCTTCCATTTTTCAAATGCTATTTTGTTTATGAGGAAATGGTTTGTTCCAGGAATCAATGATTGAGAAGATAACATCCCTGGAGAGAGTTGTGTCTGAGACTCAGACTGACCTGGAGGACAAGCTGTCCACCATTGAGAACTTGAAGGGAGAGAAGGTTGCCCTGGAGATGAAGATGGCTGAGACTGAGGAAACCAGAGATGGTAAGGACATAGAGGAAGACATGCCATACAAGGCGACTACTAGGGCCGATGGTTGATTGCCTTCTCACCCACCCCGATGCCAGGTTGGCATTGGTCTTCAGTAACCCATGCTTGTCGTAAGAGGCGACTAATGGGATCGGTGGTCAGGCTCGCTGACTTGGTTGACACATGTCATCGTATCCCAATTGCCTACAACGATGCTCATGCATTGATCACTGGATTGTCTGGTCCAAAGTCGATTATTTACAGACCGCCGTCATATAGCTGGAATATTGCTGAGTGCGGCGTAAAACTGAACTCGCACCAATTAACAGAACACCATCGTTTGGCTGGAATATTGCTGAGTGCAGCGTACAACTCTCACCAATTAACAGAACACCATCGTTTGGCTGGAATATTGCTGAGTGTGTTGTTAACTTACAAACAAACTGATGATGAAGATGTTGTCTGACCCATACAGTTTCTACTGATGTGAAATAGAACATGTCTAACAGATATTCTGCTCTTTGATGGTAGGAAACAAGCTTGTCACATTTTTTATTAAACGTCCCATACAAAGAGATGACCTTTTCAAGGTAGTGTAAAACTTTGTAACAATAAATTATTCATTAATATGAAACTTGGGGAACACATCTGTTTGTTTGTTTGTTGCAGCTACTGAGGTAGAGAAGCTGGAGCTGCAGAGTGAGATTAACCAACTCAAGGATAAGATTGAGAGTGACAAGAGACCAGTCATAGCTTTCGAAAAGGAAAATGAAGACCTCAGGGCCAGGGTGAGATATTTCTCCTCTCTAGGAAGTTTGTAAATTTGAATAGTTGGGGAATATTTCTTGTGTCCATGCCTTTTTGGCATACATATTTTTGTCCATTGCAGCACAGAATAAGTGAAAAAAGTGCTCCTCTGCATATATACTGAAAGCCATTAAAAATGCAATTTGACATTCATACTTTCTTTACTCACACTAATTTCAACATATATAAACCTAACTGGCAGATATGTTGTAAGTGAACATCTGTGAATAATTTCATCTGAAAATGTCCAGTCAACAACTCAGTGACACAACAATGACATCACACAAAGAAGGGATCACTTGCAGTCAATATCGTGTGTGTCCACCGTGCGCTGCAAGACATGCTCGCAGTCTTTGGGGCATTGAAAGACACACATTTCTCAGGAACAGCTGTTGGATGGTCTGCAGCCTCTGATGGTCTGTGGTCTGATCATGACACCACCTCCTCCAAAACGATATTGCGGTTTTGTCGAGCTGTTATCACAGGTGGTGCACCAGGTCACGGATGATCAGCAACACTTCCGGTAGCCCGAAAATGTTGTCTGAGTCGACTTACAGTGGATGGATGCACATTAAAGTGCCTGGCAATCATCACATATGAAGCTCCTTGGCTGACCATACCGATAATCTGATTCCTTTCGTCTTGTGTCAAGTGTGGCATTTTCTCAAAGTGATTGAGTTCCACAATTCCTTGTGCTTTTACAGGGCCTGGGTGCATGTGCACAACGTGTTTCATGAATGTGGTTGTGTTTACGAGAAATGTCAAAGGTTCAGTTTTAAGTATCAAAATTCATGTGAGAGGAATGCTCCGGGACTCGAACTCGAAATGAATAACAGCCTTTTATCCCTACATCCTCTGTATCGCAGCAAAAAATCTTCAATAGAACTTTTGTAAGTTTCAGGACAACAAATACAAATTGCGTTTTTAATGGCTTTCAGTATATTAAACACTAAATAACGTTTCCAAAATATATAAATCCATTGTTAGAAGTTGAAGTTTGATATTTGTCTGGTGTCCCCTGCCATGATTGTGAGAAACAAGACAATAATTTAAGAGTGAGTGAGTTTAGTTTTTATGCCACGCTCAGCAATATTCCAGCTATGTGGCGGTGGTCTGTAAATAATCGAGTCTGGACCAGACAATCCAGTGATCAACAGCATGAGCATCGATCTACGCAAATGGGATACAATGACATGTGTCAACCAAGTCAGCAAGCCCTACCACCCGATTCTGTTAACCTCCTACGACAAGCATGGGTTACTGAAGAAGAATTCTAACCCGGATCTTTTAGGGTTATTTTAAGAAGTCTGATCAGGCTGATGATAGTTGAACACTTCTGTTTGCATGTTAAGATATTTTGGCTAGAGGTGGCTATTAAATTTCTTTCTTGCAACATTTCAGGTTGAGGAACTGCAGAAGAATATTGACAGTGGATCAGAGATAACAAAACAGGATAAAGAAGAAATTAATAAGTTAACCTCCATGTGTGAAGAGCTACATTCCAGAATTGCCTCCCTTGGTGAAGAAAACACCCAACAGAAACAACAACTCCAGGCAGTGATGGATGCCAAGGTTATTTGATGTTCTTTCATTGATCAGCTGTTCGTCATGTGAAGAGACATGTGTTCTGTTCATCTCTGCATTACGTTACTTGTGACAAATATTCCTCTTATAAATGTGTTTATTCATAAATTAATGTTCTGTGATTGGATAGATATATATCCTGTAATGCTTTCTTAATTCAGGTTCTGTCACATGAAGTGTGGGAATAGTTTTTCACTTTTTGTACTAGTAGTTCAATTTGCAATGATTTGTGGCAGACTTGATTTTGTATCTCTATTTGCATGTTATTCTTTTTCTATTGAGGCTTCAATTGTGCACAAATATTTTATTACAGGAACAAATTGAAGAACGTCATCGTCAGTCCATGGAGGAACTCAAAGTCCGGGAAGAAACTATACAAAAACTAAACACAGAGATCACTGAAACCAAACAGGAGGTGACAACTCTCCAGGAGCAACTGAGGACTTCTCGCGAAGACCTACAAGCTGCCAAAGAGTCTGCAGTCTCAGACTTGGAGAGAATGACTGCAGAATTGGGTGAGAGAGAATCTCGCATCTTGCAACTGACTCAGTCTCTGGACCAGAGAAGTGAAGAGATGCAGAATGTGAAGGCTTCTGCAAACGAGGAGGCTAATGCCGCTGCCAGCCTGGATCTTCAGGTGAAACAGTTGTCCCGAGAGCTTGATCTGCTGAAGGAGGGTCAGAGTGAAAAGGGAAAAGAGTTTGAGATGAAGACTCATACTCTTCTCTCACAGCTGTCCGAGATGGAGGTTGAACTTTCTGAACAGCAAAAATCTGCTGCTACATTAGATGACAACATTTCGAAATTGAAAACTGAGAAGATTGAGCTTGAGAAAGAGCTCATGTCCAAAGAATCAGAAATTGTGTCCTTGAAACAATCTTCTATAATTCTAGAGGAAGAATTATCTAAACTGAAAAGTGATTTTAATGCACAAATGTCCAATCAACAAGCACTAGAAGAACATGCAGAGGAGAAGAGTTTTGAGTTCGTAACACTACAGAAACAGATTCAAGATTTTGTACAGAGGGAGCAGTCTTTTCGTGACCAGCTTGAAAAGGAGAAAGATTCCAGTGAGCAAACAAAAGGAGAGTATGAACAGTTACTAGGGGATCATGAGTTTCTAAAAAGATCAGTTGCAGAGAAGGATTCAGAGCTTGAAAAGTGCAATAATAGAATAGAAGAGTTGGCGTGTTTGTGTGGTGAAAGGGATAAATCAGTTGAAGACCTAACTGAACAACTGAATAAACTGCAGGAAATTTCAAGTGACCGTCTATGCAGTGTAGAAGCATCTGAACTTGAGATTACTAGATTGAACACTGTTAGCCATGAGAAAGAAAATGAAATAACATCCCTCAGTGAAATGTGTGATTCTTTGAAAACCGAGCTGACAAAAATGACAGGTGATGTGGAAAGATACAAAGTAGATTTGGATGTGTCTCTGTCTGAAAAAAAGTGATGTTTTGCTACAAGTCCAAAACTTGCAAAAAGCAGTTACTGAAAAGGACATCAAGATTGACTCCATTTCCCAGTCAATGGATGACAGCTCTTCACAGACTCAGAAGGTTCTAGAAGAGAAGGATATGAAGATCCAATCTTTGGTGTTGAACCTGGAAGAGTTGAACACCCATGCTCAGGCTGAATCTGAGAGGATTCAAAATCTTGAAACTGACCTTGAGGAACAGTTTCGTATCTGTGGTGAAAAAGATAGTCAAATACAGCTCATGAGTGCTGAGGTCCAGGAACTCAACTTGAAATGCTCAGGCCTTGAAACAGCGGTTCAGAGGTTGAAGGAAGAGCGTGAGGAGCTATCTGTTCAGTATGAGAGGACTGTGGAAGAGAATCAGGTGCAGGTGAGGACTTTAGAAGAGAGTAATCAACTTCTGTTACAGGATAAAGAATCTTTATCTGTTGCCTTGCAAGAACATAAACAAATGCTTGTTGTTGTTAATGAAAAGGTCACAGAGTTTGAGAGCACAGTAGAGAACTATGGGCGCGCAATTTATCAACATTGAATGACAAATTAGAAGATTACAAACAAATGTTAGAGAGTAAGGTACAAGAGGTAGATGCAGCTCGGTCTGAAACTCAGAACTTGCAAGAAAAGTTTGATGAAATCACAAAACTGTATGGTGACAGTGTTCAAGAATTGCAGACTGTGACAAGGGATTTTGATGTGTTGAAAGAAGAACATGAGAGCCTTTCCTCCAAGAACCTTCAGTTACAACTAGAATTTGATGAAATCTTGAAAAGTGTTCATGAGAAGAATTGTGAAAATGAATCATTGTCAGCTTCTTTGGATATAGTAAAGTCTGATTTGGCAGGGATGACAGATAAATATGATTCCCTGACAAAATCATTTGAAGCATCTCAGCTTCAGTTACAAGATACAGACTCTGAGAAATGCAGTGCTTTGTTGAAGGTGAGTGAACTTGAGGCTGAACTCAAGAACAAACTTTCTGATGTGAATTCCTTAACTTTATCTTTACAACATACCAAAGAAATGCTTGACACTCTGTCGACTGACTCCAGCTCCCAAGTGCGAACTCTCACTGAGAATGTGCATGAACTGAATGCTCTGATTGAGTGTCAACAATCTGAACTGTCCAGCATGAAATCCCAGTTGTCAGAAACCAAAGAATCATTTGAAAGTTTGCATGTCAAGCAGCTTCAGACGGAGAAAGATCTTGCCTCTCTGTCCAGCCAGCATGATGTGGTGCAGTCTGAATGTGCTAGTTTAAATGTTGAGAATAATAGCATGAAATCCAGTCTCTCCCAGTTAGAAACAGAGCTGCATGAGAAACAGTCACAATTTGAAAAGACTCATGTTTTGTTGACAGAAACTGTTGAAAAGTGTGGTGTTCTAGAGTCAGAGGTAAGGACTCTGAAATCTAGTCATGATTCTGTTGTACGTGAAAGGGAAAGGTTGCATGGAGAAGTTGAAACACTGACGTTATCTCTTGGGCAGAAGAATCAAGAGTTTGACAGTGTTGTGAAATCTCTTTCAGAAGATAAGGAAAGACTTACAGAACTTTTGTTTGAGAAAGAGAAAATGGTCGACAGTCTTTCCAGTGATATGGAGTCCAAGTCTTTAGAAGTAGGAAATGAGATTCAAACACTGAGAGATGAACTTTTGAAATGGAAGACTGATTGTGAAAGCAAGGAACAAGAGCTGTGTGACAAAAATGGGCAGATTGCAATACTACAAGAAGAACTTGATGTGCAATCTGCCTCTGGTCACTCATTGCTGGCCGCTTTGGCTGGACTGAAAGCAGAAGTGAGAACTGTTTATAAACTGCTAGATGCATCGAAAAAACAGTCTACGAAAGATGTTGATGAACTATCAAGACATAGAATAACCATTGAGGAAGAGCTTCAGAAAACACAGGCAAAACTTGCAGAGGAATTGGAATCAATATCTCATCTTGAGAAAGAACTGAAACAGAAGAGCCTCCTCCTTGAAGAGAGAGATGAGAAAGTTCGAGGTCTGGAAGAGGTCACAGGAGGCCTTGAACAAGAGTTGAGTAAAGCTGATAAGGAACTTGACAGAAAAGACAAGAAGATATCAGAGCTTGAAATTACAATTGAAGTGGAAAGACATGACAAGGGAGATATGAAAATGATGATGGAAGAAGAAAAAAAGATGTTTATTTCCAAGATTGGAGAAGTGGAATCTATGCTAGAGGAGAGGCAAAACACCATCAAAGATCTTCAGGATGACTGTAGTCAACAGATTTCTACCATTTCAACATTACAGTCAGAATTTAGGAGCATCTCAGAAGAGAAAGAGAGATTAGAAAGCACATTGACTTCAGTCAGTAGTAAGGTTGAGGAGCTGGACCAGGTTTCAGCCACCAGGGGCAGTGAATTGGAATCTCATAGGAAGAAGGTTGAAGAGCTAGAGTCCTTAGCTGCTGAGAAGAATCAGTGGATTGGATGCTTGACTGAAAAACTGAGTTGTCAGACAGATGAAACTGAGGTTGTAGTGTCCAAAATTTCCTCCTTGAAGGAGACATTGCAAATTGAACAGTCAAGGAATTCAGGTTTAGAAACATTAGTGAAGGAGAAAACTGATATGATTTCATCGCTTGATGAAATTATTAGTGATCTGAAAACACAACTGCAGGATAGATGCAATGTTATTGCTGTACTAGAGGGTCATGTTCAGGAGCTGCAGAGATCCTTAGAGGAAACAGAAGGAAGTGTGATGTCTCTACACCACAAGAACAAAGGTTTATTACATGATGTTCAGAGATTAGAAGCAAATGTCAGAACAGAGAGAAATATTGTAGAAGACCTTACAATGCATAAAATGAACTTTCCAAAAATATTGATATGCTGAACAACCAATTGGGGACAGGAGAAGAAGTTATCAGAGAACTGAATTCAAAGGAACATGATCTGTTGCTTCATCTGGAAGAAAGTAAAGACAAATTGAAAAAGGTTTCAGCACAGTTAGATGCTAGCCAGCAGCAACTTGCAGAAGTGCAAGATTGTAACAAAATGCTAGAAATTCAAAAGGATCAGCTTCAGACTGACTTTAGCAGTGTCCTCAGCAGCAAAGAAGTTGAATCGGAGGCCTTGAATACTATCAGGAAACAGATGTCACTGGTGGAAGATGAGAACGATGAGTTAAATACCAGAATCAAGAACCTTGATGATTCACTAGCTTTAGTTAAACAGGAAATGGAACAGACTAGTGAGAAGTATCGACAGACTGTTGAAGAAAAGGAGTTAAAAATAGAAAGCATGGTCAGTTCATTTGAGGATTTTCAGAAAATGATTGAAGAAAAATGTCAGAATGTATCTGAACTGAAGAGTCAGCTTACAGACACAGAAGGAGAACTCGGGTCACTTAAGGAAAGATCCAAGACCTGTATGGAAGAAAAGGATGTGAGGATAGAGAGTTTGTCAAACTCCTTGGACCACCTTCAGAATATGTTGGAGCAAGAGATGATGAAGTCATCCAAACTAGATAATGAGCTGAAAGAAGCACAGCGTGTGAACGATGCAGATGCAGATGTCATTGAGAAATACAGTGTCCAAATAAATGAGTTGAAACATCTCTTGCAAGATGAAGTCTCCAGTTCCCAGCATCTCCAAGAGAAAGTGCAACATTTGAATAAAAGTCAAGAGAAAATGTCCATTACCTTGGAGGAAAGAGAACTGAATGTTGTCCAGCTCACTGAAAATATTGAACAGATGTCCAAAAACATGGATGTGCTTGAGAGAGAGAGAGAAATAGGATTCAATGTGACAGTGATAATACTATGCAGGATTTACAGGCCACTATGCAGAAACTATCCTCATCTATGCAACAGATTGAGGTCCTGAAACATGAGATTGCTGAAAAGTGTTCAGAGTTTGATCAACTCCAGACCACTCACAAAGAGGAACAGTCCAAGTCCCTGATTGTGCAAAGAGAGTTGATGAAGTCCCATGAAGAACTGACTGAGAGTCGAGAGGAAACCAAAGAAGCTAATGCCCAGTTTACAGATGTGAGTCTGCAGCTTAGTGACAAGATCTTGGAGGTGAACACTTTGACAAAAGAAATGGAGGCACAGTCACATGATCTGAAGAAGATATCTCATGAAAAAGAAAGAGTCTCTTCAGAAATGATAGCTCTAGAAGAAGAGCATCAAACGATAAAACAAGAAGTTTGTGGCTTGAAGGAAGTGAGACTAGGCTTAGAGAATGATATCCTGAAGTTTGAAACCACAGTACAGTTACTTGAATCCGAGCTTAACACATTGAGAACCACCCTAGAAGAAAGGTCGTTGAAGGTTTTGGAACTTGAGAAAGCTGTGGTAAATACCACTGATATGTTAAACTCATCTGAAGAAGAAAGAGAGAGAATGAAAAGCAATTTGGAAGGCTCTGTTTCTGACCGAGACAACAAAATTGTCCAACTTACTGAGGAAGCCACAAATTGGGAGAAGATGCTGGAAGTGAAAACAGGGCAGATAGATGAACTAAATGCTGAAGTGTCTGAGAAAAATGCATCTTTGCAAATCTTAGGGGAACATTGTGAGGAACTGATGGTAGTTTCAGCCTCAGCTCAGAGTGTTGCTGCCAAAGCCAGAATAAAACAGACGCAAGTAGTCCTGGATCTGCAGGCCACAGTGCAGAAACTATCCTCATCTATGCAACAGATTGAGGTCCTCAGGAAGGATAAAGATAGCTTAGAAAAAGAAAAACAAGAATGTGCCTTACAGTGTTCAAACACGTTGGATCAGCTTGAGCAGACCAAAGCAGATTTATCTCAGGCACAACAGGATTTAATGTCTACATCTTGCACTGTAGAAGAATCTCAACAACTTGTGCAGGACCTGAAACGTGAGATTGCTGAAAAGTGTTCAGAGTTTGATCAACTCCAGACCACTCACAAAGAGGTTTTGGACCAACTTCATGTATCAAAGAGTATGCTTAGCAAAACCGAGGAAGAACTTATTGAACTGAAGGAAGTTCATGGAAGGATCACTGAGGAACTTGAATCAGTTCAAAACATCAAAGGAGGAATAGAGGAAGAACTGGTCACGGCAAAGGAAGATGTGGAACAAATTTCAAAGGACCTTTCTGTTCAGGCTGATGAACATGAAGTAATGGCAAAGAAGTTAGAAGAATCACTGGCAAATGCAAATGCTGTCTTAAATGAAAAACTGGAACAGCTTGATAAGTCAGAAAGACAGCTAGAGAAAATAAAACTGTGTTTAGAAGAGGAACAGTCCAAGTCCCTGATTGTGCAAAGAGAGTTGATGAAGTCCCATGAAGAACTGACTGAGAGTCGAGAGGAAACCAAAGAAGCTAATGCCCAGTTTACAGATGTGAGTCTGCAGCTTAGTGACAAGATCTTGGAGGTGAACACTTTGACAAAAGAAATGGAGGCACAGTCACATGATCTGAAGAAGATATCTCATGAAAAAGAAAGAGTCTCTTCAGAAATGATAGCTCTAGAAGAAGAGCATCAAACGATAAAACAAGAAGTTTGTGGCTTGAAGGAAGTGAGACTAGGCTTAGAGAATGATATCCTGAAGTTTGAAACCACAGTACAGTTACTTGAATCCGAGCTTAACACATTGAGAACCACCCTAGAAGAAAGGTCGTTGAAGGTTTTGGAACTTGAGAAAGCTGTGGTAAATACCACTGAGATGTTAAACTCGTCTGAAGAAGAAAGAGAGAGAATGAAAAGCAATTTGGAAGGCTCTGTTTCTGACCGAGACAACAAAATTGTCCAACTTACTGAGAAAGTCACAAATCAGGAGAAAACACTGGAAGAACTGAAGTTGTCTTCAGATGCAAATATAGCCAAGATGATCGATCTTACATCAGAAGTGAAGGCTTTGAATGATACTATTGGACAACTGGAACTTGACAGGGAAAATCTGCTTAAACGGCTTGAAGAAACTCAAAGTACTTTGGCTCATACAGAGGCTCATGTAGAAACTCTGAAAACGGGAAAACAGCAGGCCATAGACAATATTAAATCAGTCAATGATCAAAAGGAAGAACTCAAGAATGAACTGAGCAGCCTTGAACAGAAATTTGATGAAACACATTTAAAGATGTTGTCACTCACGGAAGAACTTTCCCAGGTCAGTGTTGCCAAATCTGAAACTGAAAACAAAGTTGCTTGTCTTGAAACAGAGAAGGAAAGTTTGATAATCACAAAGCAGGAGTTGATAGAAGAAGTATCAAGACTCTCATCAGAACTTATAGAAAATGGTCAACAAATAGAAAATTTGAGCCTTCAAGTTGAGAACGGGAGACAAAGTGTTGAGATGGGGTGCCAAGAGGTTGAACAACTCAAGGAACGTGTGAAAGTTTTGATGACCGAAGCTGAAGAAAGAAATATAGAGATATCAACACTATTTTCACAGTCTCAAATGTCCATGTCAGAATTCACCACAGAGAAAGAAAAGCTTAATATGACCATTGGTGAACTTGAGAAGGATCTTGTGGAGAAAACTGTGGTCATAGACCATCTTACCAATGAAGTGGATTCTTTAAGAAATGAAGCTCATAACATGGAGGAATCCTGCAGTGCTTTAAACACAAGCATTCTACAACATGAGGAGTCTGACAGAGATCTTCAGTCAAATTTAAAAGATCTGTATTCACTTGTTGATCAGAAAGAGAAGGAAATAACAGAACTCAGGGTGCAACTTCAGTCTGAACAGAAAGAGAGGAGTCTGATGTTTCACAGTTGAAGGTTGAACTGTCAACAAGAACAACAGAGATCAGTGAGATGAGTAACAAACTGGGAGTTCAAATAGAGAATTTAAAGAGGACTTTAGTGGAGAGTGAACTGAAGCTGCAACAAGCAAATGATGACAAAGACAAAACTGAGCTTGCTCTTAGGACTGAGATGGAAATGACAAGAAAACAGACTGAGGATTTATCATTACAGCTTCAGGAAAAATCAGATGCAGTTCAGGAAAATGAATCACAGTTGCAGATCACTTTAGATCAGTTGTCTGAGTTGGCAGATTCCAGTGCTAGTCAGAGAGCATCTTACCAAAAATTGAGTGAAAGGCACAGGAACATGGAGAACCTTGCTAAGTCCCTCAGGAGTACTATCGAAGAGAGGGATGTCTTCATTTCACATCTTGAAGAGGACTTGAGAAGTGCTTTGGAAACTGTTGCAGCGTCATCTGCTGAGAATGAGAAGATGAAATACAGTCTTGTAGAGTTGAAAGAAAATATGAGAGACACAAACCGTTCTCTTGAGAAGGCTAATGAAACCACCGTACTAACCAAACAGGAAACAAGGGAAACAGAGTCACAGAAACAGGACATTGAAATGCTTGTACAGCAGGTGCTAGATGAGAAGACTGGTATGGATAGAAGAATATCTCAACTGATGGAGACCATCAAAGAAAAAGATATTTTACTAAGTGAACTGAAAACAATGCTACAGGGCTTGCAGGATGAGATTGATTCACTGTCAGTTGAGTTAGGAAAGACAAGGTCCGCTTTACATGAGCACCAGGAAGAGAATGGACAATTAAGGGCATCCTTGAGAGATGTCCAAAACGAGAAAGTAGACTTTGTTGAGAAACTCAGAATCGCTAATGCAAGTATTGAAGAAATGGAACATAATTTCCAGACATTAGAAAAGGAAAAATCATCTGTGTGTGAAGAAAACTATACACTACTGGAAAAGTATAATAAAGAAATCCAGATGGCAAATGATACCATCAGTAATTTGGAAGCCCAGAATAGTGACAAAGATGTCCAAATACATATTCTGTCTACACAAGTTGAGGAAATGTTTACAGATAGCTGTTCATCTGTTGCTGCATTGCACAAACTGTTGAGGGAGAAAACTTTTGTTCACAAAGTGAGTTCTGAAAAGGATGATTCTTTGAAGAAAATGGAACAACAGCTGACAGAAATGAAGCAGGACTGCTTAGCTCTTACATCGGAGCTGAGTAACTGTGGAGCTACAATTGAAACACTCACTAGTGAGAACTCTTCCCTCACAGTCTCTTTGGAGGAAAAATCAGGGTTGGTGGAGTCCCTTTCTTCAAACATACACAGTCTCTCTGAAGAAGCTCATGTGTTGAAGCAGCACAACAAGAAACTGACCGAAGAATTGACCAAAATGGAATCGGACTTGAGAGGGTTAAAATCTGAAATGGAAGATAAGCTACAAACTACTCAACTGCAGCTGACAGATTCTCAAAATATGTGTCTAAAAGTTACAGAAGAAAAGAATGTTAGAGAGAAGGAAATTGGAGATCTTCAGACAAAGGGTCAAGATCAGGATACTGAATTGAAAACAGTTCATGGAGAACTAACTGAGCTCAAGGAAACATATCATAGCATTGAAAAACAGCTTAGCAGCCTTGCTAAAGAGAAGGAAGAACATTTAGAGAAGATATCTCATTTAGATACAGACCTGATGAAGAAAGTAGAGGAAACCCAGAGTATAAATGAAACACTTAATGCTAATCTTAAGACGTCAGAATCACTGTCCTCTGAAGTTGAACGTTTATCAGGCATTCTTAAAACCCTTGAATCTGAAAAGAACACCCTGATGTCAGAGCTGGAGGCATCTCAGGAAAAACTGACTCAGGCTGTTGATCAGGCAGAGAGACAGCATCTAGAACTGATCGAGCATTCAAAGCAAGAAAGGGACACTGAGGGTGAAAAGCTCATGGGTAGAATTGACCAACTTACATCTAACTTGAATCTTCAAGCAGAAGAATATGAATCTTCTTTGAATTGCAAAGATGAAGCTTTGCAAGAATCAAAAACACAGCTTCAGATTCTTGAGAGTGAACTATCTGATGTGAGTCAGAAAACTGTCAGCCTTGATGCAGCATATGTTGTGGCAGGACTCAGTACAAGGAAACTGAAAACATCTTTAGAAACAGTATCTTTTGAAAGAGACAATTTCAGAACAGAATTTCTATCTGTATCCTCGTCCTTTGCAGAAACAAAATCAGAGCTTGACAATCTCAGACAAGAAACAAAACAACAGAAGAATCAGTGGGAGGATACTGTATCAAGCATGAAAGCATCTTTAACCAAAGTTACTGAAGAGAGAGACTCATTTGTTGTTGACTTGCAAACTATTCAGCAATCCTTGCATGAAGTGAAGTTGGAAAAGGAAAATGTGCAGCAGGTTTTGAGTTCAGCATCATCCACTCATGATGCAGAGAGGAAGCGAAGCAACTATCTGACACAAGAGGTGGAACGTTTACATGAAAGTGTGGAGGTACTGTCTGCAGAAAAGGATTCTTTAGTATCAGATGTGAAGTCCAGAGATGAGCTTGTGGCTGCACTTCAAGAACAGAAGACAGAGCTAATGGCACTGTTGGAGAGTGAACAAACCGAGGCTGTATCTCTCAGAGATCAGATCAACTTGAGATCTGAAAGGATTTGTAAACTTCAAGAAGAGTTAAGTGATTTGTCTGTGAAGTTTGAGGAAGTGAGTAATAAGAGCAGACAGTTGGTCCAAAGTTTGGAGAATGTTTCTGAGGAGAAGAAGAAACTGGAGGAACAAACATCATTGCAGTCTCAGCAAATCCATGAACTGGCAACCAAAGAGGAGCAGCTTACGTCACAGCTGGATGATGTACGGAAATATTCATCAGAAAGTATTGAGACTTTAACTGATCAAAGAAATAATCTTGAATCAGCGGTGAAAACAAAGCATGATGAATCTTCAAGAATGTCTGATGAACTTGGACAATTGAAAATTCAATATGAAGATGTCATGAGAGAGAAAGAAATGTTGAAGGAAGACTTTGAAAAAAAATGTCTGGAGCGACCCAAGAATTAATGGAAAAAAGATCTGCATTGGAGGAAGTGTTCGCCGACTTGAGAGAAAAAGACACACAGATTTCAATATTCATTCAAGAACTGGAAGACCTTTCAGATAAGTGGTCATCTTATGATGCTGTTAGTAAGAAGATGTCAAAGAAAAATCACCTCCTGGTTAAGGATTTGGCTTCAGTGAATCAAAATCTCATAGAAAGGGATTTAGAGATTCAGCAGCTAAAAATGCAAATTGAAATTGTGACTCAGGAGACTGGTGAAACTCTTAATGAATCAGTTTCTTTAAGGATGGAATTGGAAGAATCTTTGAAAAAGGAGAAAGAGAGAGTGGAAAGTCACGAGGAGAGATTGAAAGTGTTGTCTGAGACAGAGGCAAACCTTTTGCAGTGTTTAGAAGCTGAAACAGTGAAGAAATCGGAATTAGATATTATTTTGAAGAAGTTTCAAAGTGATATTGTAGATAAGGATGTTCAGATCACCTCTATGAGTGACAGTCAAACAGTTCTTCAGGAAACACTGGCTGAACTGCAATGCTTGCATACCAAACTTGAAGCAGATTTTGCTTTGACCAAAAGTCACCTTGCTTCCACAGAATCTGATTTGCAGGATGTGAAACAAATATTGTCAGGAGAAAGATGAAGAGAATGTAAAGAACCTTGAAAAATTGGAGCAGAAAGCAGCCCAACTCGTGACCCTCGAACATGCTTCCAAGGAGTCAGAAGATGTTGCAATGGAGAAGGAAAATCGTATTCTCCATCTGCAGGATAAAATTGATCAGGTACTAACTGAGGTGGTCAATGGGAAACAAACCACTGTGGAGCTGGAACAGAAACTGGATGATGCTAAGATGATTATTGAAGAACTAGAGCAAACCGTGTCAGATTTTGAATCAAGGTTGAAAACATCAGAAAACACTGTTGCTTTCAAAACTGAACAGATTTCTGTCCTTGAAGCTAAATTGACAGAATTTAGTGATTCCCTTGCTACCATGGAACATGATAAGATTAAATATGATGTCAAATTAAAGGAGACAATATCATTACTTGAAAACAAAGAATCACAGATAATTGCTCAGAAAGAGATTGTTAAAGGGTTACATGAAACTCTCTCAGATCAAGAAACATCAGTTGCTTCACTGAAGGAGCAAGTATATGAACAACAGGAACTTCTGTCTGATAAAGATAATCATGATGTGGTCTTACAAGAACATGTTGCCAAACTAAAGAGTTTGGTTGAGGACAAGAATGAGAGGATTGCTGAGCTTGAGACTGTGGTGAGTGAGCATGATAAGAGTAAGGAAGATCTTGTCAGTTTTAAGAGTCAAAATTGTAATTTTGAGCTGATGTTTTACATTAAGGACCATATTTGCCTTAAGAATAGGGATATAGAAAGCAGGATAACCAGCTTAAGTGAAAATTCATTGAACTGTCAAAGGAAATTACATATTTGATGAACGTTGAGATAACTTCTTAGCCCAAGTGTCTGAGTTTAAGACTGAGTTGCAAGGAAGTGAGAGAATAGCAGAAGCTCTTACTGCTAAGCTACCCGTGTTAGTCCTTGAGAAAGAGGGAACCCTTAGGGAACATGATTTGTGTCTTCGGAGGGTGAAAGGATTTAGCAGATAGTCAGACTGAATCATACTCCAATATTGTTAGGGAAAAGGATGCAGAGTTGAAGAAAGGCAAAGGAGTGAGTTGGAGGTGGAGGTGCTGAATAAGTTAGTCAAGCAAAGCCGGTGTGAATGTGATGAACTTAGGGATCAGATGAGTTCATCAAGAACCCGTTTGCAAGATAAGAATAAAACTTGCTCGGACAGAGAACAAGAACTGAAAGAGCAATCTGTACAAATACCAATATATTAACATCAGCCCTTGAGAACCTTGCCCTACACACACAATCCTTGTCAACACAAATAAATACTAATGTACAGAAGCACAGTGAAATCAAACATAAGCTTGATCGATCAAAACTTTTATTCCAGGAGCAAAAGTTGTCAGAGTTTGAAAAGGTGTCTGGTGAGACTCTCAGTAGTCTCCAGGAAATGTGTAAAACTCTTCACTACCGTACAAAACTACCATCTGCTGAGCAGTCAAGAACTATGGGCATGTTCTTTGAACAGAAGGATGAACTCCTTCAAGAACTTTCAATAGGCATCTGCAGCATCATGGCTGAAAGGGAGGAAGTTGAGAAGGAGCTTCATAAGGCTCTGCAGCTGCTTGATGAGATCTTTGATGATCAGGAGACAACAGAGAACACTTTGCAGGAATCCAGACAGGAGTGTGGTTCACTGGACATGGAAATAAAGGAACTCTACAATAAGTTGGTTCATCTTCAACAGAAGGTCATAATAAGAGATCAGGATCTTGGTCAAATTGCTCATGTGAAAGAGTCTTTACACAGAGATATTGAAAGCATGCAGGCAAGTCTTGATGCTTCAATGGAAGAGAAAGAAAGTCTTTCAATCTTGAACAAATGTCTTCAGGAGCAACTGGATACAGTTGAAATGTCACGAAAAGAGGTTCTAGAAGAGAGGGTGAATATGGCTACACAGAACAAAGCTCTAGTTGACCAGATTGCAGAAACTGAAGACAAACTAAACCAAACTTTGCTTCAATGCCAAACATTAAATGAGGAAATCATCAAGCTAACTGACAGACTATTAGTTGCTGAAACTGAAATATCAGAAGTAAAAGGAAGAAATCTTGAGCTCAGCATGACACAAGAAAAGATCAAACTGGAGTATGAACAACAGATAAATGAAAAATGTCAAGCAATAGAACAAATGGGAGCTGACAATTCAAAGGTTGGTGATGAGATACATTCCCAACTTGTTGATAAGGATGTGCAACTGTCTGTTTTAACTGAGGAGTTGGGGACATTGTCCACAGAACTGATTTCCTTTCAGAGTCTTCATTCAGAAATGTGCAATAGAAAAATGTCATTAGAACAAACTTGTGCCAAACATGAAGAATCACTTGTTGAAAAGGACAGACTTATTTCTGAGGAGGTAAAGAAAATTGCAACATTAACATCAACCACAGAAGATGATGCAACACAAAAGGAAGATCTTCAGAAGAGATTTGCTGAGGCACAGGCAAAGGCTGATCAGTTACACTTGTTGCTAAGTGAGAAAGAGCATGCTGTTTCTGAAAGAGATGAAGAGATTGTGAGCATGACAAAAGCTTTGGAACAGATGAAAAGGGGAATACATGAGGAGGCTGAAGCTGATTCTTTGACCCATAGCCTTTCTGAAGCAGAGATGAAGATGAAAGAGGTGCAAGGACAAATGGAATCTGTGTTACAACAACTGACAACAGCGACAGAAACTAATCATCATTTGGAATGTGAACTCAGGAGTGCCCAAACAAAGATGGAAGAACTTCAAGAATCACTCAAGAATGAGATGAGTCAGCACAATGAACTTAAGGTTGTACATGAAAAAGTTTCATCAGAGATCAGTATTCTCAGAGGCAATCTTGAAACCAAGGATAAGGAACTCAGGGAAACTTGTAGTAGATTTGAAGTGGTGCAGAGGCAGTTGCAGGAGATCGAAAAAACAATGATTGGTCCACTTGGAGATAAGGATGCCTTACAGATAGAGATTAGTGTTCTCAAGGATATTTGCAGTGAGAAGGATCAGGAAATTATCAAGCTACAGACTCATCACTACGACACTGAGTTTCAATATGAGGAAAAGGTTGCTGTGAAAGACAAAGAAATAGCTAAATATACCAAAGAAATTGCTGATCTGAAAGAACAGTCTGAGAAATATTCCACACAGTGTGGTACATTAAAGCTTGAAGTACAACAGAAAGTCAGTGAGGTTTCAGCTTATTCTCAAAAATACCATGAACTTTTGAGTGTTGAAAGTTTAGATTCTCAGATAGGTATGTTGAGGCATCAACTGAAATCTGCTTGTGATGAAAATGCTGAACTTTTGACTAGAGTCCAAGAGCATGACAAGGTTCTGTATGAAAGGGATGTCAGATATGAAAAAGTCAGGCAGCAAGTTTTGAAGCTGGAGGAAGAAATCCAAATTACAAAGAAACAAAGAGCTTATTACCGTGAACGTCTGAAGAATTTGAAATCACAGGTGGGAGACACAGAGTCTGTGACAACAGAGATGGCAATGGATATGTCATGGTCATCAGATGTTGACAGTTTCAGCGAAGTATCAGACACTATGGACACTACATCAGTTTCTCGCTACTCTTCACAGCGAAGTCTTGGCTTTGATCCAGCAGTGGAAAGACTTCACTTTGAAAACAAAGATCTTCTCAGACAGATCAACTACCTTCAGGAAGACAAAGAATACATGGAAAAGGATCTTTCATATCAAGTTCAAGATTTGTTGGATGAGAACAGAGAATTTGACTCCGTTGTTAGGTCTCTGCAGACAAATCTGGAGAAGGAAAAGGAACTTGAAGAAGAGGCTAAGAAGGATGTAAATAAATTGCAGAAATTGCTCAAGAAAAAGGAAGCAAAAGTAACAGTTGCTAATAAGAAGTTGGCTGAAGCAACGGAGCAGTTGACTCTACTTGCTCAGAGGGTGAAAGATATGGAAATGAAGGTTGAGAATCTGACAGCTGAAAATAGGAACCTTGAATCTCAGCTTGGCGACTCTCGTAGACTTGATGAAAGTTTCACAGAGTTTGAAGCAGGCGAAGGAGCAGAAGGACCTGTGAAAGAAGTGTTAGAAATGAAGAAGCTTCTGAAAAAAAAAGAAGCCAGAATCCTGACTCTCAGCAAGAAAGTAAGAGAAGCAACAGAGAAGGTCACATTAGTCTCTCATCAGCTGAAAGATGCTCAACAAAAAGTAGAAACTCTACACATGGAAAATCAGAAGTTGACTGTTCAAGTTAATGAGATGCAGAAGATGGAATCAAATGTATTATCTCCTGAAAGGGAAGTGGAGGGTACTGATGATGCCAAGAAGGTGAAAGATCTGCAAAGACTATTGAAAAAGAAAGATGCCAAAATTGTAGTCACGAGCAAGAAAGTTGCAGAAGCTGATGAAAATCTCAGAATAGCCAATAGCAAGCTGTCAGCAGCTGAGGAAAGAACTGAGGCTTTATATGAAGAAAACCAAAGGTTTGCAGATCAGTTGTACCAAAGCAAGTCAAATGTATCAAGCCATCCAGAAGAGATAACAAGAGATGCTCAGATTCAGAATCTTTTACAGCAGCTTCAGGGGGCTATGGATCAAATTGCAAGGCTAGAATCAGAGATTGCAAACAGATCCTCTGTGACACCCGGCCAAACAGGTGGATCATCAGCTTCATTCCATTTAGAAGAACAGGTGAAGAAGCTTACTCAGGAACTTGCTACTGAAACTGCACGAAGACAAAAACTTGAAGCCGAACTTGAAAATCAAAAAGACACCTTGATTGACCTACAGTTTGAGAAAGAAGAGTACATGGGACAATTATCATCTTATGAAGATTTCAGTGGTGAGAGTGCTAATGTTGTCTCCAAGATTAGAACTATGGAACTGGATATTGCAAGAAAGTGTAAACAGTTTGAGAATGTGCACAGGGAAATGAAATTGCTGCAGACTCTGCTGGAGGAGAGAGACATCAACATGAATGCTTTGACAGTAAAGTTAGAGAACACATCACAAGAACTCCACACCACCACAGTGAAGCTTCAAGATGCTAATTCAAGCCATCAAGAAACATGGAACAAACTTCAACAAACAGAAAATCAGTTATCAGCTACATTAGTGGAAAAAAGTCATCTTCAGAATCAAATGGAGGTTATGAAATCTTCTTCAACAAGTCTTTCAGGAGATGACGAAACATTTCAACAGATTCAGACCCTAACACAACAAGTAACACAGCTGCAGTCTGACATAGAAGCTTGGTCTCAGAGCTACCATGAAGCAGCAACAAAGAGACAGGAACTTGAAACAGACTGGTATAGACAGCAAGAAGTGATCTCTACACTTCAGTCACTGAAAGACCAAAGCGATACAAACTTGACAGACACCTTAAGAGAACTGGATGAACTAAGATTACAGCTGCAAGAGAAGGAGTCACACATTGCAGATTTGTTATCTTTAAAACAGGACCTTCAAATTCAGTTGAATGAAGTTCATAGAACAGAACAAAAGCAAAGAGAAGCTTCCTCAAGACAAAATCAGTATGAAGATGAGTCCAAACAAGAGAAAGAACCTGAGTATGACAGAATAGTTTCTTTCCAACAACAAATCTCTTCTCTAGAAGATCAGCTATCTGATGTTGTCTGTCAGAGGGATCAGTGGAAGGAGTTCTCACAGCAATGGGAAGTGTATGCAAATGGGCTGAAATCAGAGAAAGAACATCTTGAGAAGAAACTGATAGATGTTCCAAGCACTAAACTTGAGGGCAATGACCTTGAAGAAAACACAGCCCTCAGTGTTGATGATCGAGAGACTGAATTGGATTCACTGAGGAACCAACTTGAAACATTGCAGAAGAAAATGTCTGATGATGAAAACAAGATAACGGAGGTGCAGGGTCAAATGAAGAAGAAAGATGCCAAATTGGTTGTTCTAAAAAAGAAAACTGCAGAGGTACAGAAATTACTTGATGGTGCGACTGACAAATTACATCAAATGGAATGTGCAAATGTTGAAATGGCAAGTCAGGTTGGGGTTCTTCAGGAGCAGCTTGACAGTAGTCAAAGAAATGAGAAGACTCTTCTGCAGAAAATGATGGACATTGATGCTGCCCATCAGACATGCTCTCAAGAACATGGGAAGTCCAAACTTCAAGTTGAATCATTTAAGGATGTGGTGGAAGACCTGGAGATGCAGTTGCAGGAATCCAGAACAAAGGAAGACTTCCTTCGGGACGAGTTGGAGTCTCTGACAACATCATATGAAAATGTCCAAAAAGAACTGGCCTCAAGGAGCTGCAGTAGTTCTGAGAAGGACACTCTTATATCTCAGTTACAAAAGCAACTTGAACAGACAGATACTAAATACCAAGAAGAGAAGTCACTGAGGATGAATGCAGAAAAAGTTTGTTCAGATATGAAGACTGAAAATGAGCACATTAATAGTGGTTTAGTCGAAGATGTGAAGAAACTGACAAATGAAACAAATGTTATGGAACAGAAAATTGTTGACCTGAATAAGCAATTGCAGCTGTCTTCACAAGAAAATGAATCACTTCAACAAACACTGACTGAGAGTAACACAGTGCTCCAGACGAACAACGTAAAGATCATATCACTTGAAAATGCCTGTAAACAAAAAGATGTGGTCCATGCAGAGCTGAAAACTGATCTGGACAGTTTGATTGAGAAACTGAATGCCAGTGAGACTCTCATTGTTCAGCTGAAACACGAGAAACAAAAGCAAGATGAACTGGAGTCTTTGGTGGAATCTCTGAAGGTTCAGAATATCACTATTAAAGAGGAGCTAGAAAACAACAAATGTGAACAAGAAGAAAAAGCAAAACTCCTGGACCCCCTTCAGCAGCAGGAGACTGTGGAAACACTCAGTTCACAGAACAGAATGTCTGAAGAGACCCTATTGAGTATTCAAGATCAGTTGTCAGCTGCGTTCCCCTATGTCTACGTTGAAAGAGTTGTGACTGAAGACAATGTGATTGAGTGTGTGTCGCTTTTCATTTCCAAGACTTATGAATACATTAACAGTAACACTTATCTGCAACAGGTGTGTGCTCAGAAGGATGAATGGATTCAGACAATGCAGTTAGAAGTGAACAGTTTGAAAGGCAAAATTGCTTCTTTAGAACTCTCTGAACAAGGGGATTCATCCAATACCAGCTTGGCTATAGATTACTCTAGGGGTGAGCAATGTGAAGGAGTTACAAAGGAAACAGTTTATGAACTGACACAGACCAAACCTCTCAGGAACCTTGACACTGAGATACAGCAGGGGCAATCTGATGCACCAATCACTTCTCAATCAGATTCTAATAAAGGGATTCTGGCACATTCACAACAGAAGGTTGAGGAACTGGCTCAGATGATCATCCAGAAAGATGAGAAACTGAAGGAAGAATCTCTCACCATTGCAGTGTTACAGACTTCTCTCTCAGAACTCCAAGAGCAAATACGGCTAAAAGATGAGCACCTGACCCGGAGAGATACAGATTTAACAGAAAGGCAACATACCATCTTAGATTTGCAGAGATCCATCTCTGACCTTCAAGGCATTAAAGAAGGTGTTAATCTTGGTGAGAAAGAGGAAGATCATATCCAGGATACTACTACAGCCCTTCAGGCTACTGTCACACAGCTTCAGCATGAGCTGAATCTCAAGGAACAGGAATACATCCAGGGTCTTGCCCAGAAGCATGAAGTCTTGACAATGGAACAGCAATTGACAACATCTCTGCAAGGTGCCCTAACTGGCCTTGAGGATAAGCTGAGGGATAAAGAACAAGCATACTTACAGAGTCTTTCCAAGAAGGATGAAGAAATTGCCAAGGAACAGCAGATGACGTCATCTCTAACAACATCCCTTAGTACCCTTGAGGATGAACTGAAGGTTAAGGAAGTGCATGTAAGCATCCAGCAAGGAGGATACCTGCCAATTGTACTGCTCGGGACTAACACTCTCACTGCTCCTCTGCTTATTTAGTAACACCTTTCTAACTGCATCCTCAAACTCACTGTATTCACTTCATTATATTCACTCCTTGTATTCACACTATAACACAACAGCATACTCATCCATTTCCTGTGTTCAATATCACCATCAATCTTGCCTTGATTCATATCACCTCTGCTCATAGCTACTGCTTTGCCTTCTTACATAGAAGTGATGAAGCATAGAGCATCAGCTGCCTTTTAAGAGTGTGTGTGTGTGTGTGTGTGCATCTTGCTTTTCAAGCATAGTGTATTAGTGTCACAATTTACAGTTATGATTAATTTGTTGAAGGATGTACTTGTCAGACTGTCTGACAAAATGATAAGGATTATTCCAGCATATTGTCACAGTTATTATTTTTCAGTTTTTCAAGGGGAATATGATACAATATATCCTGACCTTTGGTTTGGTCATTTTTTTTTCCAATATGATATCTAGATATGTATCCTCTATATATACTGGACAAAAATGTTAGGGATCATGAATAATTTCAGGAATATTATCTGTATTTAAAATGGAATGCACAATGTTCCAACATTATGCACTTAAAATATTCACAATCCCTGACTTTTAGTTCAATAATATCCGCATATATTTGCATGAACAATTATCAAGAACTAGAGTGACATTTCTTCTCAGTTATTGACTCATTCATACACATATATGAATGCTTGAAACCTATACCGTTTTGTCCAATATTGACATGGTTGGTTGTGGCTGTTTCTGTTTTGTGGGGAAATCAAGTTTGTTGATTGAGACCATTTAACTGCATGCTTGTTCATTCATATTATGTTATCAACAGTAAACAAACCTCTTTTACTGAGAATTAGTACTTGTACTACATTTTTCATGTTAGTGATAAGTTAAATATCTTGAACATTGGGAGTTCTGGTCAGGTTCCAGGCAACCCATGATGGCCGTAAATGGATTAAGCTGCTTTGTTAGTTTTATGTCATTGCACCATGGCTCCATGGATGGCTGCTCGTCATATCAATAACTACATTGTCTAATTCAGACACATATTTCGAGACGGATAGCATATAGCTGGAACACAGCAGACTGCAGAGTCAAACAAACAAACTTTAAACTTTACCTGTTAAACCTTTCAGTCAGTTATAAATCATACATGCCATGTTTGCTATTCCTTATTGACAACTTTAAGGGCTTTTACTTCATTCTAAAATAAATCCAAAACATTATTCAACAATCAACCAATTGCAAATCACAGTCAGATAATTGTCATATAATTAACACTTTAACCAAGTCAAATGAAATATTTATTTCAATGAATTCCATACATATTTAGCTGGTTTCATGAAAACATATAACATGATTAAAGCATAGAACCATTATAACTTAATAGTTTTCCTAATTACATCCCTGGATGATTTAAAAACAAGAATGAATTGATAATAATAAAATCACTCTAAAAGTGGACACAATTTCATGTTAATTAACCTGAATGTATGGGACTAGATAATCCTAGCTGTCGGTGTATATTTATGATACAACACCTGGTGCATCAATCAATACAACAGTTGAACAGATTGGCTGCTGGATACAGTTGTATTGTGGTGTTTATACAGGACAGCATGGCGTAGTCCTGTGTGGAGGTTTGTGGGCATGCTACAGACTGTGGACGTCCCCGGGAGTGTTACATTTCTGTATTCATCAGTGTCGGACAGTGCTTCCTTGATACCATACACAATGTACTGTTAGTATTGCTTCAGTAATTTCAGGAGAGATTGAGTTTCAAATATTTACAGTATTGATAGAAAGACGATGTATATATTGTGAAGATTATTGATGAGTTTTGTGTTGTATGTTGAGGGCATTAGTTGTATGAATGCTGTTTGTATATGGAGGAGTAAGAGGGTGAATGGTGTGTGGGCTATTTCTCTGTGGTATGAGGTATTATTATATTAAATGGAGACTGATTCACTAAATGTAGAAAACATGTACTATAATATTGCATGGAAGCTACTTATCTATAATGTAGAATATATTGCACGAGTCTATTTCACTGTGATGTGTATATCATATTGAATGGAGGATATTTCACTTTGTTGTGTATTGTCATACTGAATTGTAAAATATGGGGTATTATCATATTGCATGGAAGCTATTTATCTATAATGTAGAATATACTGCATGAGTCTATTTCACTGTGATGTGTATATCATATTGAATGGAGGATATTTCACTATGTTGTGTATTATCATACTGAATTGTAATATGGGGTATTATCATATTGCATGGAAGCTATTTATCTATAATGTAGAATATACTGCATGAGTCTATTTCACTGTGATGTGTATATCATATTGAATGGAGGATATTTCACTATGTTGTGTATTATCATATTGAATTGTAATATGGGGTATTATCATATTGCATGGAAGCTATTTATCTATAATGTAGAATATACTGCATGAGTCTATTTCACTGTGATGTGTATATCATATTGAATGGAGGATATTTCACTATGTTGTGTATTATCATATTGAATTGTAATATGGGGTATTATCATATTGCATGGAAGCTATTTATCTATAATGTAGAATATACTGCATGAGTCTATTTCACTGTGATGTGTATATCATATTGAATGGAGGATATTTCACTGTGATGTGTATATCATATTGAATGGAGGATATTTCACTGTGATGTGTATATCATATTGAATGGAGGATATTTCACTGTGATGTGTATATCATATTGAATGGAGGATATTTCACTGTGATGTGTATATCATATTGAATGGAGGATATTTCACTGTGATGTGTATATCATAGTGAATGGAGGATATTTCACTGTGATGTGTATATCATATTGAATGGAGGATATTTCACTGTGATGTGTATATCATATTGAATGGAGGATATTTCACTGTGATGTGTATATCATATTGAATGGAGGATATTTCACTATGATGTTGGGTATTATCAAGGTAATGTTGGGTATTATCATACAGAAGAGATGCTAATTGAAGGTGATGTGGGGTATTGTCATATTGAATGGAGACTATTTCACTATAAATGTAGAATGTTATTATATTTCTTGGAAGATATTTATCTATAATGGAGAAAAAAAGATATTGCTTGAGGCTATTTCACTATGATGTTGGGTATTATAATTTTCAAAAGATGCTATTTTCACTGTGATAGGATATTATGTTTCTTTTTGTTGTAGGATATTATGTTATTTTTTACTGTCTTGTAGGATACAATGTTATCTTTCACAGTAATGTAGGATATTATGTTTCACTGTGCTGTAGGATAGAATATTATATTTAATTGTGTTGTAGGATAGGATGTTATATTTCAGTGTGATGTAGGATAGGTTATTATGTTTCAGTGTGATGTAGGATAGGTTATTATATTTCATGGTAATGTAGGATATTATATTTCAGTGTGATGTAGGATAGGTTATTATATTTCATGGTAATGTAGGATATTATATTTCAGTGTGATGTAGGATAGGTTATTATATTTCGTTTTAATGTAGGATATTATTTTTCATGGTAATGTAGGATATTGTATTTCAGTGTGATGTAGGATACGTTATTATATTTCATGGTAATGTAAGATATTATATTTCAGTGTGATGTAGGATAGGTTATTATATTTCGTGGGTATTATTGTATGGTGGGGTGGGGTATATTGCAGCCAAATGTTAGTTCATTGACTATTCAGAAGCATTGTTTGCAGTGTTCATTCTAGGGAGCACCCTTGCATCATTCGCGCACTAACATTTAACATGGCGCACAGTCCAGGATTGGGCAGGTCGCGTTGTCACATCCATAACTGTAAATCTGAAATGCAAACAAGCAAAACTCAAAACTAAGTAGGTCATGGAACAAACCAACAATATTTGATTGAAAGTTATGAAAAAGTAAGTGAACTGATACTAGTAATTGTATGGCTGACAAGTCACAGCAATTTGACATGACCCACATTATTTTCTAAATGACTGACAAAACTGAGGGCTGGTTGGCCATGGGCCCACATTTAGGACAGGCTGTAATGAACACTGTGTTTGTAAACACTAACTGATGACCCTGCCTGCTTGGCATGCTTGCCTTATTCCACAAGAGAAGTTTCTGATCCAGTAATCTAAACATAGGTCATAGTGTGTGCATCTGTTTAGGTGGCCAAGTTTTATTACAAGTGTGTTGATTATACTTTCAATCAATACGACAGTGTATACTTACATGACAGTATTTGTGGACCAGCATTGTCTGTTGCTAGAGTTTCTTGGGCTGATGTTTATTTCCTGACACAAAATCGATTTCGAAGTCAAGATAACATTATGAGATTTCTGGATATTGAATTGTATGAAATAGTGTTAAACTTGACTAACAGAATGTTCTGCCTAATGTAAGTTGTAGGAGTATCACTCGGGGTATATGTGGGTTTATGTGTCAGGTTGTATACCACTAGCTTGAAACTACTACAATGAATGTATCTAGCAGACAAGTTCCATGTTACATTGTAAAAGAATGGAAACAAATTTGAAAGTTATAAAACAGCTGTTCAAGGGAGATGAGAATAACTTGTACTGTGTCTCATAACTTTCACTGACTCATAAACAGCATGTAGCCGTTTGCTCCTTGTGGGGTATAAGGGATATATTATCCCACTTAGAAATTCACATGCTGCTGTTTGCTCCTTGTGGGGTATAAGGGATATATTATCCCACTTAGAAATTCACATGCTGCTGTTTGCTCCTTGTGGGGTATAAGGGATATATTATCCCACTTAGAAATTCACATGCTGCTGTTTGCTCCTTGTGAGGTATTGTGGGAAATATAAGGTTTGCTCCTTGTGGGGTATAAGGGATATATTATCCCACTTAGAAATTCACATGCTGCTGTTTGCTCCTTGTGGGGTATAAGGGATATATTATTCCACTTAGAAATTCACATGCTGCTGTTTGCTCCTTGTGGGGTATAAGGGATATATTATCCCACTTAGAAATTCACATGCAGCTGTTTGCTCCTAGCAGGATGTAAGGGATATATTATCCCACTTAGAAATTCACAGGCTGTTGTTTGCTCCTTGTGGGGTATAAGGGATATATTATCCCACTTAGAAATTCACAGGCTGTTGTTTGCTCCTTGTGGGGTATAAGGGATATATTATCCCACTTAGAAATTCACATGCAGCTGTTTGCTCCTAGCAGGATGTAAGGGATATATTGTCCCACTTAGAAATTCACATGCAGCTGTTTGCTCTTAGCAGGATGTAAGGGATATATTGTCCCACTTAGAAATTCACATGCAGCTGTTTGCTCCGAGCGGGATATAAGCGACATATTCTCCCACTTAGAAATTCACATGCAGCTGTTTACTCCTAGAGGGGTATAAGGGATATATTCTCCCACTTAGAAATTCACATGCAGCTGTTTTCGTTGTGGCTGGGATATAAGATATTTGTTCTCACTGTCAGGAATGTATTTCCCTACCAAGGGGCGATACATTGTATTAAATCAAGATCAAGTGTACCAATCAGAATCTTATGTACATTACAGTTGATTTGTCATGCAGTGCTTTGCCAGATTGGCTATAGTAGTATAAAGGAACTGGGTGTATATTGAGTAGTATGTACATGCATTGGGTATTCATGAGTAATATTTCTAGGCTTAGTTGTGTAAGTTGCATCATATTTACATTGTAAGGAGAGGGAATGGAAAACCTTAAGGTAGCAGCTGTTTTGCCGATTGAGTTGAATATATACAAAGAATATCAGAGATAGATTGCTACCACTGTGTAGGCTGGAGAGAACAACTATAATAAGAATACATTCTTGTGACAATCCAAAGGGAACCGGCTGTTCATTTATGTTATGGGTTGGTGGGGTAACCTAGTAGGTAAAGTGTTAGCCTGTCTCGCCAAGAGCCTGAGGTTCAGTTCCACTTGTGGGTTCTTGTGTAGCATTGCTGGAGTATTGATAGGTTTTTCACATGACAAGCAAAATGTAAGAAACCCGCTTTGCATCCACAATATATTGAGCTGACTAGTACCTACAGTACCTACAGTGACAATCAGTTTTAAGTGATGCTTACATTGCTAGCTATAAATGTCATGTATCACACAAACAACTATTATCAAGCTCAGCATGTTTAACATGTTTCATGAGAATGTTTTGAGGGTGGACCATACATGATTTTTTTTTCGCAATTAGTTTTTATTAAATGTGTACATTGGTGCTAAGTGGAACGTGTGAGATATCAACTGGTATATCAATAGTTTATAAAAATTTAAATAAATCATAGTGATTGACTTGTTCGAGGTCTAAAGTATGAAGCATCGACTAGTGGCTAATGGTGGAGAGACTGGGATGTCTCCATGAATACTGCAGAATCTAAAATTAAAAAAATACCAAAACAATATATTGTTCCACAAAATTGATCATTGAGTGTACTGAGAATATAAACAATTAAAGGCCTGACAATAACCAGTCTGTATTATCTGCCCAAACAGATTCAACTGAACATAAAAAGGCAAAACAGTTATGAAAATTGTTTGAACCAAAATCGCCAAAATTCAGTGATGAAATAACTCGTCCACCAACAAAAAGTGTAAGCTTGTCTTGCCCTACCATTAACACTTGCCACTCACTAAAACTGCACAATAGTGTCAGTGAAAAACTGTCTCCAGCAAATATCTTTATATTAATCTTAATGTAATGCTTGTTGTAGTGCTAACATAGCTTTGAAAAAAAAATAACATCTTCCTATAGAAGTTGCCTTCACTGAGGATAATTAAAACAAATCTTAGAATCCTAATGTCAAAGTAGGCATTAAAACAGTCAATATTTTCAGCTAGGTAGGCCACTCTGGGTGAGCGTTTTCTTCTTTCGACAATTTAACCATAATATTTAATACCACAGTTGTTACATATGTTTGCAGTTGATCCAAATGGTATTTTTGGTCAGGCTTATTTCAGATATTGTTGTGACAGTTTTTTCATTAGAAGTGTGCAGGAAAGTATTTTCAAAGTATTATTTATGTTTGATGCTCTGATATTATGGGTAATGTAATAATCATGATTTATTGAGAAAAATGGAACTTGGTATTGTTGTTCACGCTCTGTGACTGGCTCATTGAGGATCATCATACCCTATGTTGATGATTGTTCATGCTTTCCATCACTGGTTTGTCTGGTCCAAACTCCATGAATTACAGGTCACCATCATATAGCTTGAATATTGCTGACTGTGGTGCTACAAACATTTCACTAATTCCTGTGTTATGACATAAAAGAAAGAAAATAATTCAAGAAAGTACATTATCTTTAAATATTTTGTTGTTCTTCTCTTCAGCTGGGCACAGCTAACCAGTCATTGCTAGAACTGAACCAACAGCTGCAGACATATGCAGAGGCAGCCACAACACTCCAGACCCAGTTAGATGCTGCTGAGGAGGAGAAGGGGCACCTGCAGACCAGAATCTCAGAACTTGAATCCCTATCCACCAGCCAGGACTCAAGGATGGCTGACCTGGCCACCCAACTGCAGCAGCAGGAAGCTGACTGTCGTGCTTGGCAGTCCAAGGTGGAGAGTCTGCAGATGCAGATGGAGCAGCAACAAGATGACTGCCGTGCTTGGCAGACAAAGGTTGAGAATCTACAAGCACAGCTGGTGGCAGCGAACACAACTGTGGAGCAGCTTCAAAGCAGTTCTTCCAACAAGGAGAAGGAAATCATAGAAAGAGCTCAGACAATGGAGACAAAGGCAAATGAGTTGGGGGGCCAAGTTGCCAGTTTGGAGTCTGAGATTGATAGTATCAAAGGAGATAATTCTGCATGGAAGGAGAAGGTTGAAAATCTCCAGTCACAATTAGAGAATGCAAACCTAACTATGGAGCAGCTTCGGATCAGTTCTTTGGACAGAGAGAAGGAGGTGGCAGAAAGAACCGAGGCAATGGAAACAAAGGGAAGTGAGTTGGAGAGCCAGGTTACACATTTGGTATCAGAAGTGGAGTTGCTAAATGGGGACAAGGCTGCCTGGAAGGCTAAGGTGGAAAGTCTGCAGTCTCAGCTTGAGACTTCCAATACTGCTCTTGAACAGTTTTCTAGTTCATCCTCAGACAAAGAGCAACAATTGACTGAAGTTATGCAGCAGATGAATCAACAATTGCAAGAGAAAACTGATGAGATTGTGAATCTCCAGGCAAGTTTGGAACAGTCTCAAAACCTTGTTAAAGAAGTCACTGAGAAGATTGGTCAGAAAGATCTAAAGGTGGCATCACTTTTGGAGAATCTTCAGGAGATGGAAGACAGGGTGACACAGCTGTCAAGTGGAGAAGAACAATCTGCTGCACTTACAGCAGAGCTGGAAAATGTTAAAACTGAGCTTGAACAGAAAAAGAAATCTTATGATGATAGGGAACTGACTCTCAAGAAAGCTCTGGCAACTGCTAAGAAACTTAAGTTCCAGCTGAATCAAGCGAATACAAAATTGGAAGAAACCACATCTCAGCTTGAAGAACAGAAGGCAAAAACAGTGGCGGAGGAAGCAGCTGTTAAGTCTGAGGTACAGAGTGTGAAAGAAGAATCTGATGCCAAACATGATGCACAGATGCAAGAACTTCAGCTCCAGCTGCAGACTTACACAGAGTACACTCAGCAGCTTCAGCAGCAAGTTCAGGGTCTCACAGAAAATACACACAGTTTGGAACAGCAACTGAAGCAGAAGCAAAGTGAGGTGGATGAACTAGAAGGGGCCAGGAATAATATGGTTTCTGAGTCACAGGAACTGAAGGCTGCCTATGAGAAGCTTCAGGAAGAGCTGAACAGACTCCGGGAGGAAAATAATGGGTCTGTTCAAGAGAAGGATGTCGAGGTGCATAAACTGGGTGAGACTATCAAGGAACTCGAAGGAGCTGTTGACTTCCACAAACAGACTGTGTCTGAGAAGGAAGATGTCATAATGAAGCTTATGATGGAAAAGGAGGGATTCCTAAAAGACAGGCTTATTCTTGAAGAGAAGGAGATAAAGGTGACAGAGTTGTCCCATATTGTTGAAATACTACAGGATTCACATCAGAAAATAAATGAAGAAAAGGACACACTGAAAGCTGAAATGGTCTCACTCAATGAAAGTGTTAAGAATCTTCAAGAATCTCTGAAAGTTAGAGAGGAAGCCCTCGAAAGGTATGTGGATACCCTAGACACATCTCAACAGGAAATTTCCAGCAAAGAGGATGAACTGCAGCAGCTGCAGGTGGATCTGAAAGCAATGCAGCAGTTGGTAGCCTCAATGCAGGAGACCAAGGGAGATGAGCCCCAGGAGCTGCAGACAGAACTGGAAGCTGTCAGGTCTCAAGTGGAGGAATACAAGGCTCAAGTAGATACATATAACCAACAGGGAGTTGTCTTACAAGAGGAGAATTTGAGGCTAACAGAATTGTTAAAATCTGAGGAAGAGACTGTTACTAAATTAACATCACAGTTGGCTGAAAGCTGTGAACATGTGGAAAGTCTCAAAACACAGGTTTTATCAGCAGGTCCAGAATTAGATTCAAGTGATTCTGAGGCCATGTCATTGAATGATTGTCAGAGACTTCTTGAGACAAAAAGAATGAACTTGAAAGAGTGAAAGAAGAAAACAGTCATTTAGTGGAGGCAGCAGGTCTTCTACAAACGTCTGTTTCCTCATTAGAGGCCCAGCTGCTTGAGCAGAAGCAGGCAGCTGAGAATCTCAGCACATCAAGAGAAACTACCTCTGAAAGTCTCCCTAAGGATTTAGATTATGAACAGCAGGTCAAGGAACTGAGTACACGGATAGCAGTTCTTAGAGAAGAGAATCAGAAGCTGATAGAAGCAAGGGAAGTAACTGATGAAAGTTTGAGTGCAGAGAGTCTCAAACTCCAACTTGACAATGCACTGTCTGAAAAACAGTCCATTGAAGTTCAAAGAGATAACTTAAAGACTGAATTTGACTCACAAGTCCAGCTGGCAGAAAAGATGCATCAGCTCATTTCCGAGAAGCAGTCCACCATCAATGACCTGCAGAATGCTCATGACTCGCTGCATGCCAAACTGACGGAGGTCACTCAGGAGAAAGAAGAGTTACTGATAGAGGTGGAATCTCTTCAAGGGGAGTGTGAAGGATTTGAGAGAAGTATTGCTGAAGCTCAGTTTGGGGAATCAGAGACCAGAAATGAATACAACAAAATAAAAGTAGAATGTGATCAAATGTTTAGTGAAAATAAGACTCTTTATCAGCAGGTGCAGGAACTTATTTCAGAAAAAGAAACTCTGAAACTTCAACTTGAGCATATTCCAGTCAAGTCTTTGACTGATGTGGAAGTGGCAGAAAGGGTGACTCCAGTTGAAGCTCCAATGTTACAGCAGGAGACACTGAGACAAACTTCAAGTCCTAATGTGGAACAGTTGAACAGAGCCTCCTCTGAGACAGAGGAAAAATATAAAACACTTCAAACTGAACATGAGAAGATGAAGAACAAGTTGCAGGTTGCTGAAGTGAAATGTGAGAAAATGCTAGTGAAATTAAAAGCATTCAAAGTCAAGAATGAAGAACTGCAAAAGGACATGGATAAATTGCAAAGTGAGCTGGCCAACCAAGATGGTAGTTCAAGAGACCAAGAAAATAGATTTGTCGAGGAGAAGAAACATCTTCGGGACCAAATGCAGCACCTCCAGGACAAATTAATTGATATGGAAAATGACAACAGGAGAATGTATCATGACAACTCATCTATGCAAAGTTCTCTCATTGAACTTCAGTCGGAAAACAAGAGGCTAAAATCAGAACTTGACTCTGAACAACAACAGAGTTCACAAAACCAGGACACTATTAAAGAACAGTATGAGCTTCAGATTGTTGAGGTTGTTAGAGCAAGGGATGAAGAGGCTCAGAAAGTTACCAAGCTTCAAGAAGAACTTGCCTTACTGCAAACTCTTGCCTCCAAAGAAGATGATTCCAACAAGCTTGAGTCATTGAACATGGAGATTTCTACTCTCAGGATGGAACTAGAAGCATATCAAGGCAAGGAGGAGACCACAAGGCAACATTACGAAACCAAACTTTCTCAACTTCAGCAATCACATGACACACAATCTCAAAGGGTTGTCCATTTGCAGGATGAATTGACGGAAATTCAGACTACTTTAGAACATGTACAAGAAGAATCCAGTTCCCACATGACACAGCTTGAAGAGGAAGTGAATCGCCTTAAGACGGAACTATCAGTTGCAGAAGATCTTGAGCGATCAAACTCTGCAAGGTATCAGGAAAGCATCCAGAGCTTACAAGCTGAACTAATGAAAGAATCTGAGACAAGACAGCACTCAGTATCAGATTCAGATTCTCAGGAACAAGAACTGTTCAGTTTGAGAAATAAATTGCAGGATCTTCAGTCTCACTATGACATGTTGCTTGCAGACAATAATGAGTTCCAAGCCTTGGTGGAGACTTTGAAAGATGGCAACAAGAAGCTGAGGAAGGAAGTTGATGAGATGAGATTCCAAATGAGTAGAAAGGAGGAGGAGGCAAGGAAGACAAGTAGTCAAAGTGAGGAGGTGAAGACCCTGCAGAAGAAGGTAGCTGAGTTGGAATCAGAGAAGGAACATCTTGAGGAGGAGGTTGAAGGAATGAGAGATGAGTTTGTGGATTCCAGAAGAGAAAAGCAAATCCTCAGTCAGAGAGTTGAGGACATGAGTAGACAGATTAGCTCTCTGGGAGAACTGCAGAAAAAGGTTGTGGATCTTGAAGCAGAGCGGGACCAAGTTATGGATGACATTGAGCATATGAGAGCTGAAATGTCAACCTACAAGAAAGAGGGACAAGATTCGAAGGATGAAGTGGATTCTTTGAACTGGAAGATCCAAGAGCTCAGTGCTCTTGAGAATGAACTTGAGGTGAATAACATGGAACTTGCGAAGTTAAGAACTGAGAATCAGAGTCTCAGGGACAAGATTGATGGGTTAAACTGGAAGCTGGAAGAGGCATCAGCATTTGAGGAGGATCTTCAGTTGACAAGAGATGAACTGACTGCATCACAGAAACAATTAACAAAGGGACAGGATGATTTGATGGCTTCACAAAATGAGGTGAAGGCTTCACAGGATGAGTGTGAGCGATTGGCTGTGGATAAAGAGATGATACAGTCTGAGGTGGATTCAATGGCTCTCAAACTACAAGAGATGGAATCACTGGAGTCCGAACTTAGGATGTCCCAGACAGATCTTGAAGATATGGATAGAGACAGTAAGAGTCTAAAAGAAGAAATTGATCATCAGAATAGAAAGATTCAAGCCCTGATGCATATTGAACAAGATGTGAAAGAAATATCTCATGAATTAAATGTTGCTCAAACAGAAAATGTTTCTCTGAAGAGGCAAATTGGAGACATGAACAACAGACTCAGCACAATGGCTTCAGTTGAATCTGACTTCTCCTCACTAAGTGAACAATACAATGCTGTGTTAAGTGACAACAGTGATATGGCAAAACAGATTGAAGAACTTCATGACAAAATACAGGAGATGAGTAGCCTGAGGCAGGAAGTCAGCTTCAGCATGGAGCAGAGAGAACATCTTTCCCAGAGAGAAGGAAACATTCCAGAGGAGAGTTGATGAACTAGAAGATCAATCATTCATACAGTCTGATGAAAACAATAAACTCAAGCAGGAACTTGATGAGACAAAGAGCAGCCTACAGCAGGCAGTGTTTGACATCAGCACACTTCGGTCCCAGTTGGAGGTTGCCACAGCCGGGGGGAACCAACTGAGCAAGTTCCAGGCTGAGTATGAGAAGCTGCAGCAACAGTTCTCCCGAGCCATCGAGCAGAAGAACCAGGTGCAGGTGGATCTCAACCAGGCCCTACACAGTCTGCAGCAGAGGGAGTCTCGATGCCAGCAGCTGGCCATGCAGGTAGGCTAAGTATGCTAACTGTCTCACTTTCACAAGTGGGTGAGTTAAAATTTAACATCTTTTAGCCATGCAGCAACCACTTATGTTAGAATAGGTCCCAATAGACACAAGACACAGAACAGACACACACACTTTGCATGGGTGGTTTTAGGCTAAGATTAAGGTTTTCTGATTTATCAGGGCAAAGATGTTCCAATAGCTTCAAGTCAGTGGAGCCAATTTGCTTGGATGAAATTTTCCCAAACCTGCAGAGGTTTTCAATTCTTTGAAGAGAGTCGTCCTTGGGGTACATATTATGCATTTTCCGGCTGTAAAATGTCCTGTGACAGTTGTATCAATGTTTTTTGAATAAAAAGATTGTACAATAAATAAACTCTTTTATTTATTATACGGACCCTACCTCACGGAGTTACCTCCCTTAGCGCATGCGCACCAACTGGGTAGGCTCCTAGACCCGTATCATCATTCCTTCTGCTGAATTCTCATCAGTGAACAGAATTGCGGGAGGTGGGTGGGCCCTACCAGGGCGATCTAATTCTCTTCAAAGAATTGAAAACCTCTGCAGGTTTGGAAATTCTTTTCAGAGAGAATCGTCCTTGGGGTACATATTATGCATAAACACAGACTCCCAAAGACCGGAGGCCAGGGAGGAGGGAATTCTGTCCAAGCACACACAAAATATAGCGATCGTATCATGGAAAAAATTGAACAGACGCCATAACACTCACCTGTCACTCGACCCAGTTTAGCCCGCTTGAGAGGCATTATGGGAGGAACTGACAGGGAGGATTTGTGCTCAAAGACGACCTCTAGCATAATGAGACATTGCCGTAAAGTGCGAATGTCAGTGAAATCCGACCCACTAAGTGGCTTCTTCGTGAGAGCACCGTGGGGGAAAACAAAAATACCACTCACTAACGATATCGTGAACTCCTTAGAGAATCGAAAGGGGTACAGGTTCTCTGAGTGCTCGTAGCAGACATGTCAATAATGGAATCATTGTACAGTAGTCGCCAACACAAAACCAATAAACCAAGACTCACTTGGTCAGGGTGGCAGGACACTGTCCACTGGAGAGAACGGTACGACCAAAGCTCGCACGATTGCGTGAATGTGTATCGAGCTGATAATGGCGTATAAAGTGCTTGGCGGCTCCAAATAGCGGCAGAGCAGATCTCTTCAATGGGGAGTGCCGCTGCAAAGCTTTTGATGCGCGCTACTGCCCTGACCGAGTGAGCCTTCAACCCCTCAGGGGAGGCTTGCCCTTAGCCTGATAAGCGGCACAAAAATACGAAACAAGCCAACGAGACAAAGTTTGCTTGCTCGCTGGCGACCAGCCTTCCCGCCACCGTAACAACAGAACAGCTGGGTACCCGTGACGGATCCCCTGCGCGTCGCTTTGATATAGACTTTGAGCGTCTTACGGACATCCAACGGGTGAGTGCTCAGAGGGAGTGGTCCCCGGCTGTGGAAGGCTGGGTAAGAGTAGGAAGTTCGATAGGAGCTGTCACATGGAAAGCGTGATCGACCTTCGGGTCGGTAAGTATCTGGGAGGCGAATGCTGACACGATCCGTGTGAAACACAGTCAGCGCCGGTCGGACGACATAGCATGTATATCGCACGACTCTTCGACCAGATGTTACCGCCACCAGAAACACAGCTTTCCAGGTCAACAACTGAATGGAAATAGCCGATAGGTGTGAGAAAGTGGGACCGACAGCCAATCGGCAGCACGATCGACAAATCCCAAAGGTGGACTGGTTCGCCTGAGAGCAGGTCGAATCCGTTCGGCGCCAGCTAGAAAGCTGACGAGAGGGTGCTGCCCCAGAAGAGCACCATCGACAGGTGTGAAAAGTGGAAATAGCGGTGGAGTAGCCACGGTAATGGTCGGCCGCCAGGCCTTCTTCCAAACGAGCTTGCAAAACTCCAATACCGGACTAAATCCGCAGAAAAGGATCTGCAATGCCCCTATCTGAACACCAGCGCGCCAGCGGGACCACCTATCCTCATACTGAACGTTTGTCGAATCCCCTACCGAAGCCAGAATTGTGTCTGCAACTGCTGCAGGAATTCGCGTGCCTCGAGGTTAGACCTGACAGAGGCCAAGCCACCCACTGAATCCGTGGATTTGGGTGGGCTCCGCTCTGAGTGAGAATGTCCGTCGCAAAGGTAATAGAACAGGAGGCTGAGCCAGAAACCTGAGAATTACCGAAACCAGCTCTGTGACGGCCAAAGCGGTGCCAGTAGCACAAGTAGCCGAGCTGGCTGGGTGGACAGCTGTGAAAGGACACGGGAATGAGTGGTAATGGCGGAACGCCCAGAGCACTTTGCCCGTCCAATCCAGCAGGAAGGCGTCGGCAGCCAACGCCCTCTGGTCCGGTATCCGAGAGCAGAACACGGGTGTCTGATGCGCCCCGCCGGACGCAAAACAGATCCACCTCGAACGACCCGCACAACTGGGAGATGACTGTGAATATCTGCCTGTCGAGCATCCACTCGTCGGCGGGCCAGGATCCGGCGAGAGCCGCATCTGCTCGCACGCTCTCCAGCCCCGGAGATAAACAGGAGTACCTGACAATCGTACTGGTCGCCTCCAGAGGAGAAAGTCCCACGCTTCCCGGAGGAGCTGGGACACCGTGCCTCCCTGCTTCAGGATGTACGACATGGCCGCCTGGTTGTCTAACTGAAGACGGACTACCTGGCCACGGACATGCTCTCTGAAGCGCTTCGAATACCAACCGCACAGCTCTCAGCTCCAACACGTTGATGTGAAGGTGAGCTGGCTTCGACCAGAGTCCGAAGCCGACAGACTGCCCAGAACGCCCCCAGCCCGTGAGGGACGATCTGTCTGAACTGTGAGAGCTGGCGTCGGGATTTCCAAGGGGAACCCCTGGTGAGATTCCCCGACATTTGTCCACCACTGAAGGTGAGGTGTCAACCACTGGGGACTGTGAGACTGGCGCCCAGATCCTCCGTGAGTCCACAGCCGAGCCAAAGCTTGCTGTATGGGACGATCTCATCCTCAGCAGCCGCCACACTACAGAGATCGTCGCCGCCATATGGCTCCAGTAGACGGAGCCAAGTCCGTGCTGGTGCCTGGGGCTGGGAGAGAATGAAGATACCATCTCCTAACTCTGGTGACCCGGTCGGGCGACAAGGAAGCGGAGATCCTTGTTCGTTTGAATCGCGCCCAAGAAAAACCAAGTCCTGGGTGGGTACCAGGTCGGTTTCTTGAGGTTGATGATCCACCCCAGTCGAAAGTTAGAATGTCTATCACTGTGTGAGTAGCATCTTGACTTCGCTGGCTGTGTTAGTGCTCGAGCAACCAGTCGCTCTAGGTAAAGGTATTTACAACGCCTTCCTTGCGAAGCGAGCTAGGGTAGCTGGGACTAACATGAGCTTGGTGAACACCCTTGGGGCAGTCGATATGCCGAAGGGGAGCACCCTGATTGGTAATACATCCCGCCGTAAGAGAACCGGAGGTACTGCTTGAACGAGGGATGTATGGGTACATGCAGATACGCATCCTTTAGGTCGATTGACGTGAGCCAATCGCCGGGCTGAACAGATGAGATCACCAGCGCAGTGTCTCCATCTTGAAGGATGGTACTTTCGGTAGCATGCGATTCAACCCCTTGAGGTTGAGAATCGACGGAACCCGCCGTCTTTCTTCGGACGAGGAAGTACGGAGTAAAATCCCGCCTGTTCCTCTCCCGGTGGAATGCGCCGATTTCGACTTGTCCAGCAGAGCCTGAACTTCCGTGCGCAATATGTCCGCTGACTGGCTTGGCATGACGGCACCGAGTCGCCAGTATGCGGTGAAGTCGAAGTCGGCGACCGGCCTTCCACAGTGGGAGATGGCCTATGCTGACCGTGGCCAGCACCTGCAAGCGTTGTTGGTAGCCTTCTCCCATTCCGGCAGGAATAGAGAGAGGCCCGCCTCCCACTGGGATATGGGGTAGGAGCCGCGTCGCGGACCCTAGTAGCGAGCTGACTGGGTGACACACGCTTCGAGCGGCAGCCTGTTGGGTTAACGGGAGGTCGGGCAGACCTCCAGCCGCCCACCAAGCTGGGGCCAGCTGGTCGAGGACTGCTCTCGTCTTGCCCCTACCCTTGCAGCGGACCTCTCCTCCCTCCGCCTACCCCTACCAAGCGGCGAAGCCAGCCCGGCAGACTTCGGTGTAGGCTGCACCCCGGCGGAGGAAGGTGGCGACGGAGCGCTGAGGCGAGACACCGCTGGTGCTCCAACAAGGCCTTAGAATCCTTTGAAGGAGGTCGCTGCAGCGGCAGCCTCCCGTATGACCTGCTGTGCCCCGGGAAAGAGGGTCGCTCCCAGACGGAAAGGGAGAGCCAGCAAGGTCTGCTGTGTTGCTGCCGAGTACCTAGACGTCGACAGCCACAGCCTGCGCATCCCCATGACTGCGCACATCACCGTCGACGCAGCAGACCGCAAAGAGTCGCGCGCGAGGTGAGCCTGAACTTCCGACAGCTGACGGAGTAGCAAAGTCACAATTATGAAACAACCACTGTAAGGCTTTACTGTTATTGTTTTAGACAAATAAAAACCAAACATACAGGTGGTGTCTCAGACATCTTAAAATACAGCGCCGTACGGCTCATGAAAGGTAATCACAACGAACGTCTGTTCAGGGCCGTGACAGCAGAAGGAATGATGATACGGGTCTAGGAGCCTACCCAGTTGGTGCGCATGCGCTAAGGGAGGTAACTCCGTGAGGTAGGGTCCGTATAATAAATAAAAGAGTTTATTTATTGTACAATCTTTTTATTCAAAAAACATTGATACAACTGTCACAGGACATTTTACAGCCGGAAAATGCATAATATGTACCCCAAGGACGATCTCTCTGAAAAAGAATCTAATGCTGTTGAAGTGCCATTTACCCAACTCCCTCACGCAACCAGATACACAAGCACTCAGATATTGGGTTACACACAGTCTGTTTGTATAAAGAAACAAGCAGAGGGACTAAACTTTTCCCCCACAACCTGTTCCTGCTTTTACAGTGATTATGTGAATCAGAGAGTCATGAGTGCTAATATTTTCTATCTGCTGTCAGAGAGCTGGAATATTAGCGTACAGTAAACATAAACAAACATACGTTACATGTTCAAATTTAGTTATGGACTAATTGCATATGATCAGCTGTCTAGACCTACAGTATTGGTTCTGTGTCTGGGGGATGAAAATTGCTGAATATATCAGTTACGAAATGTGGTCTGTATCTGAGAAAATGCATTCACACTGTGGAATTCTGTAGACACTATCTCTGTGTTATTGTATGTTTCTACCAAACTGGAGGGCTGTAGCATAGCCCAGTGGTTCAGGCACTGGCTCATCACCCTAAATCCTGCTTTGGATTCCCGTCATGAGTGCAGTGTGGAAATCAGATTTTCTGTCTTCCCTCGGTGGGATGTTGCTAGATTATAGCTTATGCCATGTGGACTATACCGATACAGTCACTACCTAATGGCCAACGGTTGTTTTTGTCCCAGGTGAGTCAGCTGGCGGAGGACCGGGGATACCTGAACATCCAGCTGGGGCAACTGTCAAAGTCTCTGCGGGAGAAAGAGCAGGAGTGGTTGGCGATGCAGCAACAGTATCGCTCCCTGTACCAGACCCACATCAACACACAGACAAAGGTACCCAGATGTAGAGGTCATCATCAAGCCAGCACAGAGGCTGGAAGACCTAACGTATCATGTGACAGAAAATAATTATGACTCAACAGTATACAGGGATAATCAGACATGTCATTCTATTTAAATAGACACTTTGACATTTATCAATCATTTTTGTGTATCATGGACATAAGAAACAGTATCACCAATGGTGTTGACCTGTGTCTTTTTTGCAGGTGGCTGACTTGGAGAAGAAGGCCGTCAATGAAGCCTTGCAGAGAGCTTCAGCTGCCCAGACGACAGCAGCATCAGCAACAGTAACAGCAACAGCAGCAGCAGCCCCTCAGCAACCTGCTGACCCAGCACAAGTAGAGGAACTCAGGAAGAGGTATGTGTCATGGCTGAATTTTGAATAAACAATGTTTGACATGTGAGCTAATGCCAGGTTACAGGTAGTTATCAGTTGAACGTGCTTGTTGTGCAAGGTACTCAATACAGCAAGAGTTAGCTGAAAGCATTTCAACATTACCCCAAGTACATGGATCATTGATCCCAACATCAATCACTGGATTGTGTGGTCCAATCTTGATTATTGAGAGGACTCTAGCTTGAATATTGCTGAGCATATTTTTAATTATGGACAAACAAACAATCAAAACTTGAATATGCAAAACACATGCTGCCAAGTCTGTTAGGTATATTGACTATGTGATGTGGATGGTACACACGACAGCTGACATGACACAATCTGGATCTGTTGGATGTCGTATGGAATATGGAGTGGTCAGGAATGGTTCAAGTGTCCAAGAGTCTGTCCTGTTGTAGGTTGATGTGAAGTAGCCTTGCAGTTAAAGCATTGGCCCATCTTACTTAATACCACGGATTGATTCTTGATAAGTAAATTGTGTGCATCTATTTGTATGCCATGATACAATTCAAAAGTTGCTAAAACTACCTAATACATTATTCACTCACCTACTTACTCAGGGGTGGAAATAACCCATTGCCTGACGTCCGAGTCCAGGGGGGTTTTCTGTCGGGCAAGCAATTTTGTATATCACACTGTACCAGTGTCCAGTTGACTTTCCAATGTTAATAATGTTGTTTATTTAAAAAATCAACAAGAAAACGGATGGTATAGTAGAAAAATGATCAGGGCAAGTGATTTTACATGTGCCACTGTACCGGAGTACACAAGCAATTTTAAAGTTATTTCCACCCCTGTTACTAACCATCCAGCACCCAATGTTTGTCACAAAAGATGACCAAAAGAGAAAACGGTGGACACAGTGTGTGACGTTGCTGATCACGTGTCCTCCTACATTGACTGTGTTCATCCTATCTATCACTGTTGTGCAATTCCAAAATGCAGACCACAATTTTTTAATTTGAATATAGCTGCTTGGCATAAAATGACATTCACTCACTCCCAGTAAATAGCTACAACAGGTGAGGCAGATACTTGATGATACATGCATCCAGCATACACACACTATATACTGGATCCACCTGTCTCCAGGTTGCAGGCTTCAGAGAAGTCCCGCCAGGTGGCGGAGCAGTCTGTGGAGAAGCTGGAGCAGAGTCTGGCCACGGAACAAGGACGGAGTGCGCAGATTGAGAAGACCCTGACAGAGCTGCAGGAACATCTACAACTCCAGGCCAACACTAAGGAGGTGAGGGACATGGATATCAGAGTTAAGCCCCTTGAATTTCCTCTCATGAGGATTTCCGTCGTTTTGTCTCGTCAAAAACTGTTCAGACACACAGAAACCATTCGAACGGATAATTATTACATGTCCTTGGTATCTTTGTGGTCAAGATGCTTATTTACATATCTACAGTTAGAAGAAACTACCAATGTGTGCAGATTGTTATTAGCCTGTCTATCCATGAAGATATATTGGAATTCACTGAAACATTTTGTCACTGAATGTAAATTAGAATCAGCCTTAAGAAATTTTATCAGATTTCGTTTGTATATTTTTTGGTATTTTTCTGCTGGTTTAACTGATACGTAAGATGACTGTGATCATCTGGACAAGTATCCCCTTATATTGGTGTGTGACACTATGGGAACACTCCATGAACTGCTACTGAACAATGTTACAGGTTCATCTCCAGATGGAGGAGGATGGAGACTCCAGGATCAGGGAGGTCAACACCATGTTGAGTAAGTGCACAGGAGGATATGTACATGAGCATCACTTTAGCACTTCAGGCTTTTCTCCCACATCAAGCTGGCCTGCCATTGTTGAAAGTGACATGAAAGACAGCTCACTCCCTTGCTGGCATAGGGAGACTAACTCCTGAGATGCTACCCAACTTTAGCTAGGGAACAAGGGCCTAGATTTTCGAAGCTCTCTTAGCGCTAAGATAGTCGTAAGTGACATACATTAACGTTAATTTACGACTATCTTAGCGCTATGAGAGCTTCGAAAATCTAGGACCTGGTTTTCAGCATAAGAAGACTTAGCTCTCCTATTCTATCAAACGTTTGCTAAGAAACTCACTTTTGACTGAAAATGACTGTTCCTAGTAAATATTGAATAGTATAAGTCATTGATGTTTCTCTGATGCTACAGCTGAATCATTCTTATCGGCAACACATTATCCTTAAGAGGCTTGCTGGGTAACCGTTAAAACACTGAACCAGTAGGCGTCCTAGACTGTGGTACAGGGACAATATGACTGGCTCAGCATCATCAAGACAGGGCATGGTTAGAGTTGTGGCCCCTTGTCTGACAGTATCAACTGGTGGAAAGTTTATGAATGCAGAACTTATCTTAATTGTGATAACCATAACCATGGTTACGTGATGTTTATGTGGACTGTGTCAGTATGGGTTTAGACTCCATAGTTCAAAACAGTTTTATACTCAACACACATTGAGATTTATCTAACAGCACCAACAACATGGGTTTTAAAATTTATAAGAAATTAAATGCAATAGTTGTCATTTCAGATACTTTTTTTATTACTTTATGAAAGACATTCTCATCATGATACATTTTGTGACATTAGTTTATTATGACCTTACCTTCAAGAAGATCTACGTACTTTTCCAGGTATTTAGTTATACAACACAGTGTCTTCTCTTCTGTTTGTTGTTTGGAATGACTGTTCTACCACCACTATTAGCCAATGTGTACAGGTGGATACATTGCATTATTTCAGCTCGCCATGGAATGGGCTACTGTCAGAGGATGTGCAGATGGGCCAGGATAAAGAAGTAAGATGTGTTTTAACCTATTTCACTCATAAACTTAAAGGCATGGTATAACATAGTATAGCATGGCATGGTATTATATAGTATAACGTGGCATGGTATGGTATAATATAGTATCACACTGAATCGTATAACATAGTATCACATGGAATCGTATAACATGGCATGGTACCACATTGTATCACAGGACATGGTATCACATAATATTGCATGGAATGATAAAACAAGGTATCACAAAGCATGGTATAACATAGCATCACATGGAATCGTATAACATGGCATGGTATCACTGGACATAGTATCACATGGAATGATAAAACAAGGTATCACAAGGCATGGCATCACATTGTAACACATGTATTGGGATCAATCACTTGTCCTGGCCTTACCTTGATATTGAACTGTGTGTATGGGTGGGTCAGTTCCTGTCATCACACAGTTAAAGTTACAGTTGCCTTGGGGGTTTTGTCAACACCTCGCTTTTGATTTCCAGGACTATACCACTGTAGCAATTAACCAATGAGGATTAGCTGGTCACAGTGGGTGACATTGATGATGATTGCGTTGTCACAGCAGGTGGCATGGTTCATTGTGTTGTCACAGTGGATGCATGGTTGATTGTGTTGTCACAGTGGATGCATGGCTGATTGTGTTGTCACAGTGGATGCATGGCTGATTGTGTTGTCACAGTGGATGCATGGCTTGATTGTGTTGTCACAGTGGATGCATGGCTGATTGTGTTGTCACAGTGGATGGATGTGTTGTCATGCATGCTGATTGTGTTGTCACAGTGGATGCATGGCTGATTGTGTTGTCACAGTGGACATGCATGCATGGCTGATTGTGTTGTCACAGTGGATGCATGGCTGATTGCACAGTGGATGCATGGTTGATTGTGTTGTCACAGTGGATGCATGGCTGATTGTGTTGTCACAGTGGATGCATGGTTGATTGTGTTGTCACAGTGGATGCATGGCTGATTGTGTTGTCACAGTGGATGCATGGCTGATTGTGTTGTCACAGTGGATGCATGGCTGATTGTGTTGTCACAGTGGATGCATGGCTGATTGTGTTGTCACAGTGGATGCATGGCTGATTGTGTTGTCACAGTGGCATGGCTGATTGGTTGATTGTTGTCACAGTGGATGCATGGCTGATTGTGTTGTCACAGTGGATGCATGGCTGATTGTGTTGTCACAGTGGATGCATGGTTGATTGTGTTGTCACAGTGGATGCATGGTTGATTGTGTTGTCACAGTGGATGCATGGCTGATTGTGTTGTCACAGTGGATGCATGGTTGATTGTGTTGTCACAGTGGATGCATGGCTGATTGTGTTGTCACAGTGGATGCATGGCTGATTGTGTTGTCACAGTGGATGCATGGTTGATTGTGTTGTCACAGTGGATGCATGGCTGATTGTGTTGTCACAGTGGATGCATGGTTGATTGTGTTGTCACAGTGGATGCATGGCTGATTGTGTTGTCACAGTGGATGCATGGTTGATTGTGTTGTCACAGTGGATGCATGGCTGATTGTGTTGTCACAGTGGATGCATTTTCAGTGTGTTGTCACAGTGGGTGACCTGGTTGATTGTGTTGTCACAGTGGGTGACCTGGTTGATTATGCTGTCTCAGCGGATGCATGGTTGATTGTGTTGTCACAGTGGATACATGGCTGATTGTGTTGTCACAGTGGATGCCTGGTTGATTGTGTTGTCACAGTGGATGTCTGGTTGATTGTGTGGTTGATTAAATGCCATTATACATTATTCACAATGTGTTATGTGTATTCAGCAATGATAGTTATATGTATTCAAGTTTGGTGTTGGTTGGAGACATGGATTAAATGTGAATAGATGTATGGTGGATGTTGAAACTCTAACCATGACTGAGGCAATACTGATTTTATTCAACGCAGTTCAGGGGAATCAAAATATGTAAGGTAGCAAACCAAACATTTGATAATGGATAAAACTTATTCATTGTTAGGATTGTGTATGTTTGAATTTGTTGGATTTGAAATGTGTAGACCTGTCAGCTGTCATGCACATACATATATATGCACACACATGCACGCACATATACTGGGTTATGGAAGTTGTTCATTGTGTGTACATGTGATCTGTACTATGTCCCATAGTAATAATACTCTTGTAGTCATAACAACCTTCTAGTTGCCATGTAATGAAGTGAAACCTTGGTGAGAACCACAGGGGCTTGTAACGCTAAACACTGCCATCAAGGTACATTTGTATATACTGTCACTGACGGGGTCTTAGTACTATCGGGGCGGTGGGGTAGCCTAGTGGTTAAAGCGTTGTCTCGTCACGCCGAAGACCCGGGTTCGAATCCCCACATGGGTACAATGTGTGAAGCCCATTTCTGGTGTCCCCCGCCGTGATGTTGCTGGAATTTTGCTAAAAGCGGCGTAAAACCAAACTCAGTCAGTCAGTCAGTCTTAGTACTATCCTTTTATATAGAACTAAGACCCAGTCAGTGACAGTATATGCAATTGTACCTTGATGGCAGTTTTTAGCGTTACAAGCCCCTGTGGTGAGAACCTTCTCTGTGTTGACGATCTTGTTACTGGAGAAATATTGTGAGCCACTGTTTGAAGCAGTCTTTCCCTCCTGTAATTGTTCCTGTGTATTAGCCGCCATATAGCTGGAATACTGCTAAGTGTGGCGTTAAACAACTAACAACAAACCCTTTTCTGTGAAATAAGACTTTTAAGATTGAAAATGAAAAAAATAATACAAGAATAAATAATGTATGATTTTCAATTTATTCCATATATTCAATTTTAATATTGGGTTCTGCAGAGTTTTAAATAAGGTAAAAAGTACTTTAAAACAAAGAAACACTTAATATATCTGAGTACTTATGACATTGTACGGTAGACATCAAGGTTTCACAACAATCTGTAGTCTTCTGTTGTACGTCTCTATTCTGTTATGATAAACAGCCTGGGACCAATTTGCAGCCACAGCTGATTTGTTACATCTCCACCTCATTCCTCTCATTAGAAATTTTGCAAAGAATTTTATTTGCACATGAGAGTTGTGAATACAAAATGCCATTTTAGAAAGTGGTCAAATGTAACATATGTTATGTTTGGGATTACACTTTCTTAGTAAAGTACAGATTCTAGTAAGTTTTTGGGTTGTCCCAAACGGAATTCGAACCCACACCCTCAGTCACGCACCTAATCGCCTAATGACTTTGTGTGCTGGCGATGAGGTGCGGGACTCTGAGGGTGTGGGTTCAAATTCCATATGGGACAACCAAACAAAGTACTAGAATCTTTACTTTACTAAGAAAGTGTAATCCCAAATATAACATATGTTGCACATAAGAGTGTTTTGATTGGATGTGTTAGGTGGATGTGTGAATCTGTGGAGGTAGATGGATATGGTGTATTTATAATAACAGAATGAATATATAATAACATAATACAATGGAGGATTACTTTTCACTGCTTGTAGTGTGTCCCTGTAGTCTCCCCTGCTTGTATAACAGCATGTTTCTGCCTGTGTCTGTCATTTGCTGTTGTTTATTCCTCTTCAGGGCTTACTTCTCCTTTTCCAGCCGTCAGCTGACCAAAGTGATGAGGATGCGCCCCGGGATCCGGACTCTGATCTGGGCCTACTTCATCCTGCTGCATATCCTGCTGGTCTCCTGCTTCACAGGATTCATATAAGGACACCGTATTCCACGAGACGTGTCCAGCTGTACAGGATTCATATAAGGACACTGTATTCCACGAGACGTGTCCAGCTGTACAGGATGGGAGAGTCCAGCTGTACAGGATGGGAGAGTCCACTCTGGACAGATTACGTGCCAATTTTCGTGGAGATATTGTGAAAGCCGGTGTCCAAACATTGCATGGGAGGATATACACATTATCAGCCGGAGCTGAAATGTAGGGGAGACAGACATTGACAAATACATTGCTTGTGGTGTGACCGTCCATTAACTGTATGGGAGACCAAAATGGACATCAAGACTATCAGCTGTGTGGCTTTGCTTGATGATGTTTTGGACATTAGTGGCATGGCTTCAGTGTGTATGGAAGGCCAGCTCTAGTTTCCACTCTGTGTGTCCTGCTGATCTGCAAGTGTTGGTACATTCAAGAAGTTGTGTCATGACATAGTACATGTGCACGGCAATATTCTCGGTTTTGCTGGAAAAACTGAGGGGATTTTGTGATGTTTTGTGGAATGTGTGGTCAACAATTGTTGCTAACTCATCTGTACCTTCATAATGGCTCACACCCCGCACATGGGAGTACAGTGTGAACGGACATATATACATTGGATCTATGGCTGACTGTTTGGGTCATAATAGGATATAATCATACATTGGGGGCTATAACTGAAGGTGTAGGTCATAATAGTATAAGATACAGTGTCACGAGGGACTTGGTCATACAGAATGAATGTTGAGAAATATTGAAGTGTGTCTGGCAGCATAAAAATATCATGGGCTTGCTACAATAATTAACATGTAAATATGGAATTTCATGAATTGGACAAAATTAATGGTCCCTCTGTTCATACAGTGCATACATTTTGATACAGAATCTAAGGGAGCATATATAGTGTTTTTTTCTATATTTACCCTATACACAATTCATATATTTTCCACCAAATTAGCTCTTATAAAATGATGTAAAATACAGAGATGATACACAGATGATACACATTCCCTAGTGGTTCATCAGCAGGACCATGTGCGAGGACATGAATATCGATCTATACAGTGGTGCTTTGTTATGCATGTAAATATGTAGATAGGTCGGTTGTGTTAAGGTGTATGAGGGAAAGTTTGGTTATTTTCTATCCACTCCAACAAATCTCCACCTTCCATTTCTCTCTTCCACTCACTAAACACCCCGCTAGACATCTGGCACACAAAGCATTTGTATTCTAATACTGTGTTAACGTGTTCCCAATCAGCTGAAACATCCATTCATATGTTTTGTTGCTGGCAACTACACATTGTAACATTTGTAGCCGGTTTCTTTTTACCAATTCCACTCTTATTACATACTGTGTGTTATGAGACTCTATATTCCCTGACACTATCTTACTTTGTATTCATTGCATTTATTCCTCACAGTGGGAAAAACGTGTCATATGTTCACATATTTCCCACAGCTTGATATTCTGTCCTGTCGGTTTCTCTCCCATGCAGTATGTACTGCTTATCAATTGATTTACTAACTTGGGGACTTATGTCGCGATGAAAGATTACACAGATCTGCCGCTGTGTTTCTAATTAGTCATACAAATCTTGCCTGTGATTCCGCTTTTATCAGTAACATTGGTAGTAGAATTTTTTAGTTAATATTTTGCTTATTGCATTCCATTTTTAGGTTTTGTTTTCCTTTTCCTTCTGGTATTTTGTTGGCAATTTTCTGTTCATAATGTTTGAGACCAATGCTGGGTAAGCTTGCCCAGAAATATTGCTGTATTTTTACTTTGCACTAGTTTTCATGGTCACGTTTTTTGTCAAGCCACATTTGTGTTAAGTTGCTTTTTGTAGCTTGGGATGAATTTCTTCTTAAAGCATATCAAAATAAGTCTGTTTGAATGCATCCCATAAAAAGTCTTTCAATGAAAGTATTTTCAAAGTTGTACATAGTATATACTCTGTAGGAGAAATATTTAAGGTATATTGTACATAATGCTGTGGAAAATGAAGTAATATATCATGGCTGGGGATTATTGTGTACTTAACCTGAAAAGTAAAATATAGAAATGATATCAAGTCTGTTTTTATTCTTTGCTCAAGAACACCAACATCTCGTCAAATATACACACCAATAGTTTCAAAGGACTTTGGTGAATCTTAGAAAGGACTTCGTGTTATCTATAGTAGTTTTATTATGCAGCAGATGTCCTATTGGATGAATGACAACATGATTTATTCTAGGGTGTGCAAATTCAATTAACTTATAATAGTGGTGTTCTTAGGGATGCCATAAATCAGTATTGGAATGTCCCCATGCAATTGGTACTATCGTTGAAGCAGATATCTGTGGGTCAGATCAAAGCTGACTTGCAACAGAAAAAGAGCTGCAGCCTTGACATCAAATATCATGAAGGTGCTACATTGATCCGTGTTGGTGGCTGTTTAATGCAAAGCCATATTTGAGCCATCTGACAAGCCACGCCATCAAGCAAGTCACTGGATCTCACAGAATACACAACATGTTGCAGTGTGGAATCAATTAGAAAACAATGTATAAATTTCAATATATACAGCCCCATAAGACTGCATATTTATATCGTATTCAGTGGGAGTCACCTTTCTGTTAGCTTGGATTTCTATTATTCAGATACAATTACCAGGGCCTGACATGTAAAGATGCAGTGTACGCTAACATACATGCAGTTTGGTATAGAATAGAATAGAAGAGAATAATACTTTAATGCCTTTTCAGGAATTTGTGTTACATCAGCAGAGCTACTGACACATTAGAGAGATTCCAAACATATTCACATTTGTTTAAGAGAGATATGTTACTTGGAATAAAGGATGTACAGGCTCTTTAGTTTTCACAATTGAACTTTGTAGCGGTGGCCTGAAGGAGGAGGTTGTATTCCTGAATTTAAGTAGTGAGTACGGTCAGGGATAATTTTGACAGCTTGATTCACGATTTGCAGCTCATATATTGATGATAAACATTCAAATCTGACTCCAGCGATTTTACTTGCAGTGTTAACAATTTTGTCTATTTTTGGATTTGAGATGAACTGAGAGAGACCCGCACTCAACAATGGAAGGAAAATGTTAAAATACTCTGAATAAATGCTACATAAAAGATGACGCCACAGATGGGTTAACATTAAAAGATCTCAGTTTACGATGAGATGAAGACGCGTTGACACTTTTGTATAGGGCTTCAGTGTTAGAGTTCCAGTTCAGCTTAGAGTCAATGAAGGTTCCCAGATACTTATACTCTCACACTGTCTCAACACATTCACCGTTGATTATCACTGGAAGCTTTTCTGTGGGTTTACTCCAAAAGTCAATTATCAGTTCCTTTGTTTTGTGATATTTAAGAGTAAGTGGTTTTCTGCACACCAAGTCGTAAAATGATTAATGTCCTCTTTATACAGTTATTCAGAATCAGTGTCGTTCAATTTGCTGACAATTGCTGCATCATCTGTGAAATTTACAGTTGAACAGGTTGTATGGGAGCTGTTCATAGATGATAACACGCTACATTTTTAAACACTTATTTTATTTGTTGAATTTGTTGACAGAATATTTGCAGCTATGTCAAAGCCATGTCTCTTCAGCTCTGTTCTGCAACTGTTCCAACTTACTGTGCATTTTAAACAAAGAAAAGCCTGTTTTGTTAAAGAATGTGAATGACATTTACACAAAATTAGCCATCAAATATTGGGGTATCATGAGATTTCCCTACCAAAAACAACACCACAGTGTCCATCCTGAATTTGAAACATTTTTCTTGATCAGGTCTGACATAAACAGACATTTTCTCCATAAGCACTATTAACTCGTTCATCGGGAAGAAATCTCCAAATATTGTGCAGTCCTCAAGAAAAATCAGGAACACTGTTTTATGTCTCTGCCAAACAACTGAAATACATTGCACAACTCATGCTGTCAATCGTATTATGTACATTTTTTACATGATATGCAAATGAGATCCTATTATATATACAGAAAATAAATAACAATGAGCAAACACATGTCCAGGGCAATGCACCAATGCCTGGGTCATATATGGAGATATTTGTACAACAAAATGAATTCAATACCATATAAATAAGGCAATATTATACATTTCTTGGTCATGACATATAAATCACTGAAGAGAAGTGAACTGTTAGATGGATTCTACACAGATCCTGTACAGGATTTCCTGAAGTACTCTGTTTGATACACTTCATGTTCCTAGACTGCGATTACACACTCCATAATAATACTTGGGACTAATTTGTCTCTCTTAGTACAGAATTACCTTACCTCATAAATGTAATTTCATTGAGAGGCAATATTAAGAATCATATTCAAATGTAGCTTAAGGTGAAGCTATGCTACCAGACAAGTTAGTGTATTTATCATGACAGAGATATATTCCAGTACGTAGACATAGTGAGTAGAATTTCATAAATTCTTTGTGAGAAAGGAACCTACCCTTACACCCTTATCTTCTAAAAAGTCCCTCAAAGAAGTTCATCAACATGATCAAGACATCATGACCAAGAAACTTAAATAACAATATACTTACACAATACATGTAACACAAGATCACAGATAGAACAGTAATGTAACCCACGACTAGCTGTCTCATGGGAGAGACAACATATCATGTAACAAGCATCACATCCGCAAATACACCTACACATGCTTTCGGACCCAATATTTGACCTCACATATTAGTGAGTGAGTATAGTTTTACGCCACTTTTAGCAATATTCCAGCAGGGGGACACCAGAAATGGGCTTCACACATTGTACCCATGTGGGGAATCGAACCCGGTCTTCGGCTTGACGAGCGAACGCTTTAACCACTAGGCTACCCCACCTTCCCCACCTCACATATCAACATGCACTACGTCTGGTCAGATCCGTCAGTAATGTCTAACTGAATACACAAGAACAATTCTGTGTTGACAAGTAGAGACTGTTCATTGATATTTCATGATTTCCATGTGTTTGAAACCCCACTGCAACTAAGCTTTAAGTTACAGATTTCATAAATGAATAAATATTGTTAGATATATTAAAAACAGTTTTGCTGATTTACACATTTGTTCTGGATCTCCAAGAAATGAGAGCATAGAAGTGATCTGTGTCACTTGTCAACAAAATATCCACAGAGAGATGGTAAAGAAATGATGTAAAATCATTACAGAAAGCCGACAGTTTGGCTCCAGAATCTATGCATCTATCCACTAGGTTTGTCGTTCATGGATCACCTGACCTAAGGAGGTGTCCTCAGATCAGAGTAAAAGATTGGGGGTTTCACATCCAAACAACATGGATGCTTCACCCACCGAGGACTGCACAGTTGGCCATAATGATTCATTTACTTGCCAAGGCAGGAACAACCCATCAGGTGATAATGCTTCTACTCTGGGAAAATTAAGCACAATCCCTTTAACCCTTAACTTTCCCTTATCTTCTTGAAACTGCTACATCGAAAAGGATCTTATATTTAAAAGTCTATAACATCAGCAATACCTGAAACATTACAAGAACATTGTATCCACATCCACATGATCACAAGTACTGAGTCATATCACATAGAGAACATATGGAAGAAAGAAAGATTAGTTCAATAAATGTTACCATGAAATCTTTTCACTATACAATCAAAATGAAGTCACTTTGTAAACAGAAAACAAAGTTCCTCACCAGAAAATTAATGCATGATTACAATTTGACCACATTTTAGATGGGAAATAGACAAGCAGTGCTTGACCTTTTTTCAGGTGTATAGTGTAAAAATAAAAAACCTTCAGGCAATAATGGACTCTACCCTTCAAAGAGCCCAATACTTCAAGATTGCAGGACTAAATATGTATCATTTTTATATGTGTTATTACTGCAACACTTCATGGTGAGAACAGGAAAACTGAAAAGATCTCAGAAATATGTCATTACTTTATGAAGCAGCATAGCTATCAGCAGTGACAGGATGAGACGTGGATCAAAAGTAACTATGGTAACTAGTGACGATTGTTGGTTTGGATGAAGTTTGTAGTCAGGATGCCAGGAAGGGATTTCTTGTCATGGGAACATCATGCAAACATGTTGAGTCTGCTTCCAGAATCAACTTACTGGATTTATTGTTAGGACTAAAACCATGCTATAATTGTGTACTATTTCTGTAATTTTTACCAATAGTCAGGGTCACTTTTACATGTTTCAATTTGATCACTCTGGCCAATGAACGCCTGACTTAAAATCAACTGCAGCAAAAGTGTAACATCATCATCATGTCTTGCTTTGGAAATCGAACGCATTAATTAATCAAGTAGGATCACTTACTATCACATTACAACAGCCAGGTTGAAAGGGGATCACATGTAGAAACATTTCCTGGGTTAGAAAAAGAAAATGTATTCTCACTAGTCCCCAAAATCTGCTACAGAGCTACCATCATTCTAACAGTAAAAGTGGACATGGAAACACCACTTATCTTTCTTGACAGTCCCCAAATAGTTACCTTAAGATAACCTCCAACCCTGAAAGTGTCTGTAGTATACAGTATGGTTACAACAAGCACCTGTCTGTGCTACAACAAGGCTACATGCCAGATGATATGTACACTCCCATGATGGAAGTTATTTAGTCAGTTCAACTGCCCTACACAGCAGTCAGAGCAAACACAGCGATAGTCAGCCGCAGGGTGAAGTATGCAGAAGCCTCAGTGAGATAGAGAGATCAACACATGATTTCACCCACTGTCAGATATGTTGACATCTTGGTGAGATGAAGAGAGATGAAGGCATGGTCTCTGAGAGAGACTCTGTGAGATAGTAAGATATATTGGCATGATGTTGGCCACAGTGTTGGATATTTGACATCTTGGTGAGATATATAGTGAGCGATGATGGCATGATTTTGGCCACATGGTCAAGATGAAGACACGATCTTACCAGTAAACACAAGATATCTTGACCACATAGTGAAACATTTTTACAACATCTCGGCCACACGGTGGGACATCAATCTCACCCACATAGTGGGACAGTAATATAAGGTCTCCTCCAAGCGGACACATGCAGGGATATGTTCACCTCCAACACAGATTGAAGAAGGGTAAGTGAGTTACGTCGACAGCACTTGAGACACATTGCCAAGATGTCAGCCATATAGTCACATACTAGGATGAGCGCTTGCTGTAGTCAGATGCACCAGTCCTTGCTCATCTGAAACATCAGCAACTTACATGAAAACCAAATCAAACTGTCACATATTTCAATTCCAGGCAATATTCACATAGGAAAAGTTCAAACTTAACCAAACGCTATGTGTGGCACCAAGCACCATACTCAATTTGCAACTACTTTGAAAACTGGGAAATATATGCTATATCAAACTATTTGGTTTTTGATAAGCAATAAGAACACCATGAAAAAGTTAAACAAAAGTGGATAATGACTTCTCTTTTGTTTGTTACAGAGTGTAACAGTAAATTGTCAGGCAGCTATGCAACATCATTACAAATAACAGAGGTCATGCATCCCCAGATGTTTACTATAAAAATGAAAATCAGGGCAAATGTGGGAGTCTCGCCCACAACCAATGGAATTCTGGAGTGACCAAGGGAGGTAACTGTACAGTGACCTGCAAACAACTGAACCATACATGCCCCAAATTTAAGCTAAAAGGAGAATAAATATACAATAATGAGAATAATTGTGGCAAGGACTAATGTCAAATTCTAGAATTTTCAGCATTTCTTAAATCTGAAAACCCTGCATAAGCAACCAATCAAACATGAAACTAAAAAACATTACTACTATTGTAAGTAACTGCATTTAAATGGCAATAGATTACTACCTTCCATTGAGGTCACAGCTATCATGTGTGCCTGCTCCAGGTGTGCCTGAGCCATCTGTGCCTGATCAAGGTCTGCCTGGTCGAGGTGTGCCTGTTCGAGGTGTGCCTGATGCATGTGGCTCTGATTCATGCTTGCCTGATCCAGTTGTGAAGGGTCAACACTCTCCATGTCTCCATCTTCACCTTCATCATCACAATTCTCATTATGTATGATCTGAGTGTCAACAATTTGTAGCGGGGTTGTCCCGTCTAGACCATCGGCATGCTGGGATGCCTCCATGTCATCACACTGCTGTTCGGTGTCGTCTCCCATGGCACTGCCGACAACGATGTCCTGTGAGGATCCCATCTCCTGACCAGTGCTGTGACCCTGCATGGGTGAGAGCTGAAACATGGAGCCTTGTTAACCACTTTTCACAATTCTGATCCGCTCAATTCAATCACCAACCTTGCTGTAATAATCGCCCTGGACACTTATCATGCTTAGAAAATTGACAAAGGGGCTGTTTATTACATCCATACACAATTGGTTCGATTTTTTAAATGTAGAAATAGTGAAGAAACTCAATTCAAATGTCTTTGAAACTAACTACTTTGTCATAATTATGAGGGAATAATATACTGGTGCTTTGCTTCTATAAGCTTCTGTCATATTTCAGTCCTGGTAGGGGTTCCTTATAAAGATTACATATAGACTGGTCAAGAAGTTGGTTAGGAAGTGCGTATTGGATTAATATTAATATGGCAAATACAGACTTATTGTACAGATCCTCCTGCCACCATTAACATATTTCAGCCCTCCCCACCAATTGAGCCATTGCTTCAATCAAACAAAAAAGATAAGGCCATCAACGAAAATAATTTCATTGTATGTTCTAATGTAATTCATGACAGGAGCATTGAGCCCTGGTTGGTCAAATCTGTGAAATTGAAACACAAGAGTCTTCTCCTCCTTACCTGTAGCAGGCTGCGGCTGGGAACATCCCTGGGTGTAGGCGGGACAGGAGCTGGGCAGTCTCCGGGGTGAGGGTGGTGCTCACTTGTGTTGTGCCGTCACTCAGGTGGGTCTCGATGCGAGATATGATATGGTGGCCATCTACAGAACATACATGTTGTAAAATGTTCAGAGTTGTAATATGTTGCAACTGAAATCTGCTGGTGGTCCATTACACTGGTTCACAGAACTGGTAACTGTGCAATGCACCAGATTATAAACACACCTCTAATATACTTATGAAATTCATTTCAACTGAAACCTGTAAATAAAGAACACTGCCTCCTTTCCCGAGGTTTCTGTACGTGGATGGCTTTCATGAGCTTGTTCTGTGTGAGAGTGAACAACGTCCCCATGTTCTGTGTGAGAGTGAACAACATGCCCACGTTCTGTGTGAGAGTGAACAACATACCCTCGTTCTGTGTGAGGTGACTTACATAATTATCTTCTCTGCGGGGCAGTGCTTCAGGCAGAATTTTTTTGAGTGTTGCCAATTGGCACCTTAACTACTAAAATGTGTGCCAATGCAGTTGAGACTTTTGCCATTCATGGTAATCATGGTATAAAAGACCTGTGGATTATATTAATTGTTGTGCCAATGAGGGCTCTAGCATTGAAAAAAAGTGCCATTGCATATTTTTCAGTGTGAATGGCGCAATGGCACTTGCCTGGCTGAAGCACAGTGCACAAAGGCTCAGTGTTAGAGTGACCTACCTTCCCCAGGGTTCAGTGTGAGAGTGACCTACCTTCCCCAGGGTTCAGTGTGAGAGTGACCTACCTTCCCAAGGTTCAGTGTGAGAGTGACCTACCTTCCCCAGGGTTCAGTGTGAGAGTGACCTACCTTCCCCAGGGTTCTGTGTGAGAGTGACCTACCTTCCCCAGGGTTCTGTGTGAGAGTGACCTACCTTCCCCAGGGTTCTGTGTGAGAGTGACCTACCTTCCCCAGGGTTCTGTGTGAGGGTTTCCCAGGGTTGTGTGAGAGTGACCTACCTTCCCCAGGGTTCTGTGTGAGAGTGACCTACCTTCCCCAGGGTTGTGTGAGAGTGACTACCTTCCCCAGGGTTGTGTGTGAGAGTGACTTACCTTCCCCAGGGTTCTGTGTGAGAGTGACAGTGACAGTCTCCGGCATGGGCCCATCTTCTCCAGGTGCTACCCCTGACAGAATAGAGGGGTCAAAGGACTGCAACTCCCCGTGAGGATCCAGTGATGATGTGGATGTTCCGTCCTGGTTAGTGATTATTTCAACATTCACCTGATAAAGAAACAAGCATTAGACCATTATCAATAGCAGGAAGTAAGCACCATAAAGCTATTCTGTAGGATGTCCAATAGCTGTGTGATGATGTGGATGCCCCATGAAAGAACAAATACAAGAAGACAAGGTTATCAGTATCTCCCTCCACAGTGTTCTGTTCCTATTTGGTTCCTGTTTTTTTTTACTCCACCACGACATTCATGTCCTGAAAACACATACCACATTTGGTTTCCCTATCTATAATGGTTTTGCAAAAATCTGTCCCCATCATCTGTCCTGGATACGGATCTATAATGGACAGATCATCCAATATAACAAACCCCACAAAACGTGTTGCAGGGGATTAAGAAAATGACATGTAAAGATTGTCTAAATCTTGAATCTGTGACATGGCAACATCTCTGCAATTGCAGAAAGAAGCAACACATCTATTTCCTCCACGCCAAACAAACAATATGGCTGTGTAACCACTCTACCCCTAATACTTTCAATAATTGACTAAACACGCTAAATACTTTAAAACAGAGAACAGATATGGTGAGGCATCAAATCTTCATCTGTCAGATGAACAACACAAACATGTTTGTTGTTGATCCTGATTCATAACCTTCAGTGTCAGTTGAAATGAGATATAATCAATTCAGTGTATCAATGGTATTCAAGTTTACAGCTACTTACGGTTGAAGCAGTAAGAGGAAGAGAACCATTTTCGATGTCTTTGAGAGCTTGATGAATGTGATTCTTGAGATTGATGATGTCGATGCCCCATGAAAGAACATATACAAGAAGAAGACATGGTCATCAGTATCTCCCGCCAGTGTTCTTATCCTTATTTGGTTCCTGTTTTTTTTACTCCACCACGATTCATGTCCTGAAAACACATACCACATTTGGTTTCCCTATCTATAACGGTTACTGAGAAAATCTGTTCCCATTGGGGATACCGTGCATTAAGTCAAGAAATGCATGACAAAGGCCATAACTCTGTAACAAATTGTAACATGGTTTTCCGTTTTCAAACTCCATCAAGGCATTCATGTCCTGAAAACACATACCAAATTTGGTTTCCCTATCTATAATGGTTTTTGAGAACATCTGTCCCCATCATCTCAGACAAACAGACAGATTCCAATATAACAACCCCCGCAAAACGCGTTGCAGGGGATTAAGAAAATGACATGTAAAGATTGTCTAAATCTTAAATCTGTGACATGGCAACATCTCTGCTATTGCAGAAAGAAGCAACACATCTATTTCCTCCACGCCAAACAAACAACATGGCTGTGTAACCACCCTACCCCTAATACTTTCAATAATTGACTAAACACGCTAAATACTTTAAAACAGAGAACAGATATGGTGAGGCATCAAATCTTCATCTGTCAGATGAACAACACAAACATGTTTGTTGTTGATCCTGATTCATAACCTTCAGTGTCAGTTGAAATGAGATATAATCAATTCAGTGTATCAATGGTATTCAGGCTTACAGCTACTTACGGTTGAAGCAGTAAGTGGGAGAGAACCATTTTCGATGTCTTTGAGAGCTTGATGAATGTGATTCTTGAGATCGTTGACAGTTGGGAATAAAGTGAGATCATGGCGTTCAGGAGCTTCTCCCCCCTGGCACAGCTCCTTCACCACAAACACTCTGCAAATACACCAACTTTCGTTTACACTTTCACCGCAACACTCTGCCAATACACCAACTTTGTATACACCAGAATATTGAAAATTTTAATATAAATTGTATATTTGTATACTTATCCTATCTCACAGTAAGCACTTCTCTCTCTTGATTCGACACTGAGTTGAATGATGTAAACTTTGTCCCTAGGCCAACATCAGAAAGTGAGATAGCACGCATAATAAAGAAGAGTCCATCAAAGTCATGTGAATTAGATCCGATCCCAACATGGATCTTACAATCTGCATTGGACTCTATCTCACCTACGTTAGTGGCCATGTTCAATACATCGCTGGCTGCATCTGAAGTACCAAGCACATTCAAAATGGCTCTTATTCGTCCACTTATCAAGAAAACTTCACTTGATCCAAATGACATTAGAAATTATAGGCCGGTGTCTAACCTACCATTTCTATCAAAGGTACTTGAGAAGATTGTAGCAATCCAAATCAAAGAACATCTGGAAAAAAACAACCTGATGGAAGAGTTCCAGTCTGCCTATAGAGAACACCACAGTACAGAAACAGCACTCCTTCGTGTGCAAAATGACATCCTTTCTCATCTCGACAATCAGAGAGTAGTACTTCTTGTTCTACTAGACCTGTCAGCAGCCTTCGATACAATAGACCACAGTATCCTTCTGTCTCGACTTGAGAAGACTGTTGGTATCGTCGGACCAGCATTGATGTGGCTTGCGTCATATCTCAAAAACAGAACTCAGTCAGTGAAAGTGGGTGAGGCCGTGTCAGAAGAAAGGTGGTTATCATATGGCGTTCCCACAGGGTTCAGTCCTTGGAGCACTCTTGTTTACCATCTATATATGTTGCCACTAGGTGATGTTTTCCGGAACCACTGCATTGACTTTCAGTGCTTTGCAGATGACACCCAGAGCTGTATCGCCTCCAGGATTGTATCACTTCAAGACAAGATAACGAAGCTGGAAAGCTGGATCAGTGACATCAGAACTTGGATGAGAATTAACTTTCTCAAACTAAATGACAACAAAACGGAAGTATTCATTGCTGGGCCAAAGCACTTACAGGAACGCATGACAGAATTCTCAGTCAATATTGGACCTGTGAATGTGCCTGCCTCTTCCCAAGTGAAGAATCTAGGAGTTGTTTTTGACTCCCACATGACCATGAACAAGCAGGTCACCCAAATGTGCCAGTCTTCTCACTATCATCTTCATCAGATTGGTAAACTAAGACGATATCTTTCAGATGAAACCGCCAAAACTCTCACTCAAGCAACAGTCATATCTCGCCTTGACTATGCCAATTCACTTTTGTTTGGGATAACAGCTTCCCTGGTTCATCGACTCCAGGTTATACAAAACACAGCCGCCAGGATAATAACTCGTTGTCCTCGAAGAGACCACATCACCCCCAGGTTAAGAGAACTGCATTGGCTACCCGTTGCCAGACGCATAAAATTCAAGGTGCTTACCATTATCTACAAGTGCCTGAAGACCAACACTGCTCCATCTTACTTGTCATCTCTTCTAAACAACCATAGACCAACAAGAACTCTTAGATCACAAGATAAAGATCTGCTTATCACCAGACCATCCAGGACCAAATACGGGGACCGCTGCTTTGAATGTGCAGCTCCCATGCTATGGAACAACCTCCCTATGTCGCTAAAATCCGCCCCAAGTCTACCAACTTTTCGAAAACATTTAAAGACACATCTATTTGAAATGAAATAGACTATCTGCACAAGCGCCTGTGAGCAGCCTAGCTGGAACTCGGCGCTATAGAAGTAGATTATTATTATTATTATTAGGCCTCTCTTGTCCATCCGCCCAAGCACTCCATGCTAACCTCACTATAACACAGCTTCCTAACTCTCATGCAAAGCATGCGGCATGCACCACTAGCTGCCCATGTGACTATCTCCGAATCATCATTCTCATTCTTGGAGCCACTGGATAATATCCATCTTGGAGAATCTGCATAGCGGGGAGGATGGGCGGGAATCCGTCGCCTGAGATAGGATAAGTGTATAAATGTACAATTTATATTAAAATTTTCAAATTGTTAAACTTATCCTATCTCACAGTATGCACTTATCCCACGGTCGGACGGCGGGACGCAGATACTCTGTGTTTGACAGTGCAAACAGCAGGAACTGTGTAGACTGGAAACGACTGTAGATAGCGATGCACAAGGGAGGCCTGTTCCGCATGCACGCAACTCATATGCTTGTGTTCTCTTGAACTCCTTGGATTACTAAGCACAACGTCTCCCAGGGAGATGGGTGCTCCCGAGCAATGTGGTGTTCGGCCGCAACCTCCGAAGAAGGACGAGAAAGTATGTCACTTCGCCACGATTTTCAAGGTACCCCCGTAAATTAAAGTCAGTTGACAATAATCGGGCCAGCCCCTGCTTCAAGAAGACCCCCACAGACACCGACCAGGGGCAGGTGAAAGAGAAGCACTCGGGAACTCCAAGTATTAACGTTCAGTTCCAGAACAGCATCAAATTGACCCCCACTCCTTTGCGTAAGCTAGTCAAAGGATGTGCCCGGAAACTTCGGAGTCGGAACGCAACAAAATCCACTAGAATTCGGGAGTGACACACTTCACTGACGTAATTGCTTCGAAAAGTAGAGGTCAGGAAACATGAAATGTCAAACCCTTCCACATCGTGATACAGAATCGAGCTCCAGATTCATCCAACCACCAAGGTGGTAGTATCTCCGTGTCTTAGTATAAAACTAAGTGAAGTAGTTCTAACCCATAAGCAATCAAAACATAAGGCAAACAGCAAGTTCAGACTTATATTCAAGAAAATACAGGGAAGCAGCCACCGCGAGGGACCGTTCCCTATCTGCGTTGGTGGGCCGTAGACAGCTGTTGTGCGAGCACAAGGGGTCCAAACTGGTGTAGGCCTTGGACATCCTTGACTGAGAAGTCTCGAAGGTAGTGCGAGGAGAAGACCGAGTCGGATCGCCAGAAACATCCTTCCATAATGGCGTGGAGAGAGCAGTTACTATGCAGAGCCATTGTAGACGCTAACGCCCGTGTCTCATGTGGATTGGAAGCTGTCGGAGGCGGTAACCCAGCGAAGGTGTAAGCCCGTAGGATGGTGGCTCTCATCCAGAAGGATAAAGTGGTGCGAGACACTTCCGCCCTGGATGTTGAGGACAACGGAATGAAGAGGCGCTTGCGGAGATGGCGGCGATCTTTAGAAGCAGCAAGAAAAATCTTCAAAGCCCTAACAGGGCAAAGCTGCAGGTCTTCATTGTCATGCGGCCCAAGGATCGTGGACAACGGTGGGATGGTAAAAGAATGATCGGGTTGTCCCGGGCACCTGATTCTTCGCTACAAAATCCCAACGGAGACCGAGGAAGAATTTGCCATGCTTCTTCCATTCAAACTGGACTCTGTTAACGTCCAAAGCGTGGAGTTCAGAAATCCGAGCAGCTGTAGCCAAGGCCACAAGGAAGAAGGTCTTGAAGGAGATCTTCTCAAAGTCCTTCTGAGCGAGGGGTTTATAGTCCGTCGAGGCCAAATGACGCAGCACCACAGATAAATCCCAAGCAGGAGGTCTAAACTTCTTAGACTGATCGGCCAACTTAAAGGACCGAAGCACATACTGAAGCTCAGGAACCGTGGAGACCTTAGAGCCTGTGGTGGTAGCCAGGAACGAGTTGATCGCAGCAAGGAAAGTGGCCAAAGCGGAACCCAAATACTGCAGAAACTCAGCGACTTAGAAACAGGAGACGTAATGCCTCTGGACGTGCAATATCTCTCAAAACATTTCCACTTCTCATCATAAAGTGAATGGGTGGAAGTCCGATGAGCAGAAGTGATGGCCATAGCCACTCTCCGAGAGGAACTGGGTTTAGGTCTGCGAGCTGTGCGAGATCGACAAACCAACTCCTGACTGGCCAGTAAGGCGCGACCAAAGTCAGTAGAATCTGCCTGGTCACCTGGTCGTAAGCGTTGAGTCCCTCCCACGAAATCGCCAGAGCGTCGACATCCCACGCTAGTTGGTCTGGTATTGGCTAGACAAACTGCGGGAGCTGATGGTTGAACAACGTGGCGAATAGGTCGACTTGGGGCCTTGATAACGGGAAGACCAGTTCCCAAAATATCTGTGGGTTCAATTGCGACTCCGTGGGAGATGGCCGATCAGAGCGGGACAGCGCATCTGTGATGACATTCCTGACTCCGGGAATGTGTCTGACTCGAGCATTGATGGCGAGGGAGTCGATCAGATCAAAGAACCGAAACCCCAACTGAAGGAGGTTCGCCGAACCCGTTGACCCGAGATGGTTGATATACCAGACGACCGAGGAGTTGTCTGTCTGAATCAGCAGGGAGGACCCCCAAGTTCTGTTGCCCAATGTCGAATGGCGACAGAAGAACTCGAGTTCGTCGATGTACAAGTCCCGTTCAGCGGATGACCACAGCCCGGCAGTCTGATGATGAAGAAAGTGAGCCCCCCAACCTTTGAGCGACGGGGCGACGAACAAGTGGTGCGTAGGAATGAACGGCATCAAACAAACTCCGGCGCAAACGTTCTGTTCGACAAGCCACCACTGAAGAAAAGGACGTAAGGGTTCGGGAAGACGAATCAACTCCTTGAGATTCTCTGAGACGAGATATGGACGCAGGAAATGCTGCAACAGACGCAGTTGCAATTGTCCCCGCCGTGTCAATGCCTGTGCTGATGTCAAGAGGCCCAACAGTTCCTGCCACTGTCATAAGGTCCTGGCCTGCGACAGTGCTAACGGAACTGGCTGTTGAATCTTCAGCCACCTGTCTTGGGGGACGAAAATCAGGCCCTGGTGCGTGTCAAAAGTTGCTCCGATGAATTGAAGGGTCTGGGTCGGTGTTAGTTCCGACTTCGGAGCGTTTAACAACCAACCCAGCTGCCGGAGTAGCTTCGTACTGAACTCCAACTGACGTAGAAGAATAACTGGGTCTCTCTGTGCCTGAATGCAGTCGTCTATTTAACTTTCGAACATGACCCCGTGCAGATGAAGAAACCTGGTGATCGGCTTGGTGATCCTGGTAAATAGCCACGGGGCCGTGGAAATTCCAAAAGGCGGGACGGTCCATTGATAATGGATCCCTTGGAAGATGATTCGGAGGAATTTTCGTGATTCCGGATGAATGGGCACATGAAGGTAAGCATCTTGCAGGTCTAAGCTGACAAGAAAATCCCCTTTCTTCAGAATGGTGCGAAGAAGGACGATCGACACCATCTGGAAGTGAGGTGGACGCTGGAGATAGTGGGCATTGAAAGTTTCATGTTGAAAATGAGTCTTAGTTTTGTGGAGTTTTTCTTGGGAACCAGGAAGATGGAGGAATAGAACCCCGGAGTCCTGGGCGCCGGACCGAGAGACTGGACTGCACATTTCTCTGTGAGCGTACCTATGGTGGAGTGAAGAACCTGGACCTGGTCCGCCAGGTAGCCGCAGTGTCCTTGATGCACTGTCAGCGGCGGACGTCCGATGACTGGAAGGTGATAACCTGTGGCGAGGAGGTCGGTCACAAAAGGATCGTCGAGTATGGTCCAGTTGGGAGCAAACCTCCCTAGTCTCTTGCCCACTGGAGAGTCGAATATGGGGACGGCTGGAGGGGGAGTTCCCAGTCGTGCCCTTGTTTCGACGAGTCACTGCTTGGGGCCCCACACCCAGCTCGGGAGTCGGACTTGGGAGGACGTCGGGAAGAAGTGCCACAGGAGGACCTGCTACCTCTAGCTCGGGCCGAATGGCCACGTAAACCCTGATGCAGTTCCGGATGAGATGGCACAAACCATGGAGGCCTCCTCTGTATCATGGAAACTTGCAGATGAGACTTCTGGAGTTTCAATAATTCCACTGAAACTTGAAATTGAGTGTCCCGATCCACCTTCGTCGAAACTTCTCCAATCATGCCATTAAACAAGGATTCTGCAGACCAAGGTTGACGGAAGAGTTCAGCCTTAAACCTGTCATCTCATGAAGACAAAGTGAGTTGGCCGCAACGGCGAACTGCCAGGAGATAGCCAAGGAAATGAGACAGCTGGTCAAGTACGATCTGAAATTGGTCCAGTTTAAGGGACATACAACCTCTGATGTAAGCATCCTGATCAAAGAAAGAGTGCTCCACTGATGCCACAACCATGTCCATTGCGGAGATGATGCAGTTGATCGAGGGTAAGGAACGACGAATAGCTGTGTCCATGTGAGACAGTTCTCTGTCTTCAACTAGAAAAGCTGAACAAATACTCTTCCCGCAAAGTGTTTGGACATCCTCATCCACCGAAGGGGTAGTAGCCAAGGACTGGAAACCATGGAAGTGAGATGCTGGTAGCGAAAATCTAGGTGAGGGCAGGCCATCCTTAATCCGTTAAGGCTTTTAAAGGCATGATCCAAGGAGGTTGTGAGATGAGCAATACAAGGTCGTGGTGGGAAAGTAATAGATGTCAAGTCTCGTTGTCTCATGGGTTCTGTGACATAGGGAGGTGGAGCTTCTCCACTATCCAAGCTAACACTTGAGGCTCATCAACAAAATCCAAACTTCCCTCTGGGGAATCCACAACCGAATGTGCTGGAGACACCAGGTGGAACACCAGGACTAGATGGTCCGAGGGAAGGAGCATTCCCCGTAGAGTGAGCAGCCTGTTGTTGATTCCAAGCAGTAGTAAGAGCACTTAACATCGCAGCCAGATCTGGGGGAGGAGTAGTTTCCTGCACATGAGTCCAGGAATCGTTTCGGCGAAGTCTATTCACCACATGTCGTTTCGGTGAAGTCTTCTGTTTCGGCGAACGTTGTTTCAACGAAGTACAATTAGGTGAAGTCCGTTTAGCAAATGATCGATCCGGAGAATGCTGACTCTTAGACTGGTGTTTCAATGAAGACCGGTTCGGCGTACGCTGTTTCGTAGAGAGCCGGTCTAATTCTGGGGAAGGTGGGCAGTCCGGCGAAAGTCGAGGTGGCGAAGCGTTACCTGACGAACTGTGATTCGATCTGGCAGGCTTCGGCGAAGTAGAAGATCAAGGTAGCTGGACACAAGACACATTTCTTATCGCCGAATGGGAAGGAGACGGTGAAGTAACAACTGACAGGCATTGAGGCGAGGTAGACTGGTTCCTCTCACTACTGGATGAACAACGAGAGCGAGAACGGCTTCTGCGCAGTCAGGTGTAGAGATCAGCTGATTCTTGTCCGAAACAGATAAGCCAAGTTGCCGAGATAACTGGTCTGGTGAACGAGAGACAGAGAGCGTAGTTCGAAGGTCCTGCTGTGTAGAGGTATCCTGAGGGGTGGTAGCAGTCTCGACAACCACAACCCAGGACGTGGTCGAAGACGAAGGACTCGGGATGGAATGTTGAGAGCCCAACAAATGCCGAACATCTTCCGATAAGCAAGAATCTGACGACGCTCTCATGAAATCCTCTTCATTCGAGTGAGGGGACTGTGATCGCCAAGCAGACAAAGTAGGACCTTAAACTTTCCTTTCTTGGAGGGACTGGGTCCGTCAAGTGAAGCAGCATAACAGGCCTGTCAGCAACACGACAAGCGCAAGCCTGAGTGTAGTCACCAAACGCCTCGAAAGGGTATGGAGTTCTTGGGCGGATGGACAAGAGAGGCCTAGGGAAAAAGTTTACATCGTGCCACACAGTGTCGAATCAAGAGAGAGAAGTGCATACCATGAGATAGGATAAGTTTAAAAATTTGTTAGACTTTAAAGTGAGTTATGGTTGTCTAACACTCTGTGTTGGCTCAATTGAGTGTGTGTCAAATATGTCATTAAACCACCAAGATAATATCAATCACAGGTTTAACTTGTCAAGACTGATTGACATATTTAAGTTACATTTTGGGATTAGCATGAATATTGCTACTGGCAAACAAGGATAAGTTGAGCACCGACCTGACAATTGACCCGTACTAGCATGTATGAGTGTCGCCCACTGGCACTTGCCATTGTGATAAAAGGGGCCCCAGGTTGTCCGCGATCAAGTGTAGTGCGACTTGCTACATCGACATGAGAGTCTTATGAGCAAGGCGTGTGCAGCTACACGCGGGATCAATTTCATCGTCATGCAATGCACGTGCACTAGCCTACATCTGCTCTACCTTTCACAAACCAAATGGGTTTGCTCATTGAAGTGCACCGCCTACTTCTCGTAAACGTATTCTCTGCACCGGTCCAACTTATCCTTGTTTGCCAGTAAGTATAACATATATCACCATCAAGAATGCATGTATACCTCAGTTGCTTGCGTATGGCATAGACTCGGGTCTCCCCTGCCGAGACCATCTCTCGTATTTTCTGCACCACCCGAGGGTGTAGCCTCTGGTCGCCACTGTCAGTCTCATCAAACTCTAACTTGGCTGGTGTAATCATCAACTTGGGGGGCTGGGGAACATCTTCATGGAACTCATGAGCTTTCTCTGTCGGGAGCTGGACATAGTATCTGCAGACACAAACAAAGAAGTGTGTTGGTGTTCACAGGGTCTAAAGACAACAAGATGTTTTCAGTAAATCTCTGACCATGGGCACGGGGCTGACAAACATGAAAACATAATCAGAGGAATCTGGGAATAAAAGCCCAAATCATCATAACCATAGGTTTCTACCCAGAGAATTATGACGTCTTAAACTACAGGGGCACCTGCAGCCCCTTGTTATCAAATGATGATGATTATCCATGATAGATCATACTGACTGGGAACATATACATTACCTCTCTTGCCCCCAGCCATCCACACCCCTGTCTTTGAGGTCTTGAAATGCTTTGTCCATGGCAATCTTTAAGGATTTCTTATCTAGTGTTGTTGACACATAAAACTCTGGGAACTTCCTCACTTTCTTAATATATATTCTGAAACACAGAAGTGTCACACTTAAGGACAAGGCAGGATAAGGGCCCTTTTTGACCCACAGCATATCAATTATTTACATAAATTAGAAAACATTTTAGAGATTGCAACGAGAACATGATGAGTTCATACAAATGAGAACTAGGCTTCAAACACATGCACGTTTGGGACTTATGAAAATATGTAATGCATAGATAAAGATCGTGTCAGAATGGCTGATTTTAGACCTTGTCAAGAAGCTTTACCTGAATTTATACATGTCTCATTTTACCAAATGTCGATAAAATCAGTACAAATACATTGGGTCAAAGATTTGATCATGCTTTGATTTATATTTGAAGTAAAACAAATGTTTTCTTTACACATTTATGTTTCATTAAATCTTAAAACTGCAGAACCTCTAAAACCTTCAGAACCTCTAAAACCTTCAGTACTTTAAATATGACCAGCAGGTATCTTTACCAAAGTTCTCTGTGTGTTGTCAGAACGATAGATAATACTATAACTAATAATTGTAAGGGCATTTGTAATGAGCTGAACTCTGCACAATGGAGGGGCACACTCAATGCGCTAACATACAATCTCATTATTATTACCCCGGATAACCCAAGATATCTGTGAGGCGCTAGAAGGTTAATAGTCACATGACTTATCCAAATAGATACCCATTCTCTGCTAGTGAACAGAGGCAAATTTGAACAACTACACTTGCCTAATACTGTGAAATAATAGTGTCTGTGCCTACCTTGCAGGGCATGTCTGCCTGTATTCCCCCTTGATGGGGATGTCCAGCTGCTTCTTGGGGTTCCCCTTCCCGTCTCGGTCCATACTGACACTCCTGCACCACTGCTCGACTCCCTGCAATCACAGAACTCACAATGAATGATCTAGGTTTAGATGAACTGACAGAGGTATTTGATACATACGACAAATTCTGTAAAAGCGTTTGTTCTGGTTTAGGGACCCAAATACTGCAGTAGAGATGCAACACACTGGACAACTGAGGAGGCATAAACAACTGTATGAACTGAGCTATTGGATCTCACTGATGGCTGTCTGCTGTGGAGCAGGAACTCGTTAAGCCTGGCAGCATACATACCTGCATTAACAAATGGGATGCCATCGAAGGGCACATACTGGGACTTCCACATGAGGCGGGTGGACGGCTTAGCGGGACTTGGGGACTGGCGGGTGCCCCAGAAACTCTGCGTCTGCTGCTTGTGGAAGGTCAGCAGAAGATCAAGGTCAACCTCACTCTCTACATAGCCTCGATAGGAGTCACCAATTTTCTGAAAGTCATACATACAGAATATGATTTCTTGCAATCAAAATGATGATGTCTCTCTTTTTCATTCAATATTATTTCTTCAGTTAGAAAGGAATTTGATGGTTTTCAGAATGTTTGCAACAATATCAAGTGTATAGATGTTGATGAAAGCAGCAGCAAGCATCATCTGTATCATAACAGTGACCAGGCCTAATACTGGTCAATACAATAAGCAATGATCTCAGTGTCATGGTAAATTACATGTGTCTCCTATTGTAGGCCTAGATAAATCCCTCACAATGGACATACACCATTTTAGTTGACCTCAGATGACCTAGATACATCCCTCAAAATGGAAATACCCTATTTAGTTGACTTCTGAGAAGCCTAGATCCCAAGTACAGGCCTACCTCACAGTTCTTCAACCTGGCCGCCCAGGTGGGACAGTCTGGTGGGAGGGCCTGGGGTGGTGGCTGGGGAGGGGGCATGAGGACGTTATCCGTGGAGCAGGTGACCCCAGCAGAGTCAGCAGCTGACACAAACTGGGCATCGAACTGACCCATGCCATCTGGAACACATAAACTGCAGTAAGTATAAAAAAGTAATGGAATATCGAAGACCAACAATCATGCAGACTGACTGCATTAAACTATACCAGCAGCTAGTACCAGGAGAATGAAATATATCACACCTACACCTTAAACCTTATTCTTAATACATATGCATTTCTAGGATTATGCAACCAAAGAAAAAGAACATTGTCTGCTAAGATATTTCTGCCATCTTACACACAAATGCAATATATTCTCAGTCTCACACTGATTTATTCAGCAACTAAAATGAATACATGGGCCAATGACAAGTATAAATAAATATGTTCTTAATCAACAAATTGCTTTCAATATATGCAAGCTCTGATACAGAAGCCAACTGGTGGTATCCGTATTTTGTTTTCCATACAGCACAATCTCTACCTGTTGTATCAGGCTTAACTTGCATGTGCTGGAGCAACTCTGAAGGATCACTGACGGCAATGATGGTGGCGATCTCAGGGTTGTTGATGTTTGGAATGACCTGCCACACTTTGCCAGCGCCATCTGGCTGTGAGGTCGTGATGAGGTCAGCAGCAGTGGGCACGGTGATGATCTGTATGGTGTCTGGGTTGGCCAGTATCTGGGGGGTGGTTATCGGGGCAGCAAGTAGACTCTGAAGGGTGGCATTGTCTGTCCTCACATCTGAAACCATAGCCAAGGCTGAAGGTTTAGCACAGAAATTAACTGTCATGGGTGCTTGTTATAAACCTAATACTGAAAGGAAAAGACTTGAACATGTTGACAGTTCCCTTGATTCAAACACTACAGGAATGAACGCCACCCTCAGCTATACTATCACCGTATGACAGAGGTAACTTAGCAAGTCTAGACTGACAATCAACCAAGTCAGCGAGCCTGACCACCCGATCCCGTTAGCCGCCTCCTACGACAAACATGGGTTACTGAAGATCAATATTCTAACCCGGACTGTGGGGAATCGAACCCTGCAATGAGTAACTGTTCACCTTCTCTCAGAGCAAAGGCTCCACCCACAAGACAATGGTTATGGTCTGATCAACATCATAAAAAGAAGGATCAGAATAAGTTTCATAAAGGTTAAAAAGATGTTTCCATTTTAGCTCCCAAACTTTAAATTTTACGACTAATTTGAACTTACAATGCAACAAAATGCATGATCATGATGACAAAGCAAAGGTACTCACTGCCAAGAAAAGAATTAGTAAATCCCGCAGAAGCAACATCAATCTCTGAAGTTATCTCCCCTTTTGAGATAGCAGTAAGAGGGAGGTCAATGATGCTACCATCGATGTTGCCGCTGCTGACAACAGGTATTCCAACCACGACAACATCAGAGCTAGAGCTCACTCCATCGTCTTTGGTCATCGTGGTAACTGACAGTGGTCAGTGGCTCTGAAAATTATAAGAAATGTTCTAAAATAGATTGCACCATATTACATGTATCATATGAAGCATAATTTAATGTCTTTTTTCATCAATGGTCTTCCTTTCGATTCACTGCAACGCTGGGGTAGCCCAGTGGTTAAAGCATGAACTCGATCGTCAAGCTGAAGACCGGGTACAATTCCCCACATGGGTACAATGTGTGAAGCCCATTTCTGGTGTTCCCTGCTGCGACATAGCTTGAATATTGCTACGAGCGGCGTAAAACTAAACTCACTCACCCATTTAAACACAGTATTAATCTTCAATAGCAGGCTTTTTAGGTACATAACAAAAGCATTTGTCATATAAGTCACTACCTCAAGCATGACATGTTTGTCCTCATGCGTTATACCAGTTGGTCTGATCACATCATGATGAGCTTACAGGCCAATGTCTATTAGTCTGAAGCAACATCTTCTGTAGTCCCCTCTTTCCCATTATGTTAATTTGTGATAGACTTCTAACTGATTCAGTGCTATAGAATTGCTTGTTTAACACCACAGTCAGCATTCTTCCAGCTGTATGACACTGACAGTATCTGTAGACATGGTAGATAACCAAGTCTTGCCCTCAAAGACCAGTGACTGATCTTTCAAAATAATGAAATCCACTCTCAAGTGTTTCAGTATGTATATCTTTTGTGTTGTAGACTAATCATTTTCTAACCAGTCTACTTTGTCATCACACAGATCATTGCAAGAGTGAGTGAGTGAGTTTAGTTTTACGCCACAGTCAGCAATATTCCAGCTATATGGTGGCGGTCTGTAAATAATTGAGTCTGGACCAGATGATCAACAGCATGAGCATCGATCTATTCCATGCAATTGGGATACAATGATATGTGTTAACCAAGTCAGCAAGCCTGACCACCCGATCCCATTAGTCGCCTCTTATGACAAGCATAGGTTACTGAAAATCGAATCCGATCTCATTGCAAGAAATAGAACCCAAATCTGATGATGCTTGCCAAAATTCAATGCCTTCTCAATGCAGCCTGCTGAAGCCTATACAGCAATATTCACAGCCTTTCAGCCTCTTTCAGCCAAAGACTGTCACCAGAACCACTCAGATTAACTGATTGTTTCCGATAATTATGAAAAAACATAAAATACTTTCATTGATATAAGTTTTATCAATTGGGCATACAAAAAGAACTTTTTAAAAAACAATGATCATGATTATCAATATTTAGGAAATATCATGTAGATCTGGTATCGATCGTGAGAGTGATATAAATGTAATGATAAAAAAATTGTTCCATTTGATGGAATAATATATAGATCTGATTCTGACATACTCAACAGTTCAGGCTATAAAGTAGTAAATCATGTTTTAATCTACCTAGAAGTAAACTGATAATATAGTTGTGGTCACATCATACAGCTTTTTTTTTTTGCGTTTTTATTGTTGGTGTTTTTAATACATACACAGGTCAACATGATCAAATTCTAGTTGATAATGTTGATATCAAATCAACTGAAAATGACAGAATGTGCAATATCAAATATTTATATTTGACTTTTTCGTGTAGTCTTTTGTGTGTAGTGATAAATTTAAAATCCATGGATGCAATGTGGTAGTAAGAAAAGAAAGACAAAGGCTAGTTCCGATTTTTTTCTCGTCTTTAATTATATGCAATCACAAATCGATGTGCGTCACGAAAGGTGCTGTATTTTTTTTCTCCGCATGTCGACCATACATAAAGTCTAAACGGACATTCCAGGTAAATGGTACCCAAACTTGCTTATCAGTAGGCACAACCTTCAAAACATAAAGATCTTTGATTCTGGATGACTTCGAAATATCATTTGTGATCCTTATTTGCAGATATTCCTATCTATAAAAATAACAGTGTGGCCATGACACTTCAATATAATTGATAGTTTTGGTGCGTGATCGTCCCCCCACTAGTCATCTAACAAGGCACTGAATGGGGTACTCGAGCGTGCCCCCAAACCTCCCCCCGTCCCAGCTGCCTATTTTGAACAAGTGCTAAATTTGTCAAAACGAGTCACAAACCTCGAAATCGTTCAACCTCGTCTTCAATATGGCGTCCAGAATGAGGCCCAATAATTGCGCATGCGCCGAAGTTATATCACTCGTCTCATGAGGAAATAAATGTCAAACCACATTCGTTATAACAGCAGTTCCCCAATGACTTCCTGATCTCGTGATCGTTTTATGATAAAATCAAATGGTACTCTCCCTGTGCTTTTGTAGTGGATATGCACAGCTTCCGCTTTATAATAATGATAATTTTCTTATAATTGCATTAATGGGACATAACTCTTCCTGACTTACGTCTAAAACGACGAAACCATTACGTGAGTGAGTTTAGTTTTACGCCGTACTCAGCAATATTCCAGCTATATGGCGGCGGTCTGTAAATAATCGAGCCTGGACCAGACAATCCAGTGATCAACAGCATGAGCATCGATCTACGTAATGGGGAACCGATGATATTAAGCTGTATTGCATTTAATGAATAGCATTCAGATCTCATTGGGGTTTTTTCATCTGTCCGTCTGTCTGTCGTGGGTGCACTGTGTGAAGCCAATTTCTCTATTTGCCCACCGTAATATTGGTGGCAAATTGCTAACAGCGGCGTCAAACCATACTCACTCGCTCTTTCGGTCTAGTGTAGATCTAGAACTATGTCGTTGCCAATGTATAAAAGTATGCAAGCAGATTTAAATCTGAAGACTTTTGAAAAATCATCATGGTATCAATACACACTTCTACACAAACCTTGTGATTTCTTCTGTTACATGTTAGACACTACAGAGTGGGAATTCCGGGTTAGAAGTGGTCCCCATATGCCGTAACTTTTGTCGTAATAGTCGACTGGTCCTCGGCAACCAATGCTTGTTGTAAAAGGCGACTTGTTCCCAGCAACCTGTGTTTGTTGTAAAAGGCGACTGGTCCGAAGAAACCCGGGACATGTTTCTTCTAAAAGGCGACTGGTCCCCAGCAACACATGTTTTTTGTAAAAGGCGTCTGATCCTCAGCAACCTGTGTTTGTTGTAAAAGGCGTCTGGTCCCCAGCAACCCATGTTTGTTGTAAAAGGCGTCTGGTCCCCAGCAACCCATGTTTGTTGTAAAAGGCGTCTGGTCCCCAGCAACCCATGTTTGTTGTTAAAGGCAACTGGTCCCTAGCAACCTGTGTTTGTTGAAAAAGGCGTCTGATCCCCAGCAACCCATGTTTGTTGTTAAAGGCTACTGGTCCCCAGCAACCTGTGTTTGTTGTAAAAGGCGTCTGGTCCCCAGCAACCCATGTTTGTTGTTAAAGGCTACTGGTCCCCAGCAACCTGTGTTTGTTGTAAAAGGCGACTGGTCCCCAGCAACCCATGTTTGTTGTAAAAGGCAACTGGTCCCTAGCAACCCATGTTTGTTGAAAAAGGCGTCTGATCCCCAGCAACCCATGTTTGTTGTTAAAGGCTACTGGTCCCCAGCAACCTGTGTTTGTTGTTAAAGGCAACTGGTCCCTAGCAACCCATGTTTGTTGAAAAAGGCGTCTGATCCCCAGCAACCCATGTTTGTTGTTAAAGGCTACTGGTCCCCAGCAACCTGTGTTTGTTGTAAAGGCGACTGGTCCCCAGCAACCCATGTTTGTTGTAAAGGCGACTGGTCCCCAGCAACCCATGTTTGTTGTAAAGGCGACTGGTCCCCAGCAACCTGTGTTTGTTGTAAAAAGCGTCTGGTCCCCAGCAACCCATGTTTGTTGTAAAAGGCGACTGGTCCACAGCAACCAATGTTTGTTGTAAAAGACGTCTGGTCCTCAGCAACCAATGTTTGTTGTAAAAGGCGACTGGTCCCCAGCAACCAATGTTTGTTGTAAAAGACGTCTGGTCCCCAGCAACCTGTGTTTGTTGTAAAAGGCGTCTGGTCCTCAGCAACCCATGTTTGTTGTAAAAGGCGTCTGGTCCCCAGCAACCAATGTTTGTTGTAAAGGCGACTGGTCCCCAGCAACCAATGTTTAATTGTAAAGGCGACTGGTCCCCAGCAACCCATGTTTGTTGTAAAAGGCGTCTGGTCCCCAGCAACCTGTGTTTGTTGTTAAAGGCAACTGGTCCCTAGCAACCCATGTTTGTTGAAAAAGGCGTCTGATCCCCAGCAACCCATGTTTGTTGTTAAAGGCTACTGGTCCCCAGCAACCTGTGTTTGTTGTTAAAGGCGACTGGTCCCCAGCAACCTGTGTTTGTTGTTAAAGGCTACTGGTCCCCAGCAACCCATGTTTGTTGTAAAAAGCGTCTGGTCCCCAGCAACCCATGTTTGTTGTAAAAGGCGACTGGTCCCCAGCAACCAATGTTTGTTGTAAAAGGCGACTGGTCCCCAGCAACCAATGTTTGTTGTAAAAGACGTCTGGTCCCCAGCAACCTGTGTTTGTTGTAAAAGGCGTCTGGTCCTCAGCAACCCATGTTTGTTGTAAAAGGCGTCTGGTCCCCAGCAACCAATGTTTGTTGTAAAAGGCGACTGGTCCCCAGCAACCAATGTTTAATGTAAAAGGCGACTGGTCCCCAGCAACCCATGTTTGTTGTAAAGGCGTCTGGTCCCCAGCAACCTGTGTTTGTTGTTAAAGGCGACTGGTCCCCAGCAACCCATGTTTGTTGAAAAGGCGTCTGATCCCCAGCAACCCATGTTTGTTGTTAAAGGCTACTGGTCCCCAGCAACCTGTGTTTGTTGTTAAAGGCTACTGGTCCCCAGCAACCTGTGTTTGTTGTTAAAGGCTACTGGTCCCCAGCAACCTGTGTTTGTTGTTAAAGGCGACTGGTCCCCAGCAACCTATGTTTGTTGTAAAAGGCGACTGGTCCCCAGCAACCTGTGTTTGTTGTAAAAGGCAACTGGTCCCTAGCAACCCATGTTTGTTGAAAAAGGCGTCTGGTCCCCAGCAACCCATGTTTGTTGTAAAAGGCGACTGGTCCCCAGCAACCTGTGTTTGTTGTAAAAGGCAACTGGTCCCTAGCAACCCATGTTTGTTGAAAAAGGCGTCTGATCCCCAGCAACCCATGTTTGTTGTTAAAGGCTACTGGTCCCCAGCAACCTGTGTTTGTTGTTAAAGGCAACTGGTCCCTAGCAACCCATGTTTGTTGAAAAAGGCGTCTGATCCCCAGCAACCCATGTTTGTTGTTAAAGGCTACTGGTCCCCAGCAACCCGTGTTTGTTGTAAAAGGCGACTGGTCCCCAGCAACCCGGGCCATGTTTCTTCTAAAAGGCGACTGGTCCCCAGCAACCCATGTTTGTTGTAAAAGGCGACTGGTCCTCAGCAACCAATGTTTGTTGTAAAAGGCGACTGGTCCCCAGCAACTCATGTTTGTTGTAAAAGGCCACTGATCCCCAGCAACCTGTGTTTGTTGTAAAAGGCGACTGGTCCCCAGCAACCTGTGTTTGTTGTAAAAGGCGACTGGTCCCCAGCAACCCATGTTTGTTGTAAAGACGTCTGGTCCTCAGCAACCCGGGCCATGTTTCTTCTAAAAGGCGACTGGTCCCCAGCAACCCATGTTTGTTGTAAAAGGCGACTGGTCCCCAGCAACCAATGTTTGTTGTAAAAGACGTCTGGTCCTCAGCAACCCGGGCCATGTTTCTTCTAAAGGCGACTGGTCCCCAGCAACCCATGTTTGTTGTAAAGGCGACTGGTCCCCAGCAACCAATGTTTGTTGTAAAGGCGTCTGGTCCTCAGCAACCCGGGCCATGTTTCTTCTAAAAGGCGACTGGTCCCCAGCAACCCATGTTTGTTGTAAAAGGCGTCTGGTCCCCAGCAACCAATGTTTGTTGTAAAAGGCGACTGGTCCCCAGCAACCAATGTTTATTGTAAAAGGCGACTGGTCCCCAGCAACCCATGTTTGTTGTAAAAGGCGTCTGATCCTCAGCAACCTGTGTTTGTTGTAAAAGGCGTCTGGTCCCCAGCAACCCATGTTTGTTGTAAAAGGCGTCTGGTCCCCAGCAACCCATGTTTGTTGTAAAAGGCGTCTGGTCCCCAGCAACCCATGTTTGTTGTTAAAGGCAACTGGTCCCCAGCAACCTGTGTTTGTTGTAAAAGGCGTCTGGTCCCCAGCAACCCATGTTTGTTGTTAAAGGCTTCTGGTCCCCAGCAACCTGTGTTTGTTGTAAAAGGCGTCTGGTCCCCAGCAACCCATGTTTGTTGTTAAAGGCTACTGGTCCCCAGCAACCTGTGTTTGTTGTAAAAGGCGACTGGTCCCCAGCAACCCATGTTTGTTGTAAAAGGCAACTGGTCCCTAGCAACCCATGTTTGTTGAAAAAGGCGTCTGATCCCCAGCAACCCATGTTTGTTGTTAAAGGCTACTGGTCCCCAGCAACCTGTGTTTGTTGTTAAAGGCAACTGGTCCCTAGCAACCCATGTTTGTTGAAAAAGGCGTCTGATCCCCAGCAACCCATGTTTGTTGTTAAAGGCTACTGGTCCCCAGGAACCTGTGTTTGTTGTAAAAGGCGACTGGTCCCCAGCAACCCATGTTTGTTGTAAAAGGCGACTGGTCCCCAGCAACCCATGTTTGTTGTAAAAGACGACTGGTCCCCAGCAACCTGTGTTTGTTGTAAAAAGCGTCTGGTCCCCAGCAACCCATGTTTGTTGTAAAAGGCGACTGGTCCACAGCAACCAATGTTTGTTGTAAAGGCGTCTGGTCCTCAGCAACCAATGTTTGTTGTAAAAGGCGACTGGTCCCCAGCAACCAATGTTTGTTGTAAAAGACGTCTGGTCCCCAGCAACCTGTGTTTGTTGTAAAAGGCGTCTGGTCCTCAGCAACCCATGTTTGTTGTAAAAGGCGTCTGGTCCCCAGCAACCAATGTTTGTTGTAAAAGGCTACTGGTCCCCAGCAACCAATGTTTAATGTAAAAGGCGACTGGTCCCCAGCAACCCATGTTTGTTGTAAAAGGCGTCTGGTCCCCAGCAACCTGTGTTTGTTGTTAAAGGCAACTGGTCCCTAGCAACCCATGTTTGTTGAAAAAGGCGTCTGATCCCCAGCAACCCATGTTTGTTGTTAAAGGCTACTGGTCCCCAGCAACCTGTGTTTGTTGTTAAAGGCTACTGGTCCCCAGCAACCTGTGTTTGTTGTTAAAGGCTACTGGTCCCCAGCAACCCA